AAACCAGTGTAAAACAGTATAAAACCAGTATAAAACCAATAATAAACCAATATAAAACCAATATAAAACCAGTATAAACTAATATAAAACCAGTATATAACCAATATAAAACCAGTATAGAACCAATATAAAACCAGTATAAAACCAGTGTAAAACCAGTATGTCCCAGTTGTGTAAACCTCCTATTTCCAGACTTACAGGGTTTTACTGTGTCATCAGTGATGTCAGCTCACCCGACCCTACCAGCAACCAATCACAGCCTTCCTCAGCTTCAGGCTCCTCCTATTGGCTGAGAATGTCAACTGAGTGCTGGGGTTCACGTGCCACAGGTCAGTAAACGCCTCATGAAGTGAAGACCCTGAACACAACACACAAGTCTTTAGTAAACTAATTACTTTTAGTAATGTAATCTGATTACTGCTCAATTAAGTAATGACTATTGATTGCTCACATAGACATTATTGATCTGTTTATAACAGTTGTTTATTAATTCAATTCAATTCAATTCAATTCAATTTTATTTGTATAGCGCCAATTCATAACAGAAGTTATCTCAGGACACTTTTCAAATAGAGCAGGTCTAGACCGAACTCTTTAAAACATTAATTACAGAGACCCAACAGTACCACCATGAGCAAGACCTTGGAGACAAGGGCAAGGAAAAACTGCCTGTTAAAAGACAGAAACCTAGGACAGATCCTCCGGCTCTAGGTGGGTGGTCGTCTGTCTCGACCAGTTGGGGTGAGAGAGAGAGAGAGAGAGAGAGAGAGAGGCAGAGAGACAGAGAGAGAGAGAGGCAGAGAGAGAGAGAGAGCGAGAGACAGACAGACAGACAGGTGCATAGCAACAACAGTATTGGCAACGGCAATCTAGCAGGACCATGGCAGGAGGCTCCACCAGGATCGACAAGAACCTGCGAGAAGAGAAAGCACAAGAACTCCGGGGAAGAAGTGAAGTTAGTAACATGCATTAATGGAACATGAATGAGTGCAGAAAGAGAGAGGAAGAGAGGAGCTCAGTGCACCATGGGAAATCCCCCGATAGTCTAGGCCTATAGCAGCATAACTAAGGGATGGTTCAGGACTCACCTGATCCAGCCCTAACTATAAGCTTTATCAAAGAGGAATGTCTTAAGCCTACTCTTGAATGTGGTGAGGGTGTCTGCCTCCAGAACCACAACTGGAAGCTGGTTCCACAGGAGAGGAGCTTGGTAACTGAAGGTATTACAGTTAATTATTGCAGTTGTTTATTACAGTTGATTATTACAGTTGTTTATTACAGTTGTTTATAACAGTTGTTTATAACAGTTTTTTAGTACAGTTGTTTATTAAAGTTGATTATTAAAGTTGATTGTTACAGTTGATTCTTACAGTTGTTTATTTGTTGTTTATTACAGTTTTTATTACAGTTGTTTATTACAGTTGATTATGACAGTTGTTTATTACAGTTGATTATGACAGTTGTTTATTAGTTGATTATTACAATTGTTTATTACAGTTGAATATTACAGTTGTTTATTACAGGTGATTATTACAGTTGTTTTTATTAGTTCTTTATTACAGTTATTTGTTAATTATTACAATGGTTTTATTAGTTCTTTATTACAGTTATTTGTCAATTATTACAATGGTTTTATTAGTTCTTTATTACAGTTATTTGTTGATTATGGCAGTTGTTTATTACAGTTGTTTATTACAGTTGATTATAACAGTTGTTTATTTCAGTTGTTTATTACAGTTGATTATAACAGTTGTTTATTTCAGTTGTTTATTACAGTTGATTATAACAGTTGTTTATTACAGTTGTTTATTACAGTTGATTATAACAGTTGTTTATTTCAGTTGTTTATTACAGTTGATTATAACAGTTGTTTATTACAGTTGTTTATTACAGTTGATTATGACAGTTGTTTATTAGTTGATTATTACAATTGTTTATTACAGTTGAATATTACAGTTGTTTATTACAGGTAATTATTACAGTTGTTTTTATTAGTTCTTTATTACAGTTATTTGTTAATTATTACAGTTGTATTTCATAGTTCTTTATTACAGTTATTTGATTACAGTTGTTTATTACTTTTGTTTAATACAATTGTATATCACAGTTGTTTACTACAGTTGATTATGACAGTTGTTTATTAGTTGATTATTACAGTTGTTTATTACAGTTGTTTATTACAGTTGTTTATTAGTTGTTTATACAGTTGTTTATTACAGTTGTTTATTACAGTTGATTATGACAGTTGTTTATTAGTTGATTATTACAATTGTTTGTTACAGTTGATTATTACACTTGTATATTACAGTTGTTTATTACAGTTGTTTTTATTAGTTCTTTATTACAGTTATTTGTTGATTATTACAGTTGTTTATTACTTTTGTTTAATATAATTTATATCATAGTTGTTTACTACAGTTGTTTGTTGTTTATTTCAGTTGTTTACTACAATTGTTTGTTGTTTATTACAGTTGCTTATTAGTTGTGTTTATTAGTTGTTTATCACAGCTGTTTACTGTGTTTTTTGTTTGTTGTTTACAGTCACTAACATTCATTATTACCTTTAGTTCCTCACTGTGAGCTGTCGCTCTGAATGTTAAATAAAGTTTTGTGTGTTTGAATGAAGCCTTTTGGCAGACGCAGCGTTCACTGTCTCCTCGTTCTTTTGGACGTCGGGCCTCTGCCGGCCTCCTGGCAGCGCCGCTGCTCTCCCAGGACTCGTTACTAGGCAACCAGCAGCCGGCAACCATGACTGCTTTATTCATCTGGAGACTGAAGAAAGAAAGAAAGAAAGAAAGAAAGAGACGTCTGACCTTCATGATAGATGGTGTGTTCATGATCGTTGGAACTTTTACCCTTCCGTTTTAGTAAAAGAACTGAAGTCACACAATGTTTTTATTTCTTTAATTTAAAATTTTAAAACTGTTTGTTCATTGTAAACGTGATATTATCAAAATGAAAAGATTCTGTAAAGTCTGACTGTTGTTGGTCGTGTGAATGTGACGTGAGGCGTTCACAGGTGTACTTTTGACTGATGCAGAAAATGCTGATGCGTTCAGGTGCAGAACGACAGATTCAATGAAAGAAAAAAGTGGACTATGGCTCCAAAAAACAGCCAAAAGACCTGAATTCAGACCTACCTGTTGGTGGCTAACAGTAGATGTTATTTTTTTATGCTCACATTATTTTATGCTATCGTTGATTAAACTCCAATAATAACTGTTGCCGCGTTATGAACAGGTATTGCTACTGTCTCTCTCTCTCTGTCTGTGCACTGTGTGTAGATATATTAATGTCTATTGATCGTCATTATTAGTTATTGATGAATAGGTTGAAATGTCTGTGACATCACACTGTGATCGGCTGTTATGTAACAGCCTGTCGCTGCCTCCAGGTGCATGCTGGGACATGAAGAGGTGACTGCGGTCGTTTAGAAACAAATGTAAATCTGAGTGTTTAATCCCCATCACCACGGCAACCTGCTCACACACAGCAGACAACGCCCCCAGTCTGTGAGGTCACTGCTACAGTAGTAATCTGATTGGCTGTTCAGCTGGAGGCTAGCGATGAAGAGGAGGATGAGGAGGAGGTGTTACATAACAGGAGGCACCGATAAAGGAGAGAGAGGAAGAAGGGGAAAGAGAAAAAATAAAAGGATGAATAGATGAAAACAAAAGGAGGAAGGAAGGAAAGAAAGGTAGAAACAAAGGAGGGATGAATAACGAAAGGAAAGAGAAAGCAAGGAAGGAAGAGAGGGAGGAAGGAGGTGAAAGAGGAGAACAAAGGAGTAAAGGAGGGAGGGGCAGCAACAGAGTAATCTAGGGCACTGAGGACTGAGGTCGTTATCATGACAACCTCCTCCCTCTGTGATTGGCTGCAGACCAACAGGAGGAGACAAACACTGACCAATCACAGCTCTCCATTCGTCCCCTTCTCACTTCAAATTTGCAGCTGATTGGCCATCCAGAGATTTAAAATCAATGAACTGATCACATATTATTGATTATCAGTGAATTGATCACAGATTATTGATTATCAGTGAACATCCACTGTGAAGCGGTTGGCTCCGGCCTTGTGGAGGCTGACTCACAGCTGGAGCATCTAGTGGACATTGGAGGAACTGCAGGCTGCGGATTGCTTCCTGTTAGAAAAGTATAATCAGATACAATCTCTGTCTGAAAAATCATATTTATTGATAAGTAATAATTATTGATTAGACACTGAATGTCAGAGAAAATACTCTGTCTCCCTCTGGTGGATAAAAACAGGAAGAACAATGTAACAGACAGACAGAGAGACAGACAGACACAGACACAGACAGACAGACAGACAGACAGACAGACAGACAGACAGACAGACACATACCCAGACAGAGAGACAGATGGACACAGACAGACACAGACAGACAGACAGACAAACACAGACACAGACACATACATAGACAGAGAGACAGATGGACACAGACAGACAGACAGACACAGACAGACAGACAAACACAGACACAGACAGATAGACAGACACAGACACAGACACAGACAGACAGACAGACAGACAGAATGGTTGATGATGGATCGACAACTTCAACAAACTCATTATGGCTCAGATGAGTCCCGAACGAATTCTTTGTTATGCTGCTATAGGCCTGGACTGCCGGGGGATGCACTGAGCTCCTCTCATCCTCTCCCTCTCTTTCTCTCTGTCTCTCTCTGTCTCTCTCTTTCTCTCTCTCTCTCTCTCTCTCTCTCTCTCTCTCTCTCTCTCTCTCTCTCTCTCTCCCACCCACCTAGATCCAAAGGGTCTGTCCTAGGTTTCTGCCTTTTAACAGGCAGTTTTTCCTTGCCCTTGTCGCCAAGTGCTTGCTCATGGTGGTACTGTTGGGTCTCTGTAATTAATGTTATAAAGAGTTTGGTCTAGACCTGCTCTATTTGAAAACTGTCCTGACATAACTTCTGTTATACAAATAAAACTGAATTAAATAGACTGGACGGAGGGATCACGGAGGGAGTACTGAATTGTGATATTTATTCAGAGAAATCAGAGACAACAGACACACTCACACTGATTGATTTATTAAATGGAGCTAGGCTAACCATGTACTGGACCTCTGTACTGTATGCATGCATATGACTCTGATATAAAATGTGAACTGATGAGACCGAGCAAACTAATGGTCACTGTGGTTGCATCCCCACGAGACAGGAAGCAGAGTGCTGTTTGTTTCCTTTGCTGCAAATCTAACCTTCAAAAGCACCAAAAACACCAAAAGGTACAAATCTGGTAGTTCATCATAGTTCATTCCAAACTTTTTGAAACTTTATAAAAGGCAGAAATCTTTGCTCCTCCAGGAGCCAGATCAACAGAGCATCACTTCAGACCCTGAACCGAGATTTTCCAGCTCGTCCTGGTCTTTCAGGCTGGATGCTGGCTGGTCACAGGGGTTGGACCTGCTGGGATGGCAACTCCTGCTCGGCGGCAGCGGTCGGGACGTTGATGTTGGGATCGTCATCGACCTGGTAACACTTCCCCAGGTTCTTGATGACGTTGAAGTTGGACCGCGCCGTTTCTGCTAGACTGTTCTCCAGAATCCAACCATCAGACTCTGAGTCCGGATCACCCAGTCGCAGAACGTTCTCCATGGCTGTCTGCAGGTAGCGGACTCCAGTCAGAACCAGCAGCTGGTGGGAGAAGAAGAACATGGTGAGCCTGTCAGTAGCAGCTGTTAGTGAACGTACGTTAACGTAACATTGGCAATTGTTGGAAAAAACGATTTAGGTGAGTTTTATTTCTGTCCTGTTGTTTTATTCTGATATAGATTTTTGTTGTTATAATGTGTCACACTTCCTCATTAAACAGAGCATAACTTCTAGAGCTATGTTCTATATGTAGCTGATTCAATTAATAATCAAAGCTGTCATACATTGACTGTTTACCATCCACTGCTTAGATCTTGGTGCTTTTTAACTCTAGATTTGAACCAGATGAAGGGTTTTAGTCATCGGACGTCTGGATCTTAAGTTATCAGAGAAACAAGCTGAGCTAACGTTAGCAGCAGCTCAGCTCGTAGCCCCTCCGGGACTTCTTTTGTCTGCCCAACAGCGTGGGAGAAGCAGTGATTTTTAAGGTGGAACTGCTTTATTCAGTGTGTTTAGTTGTTTTAATCAGTGGGTCTGTTTGTTTTGGAGAGGAGGAGACCTCTGAGGATAATTGGGCTCCCAGCAGAAACCTCCTGAACCAACACTGAAGGAATCCTAACCGGGAGAAGCTGACTGCAATGACGCCAATGGTGGTGAAGAATACCAAACTAGACTTCATCTTGTTAATAGTGCTGCAGGCTCACTACGATCAACATTAGACTCTATCGCCCCTATAAAAAGGAAAATATTAAAACATAGGAGACTTGCACCTTGGTACAACCACCAAACCCGCCAATGGACGGTGGGATGACCCAGAGATGATCGGGTCGTAGAGACTCGGGGACAAGTCCTGCGTGTTCAGCGTTGGCAAATTATTCAATTCAATTCAATTCAATTAATGGAACATGAATGAGTGCAGAAAGAGAGAGGAAGGGAGGAGCTCAGTGCACCATGGGAAATCCCCCGATAGTCTAGGCCTATAGCAGCATATCTAAGGGATGGTTCAGGACTCACCTGATCCAGCCCTAACTATAAGCTTTATCAAAGAGGAATGTCTTAAGCCTACTCTTGAATGTGGTGAGGGTGTCTGCCTCCCGAACCACAACTGGAAGCTGGTTCCACAGGAGAGGAGCTTGGTAACTGAAGGCTCTGGCTCCTGTTCTACTTTTAGAGACTATAGGAACCACAAGTAGCCCAGCATTCAGAGAACGTAGTGTTCTAGTGGGGTAATAGGGTACTATGAGCTCTTTAAGATATGAAGGGGCCTGACCATGAAGAGCTTTATAGGTGAGGAGGAGGATTTTAAATTCAATTCTACATTTTATAGGGAGCCAATGCAGAGTAGCTAGTACAGGAGAGATGTGATCTCTTTTTCTAGTTCCTGTCAGTACTCGTGCTGCAGCGTTCTGAATTAATTGGAGCGTTTTAATGGACTTATTGGGGCAACCTGATAATAAAGAGTTGCAGTAATCCAGCCTTGAAGTAACAAATGCATGGATTAGTTTTTCTGCATCTGTCTGTGATAGTATGTGTCTAATTTTTCTAATATTACGTAAATGAAAGAAGGCAGTCCTAGAGGTCTGCTTTATGTGGGAGTTAAATGACAAATCCTGATCAAAGATAACTCCAAGATTCCTGACAGTGGTGCTAGAGGCCAAGTTAATGCCATCTAGAGTAACTATATCTTGCCTGTAGCACTATCGACAAGATTATCAATTTCAGTGGGACTAAAGTCGTTATAGGACTTAAATTCAGACATGGCATTGAATTAAACACTGAAGGAATCTCCTCCTTAATTTAGCTACAGCACTGTCAGATAGACATCTGCTGTAGGAAGTTTTGCTTAATGGCTTATAATCTAATAATATAAATTCAAAAGTTATTAAATAATGGTCAGATAGGAAAGGATTATGTGGGAAGACTATTAAATGTTCAATATCAATGCCATATGATAGAACAAGGTCAAGAGTGTGATTAAAACAATGAGTTGGTTTATTTACACTCTGACAGAAGCCAATTGAGTCTATTAATGATATAAATGCATTACTAAGGCTGTCATTGTTAACATCCACATGAATATTAAAATCACCTACAATAATTACTTTATCTGATTTAAGGACTAAACTTGATAAAAACTCTGAGAATTCAGATATAAAATCAGAGTACGGTCCAGGAGCACGGTACACTATAACAAATAGAACTGGCTGCAGTGTTTTCCAGTTTGGGTGAGAAAGACTAAGAACAAGGCTTTCAAATGAATTATAATTTAGTTTAGGTTTAGGGTCCATTAAAACGCTTGAATCATATATGGCTGCTACTCCACCTCCTCGGCCGGTGCCTCGAGGAATGTGAGTATTAATATGACTGGGGGGGGTGGATTCATTTAGGCTAACATACTCCTCGTGGGACAACCAGGTCTCAGTAAGACAAAGTAAATCAATATCATAATCTGATATTAATTCATTCACTAAAACAGCTTTAGAGGACAGAGACCTGATATTTAACAGTCCACATTTCATTCTCTTATTTTGTGCTACTGAGGAGTTAGTTTTAATTTTTATTAGATTTTTATGTTGAACTCCTCTTGTTTTTATTTCTTTAAATAATTTAGGTGGAATTATGGCAGGCGGAGCCGGTTTCCAACTGTCTACGACGTTCGGTTTGGGAGTTATTCCCGTTTGAGTGCGTCCATTCATTGTTAATGGAGCGATCCTATGTTGAAAAATGCTTAAGTGTCAGCCCTAGTATGGAATTTTCAGAAAGTGTCTCTCTCGCGGATATCTAATCAACAGACGCTGCAGTACCTCAAACAGCCAGATGAGGAGCACGGTAAGGCCGATGGACTGCATGATGCTGGTGTAGTGGTCCATCAGGGCCTGTCGGCAGCCCCTCCTCCACAGGTTCAGCTGCTGGCTCTGCTGGTCGTAGTTGAAGTGGGCTGAGCTGTTGCTGACCTGCTGCTGGATGCATGGCCGAGGGGAGAAGGTGCTGCAGCAGCTGAAGGGAACGCCATCCATCAGGTACTTCCCATCCACATTACTCCTCAGACGACTGCAAGGAAGGAACAGTTAGCCGGCTGAAAGTGGCTGCTGCTATTACTACTAGTACTACTATTACTAGTAGTAGTAGTAGTAGTACTAGTTCTGCAGTTGAGTAAGATGCCCCGGGCTTTCTCCAGGATAAAACTAGGTGTTGATATGAAAGCAAAGGATGATGCAACAAAAAGTGTTGTTGTTCTGTTGTTAAATAGAGTAAAACAGATTGTGTATAAATCCTGCAGACAGGTTATATTGAGTCTCTATGTTGGAACCCCGTTGGTTAATCCTCATTAATCCCATGATCTTTGACCCCAGTAGCTTTCAGCCTCAACTGCAGTGGACCAGTGGCCTCAATCTGAAAATACAGTTTAATGTCTGCTGACGGTGAAAGATTATCACCAGCATTTCTATTTACTCACATTTTCATCGGTCAATCACATGTTTAGGGACAAATAAACACTGAGGTTGTTGCTAATGGTGGAAATTGTTCTGGTTCTTAATCATTTTTAAGAAGTATGCTTTAGAGTTAGAATCTGCCTTAAAGAGGAACCACTAAAACCTCCAAAACAACTGGATTCAGCTAGAATTTACTCATTTTTTTGGGGGGGTTCTAGGTACATTCAGGGAGCCTGGTTACATATACCACCTTCAGCTGAATTGAGCTGTAGTGGGAGTTCAGGGTACAGTTATTGTCATAATACAGCACACGTGCAGCACTGTTACTATGGTTACACTGTTGTTGTTGTTGAATGTTGGAAAACACAAGCGCACAATCCAACGTAAATTTAACCCAGATGTAACAAATAAAATGTGGACAGAAGAAGCTAACTGACAAAATCAACAATGAAGAAATATAAAAAATATTAGAAAGGAGACATGGACACAAGTCAACAACTGGTGAGTGTCAGTGAATCGATAATGCTAATGTTAAGTTTACTAGTGACACAAAATGGAAAACTGAAGCTAGCTAAGGACACTGACAGATCAAACATCCTGAATCCTTACGGTGGTTTTGTGTAACTTGTGGTTTTCTAAGGCATTATTATGAAAATTTAAGGGCAACCTTAACCTAGGTGGTTTAATGCAACTGAACCCTGGATCCACTAGAAACTGTTGCAATTTACTATAGAGAATCTGCTAGAGTCCAGCAGGGTCTACTGGGATCAACAAGGATCCTCTCGGGTGCCCGGTTAGCTCAGTTGGTAGAGCTGGCGACCCATGTACCGAGGCTGAGTCCTTGCTGCAGCGGCCCAGGGTTCGAGCCCGACCTGCGGCCCTTTGCTGCCTGTCATCCCCTCTCTCTGCCCCCCTTTCCTGTCTACCTTCGGCTGTCTCTATCAATTATAGGCAATAAAAGCCCCCCAAAAAATATACTTAAAAAAAAAACAAGGATCCTCTCCAATCCAAAACAGACTCCAAAAGAATCCCAACAGTTCTGGTTCCACTTACTCCACCACAGTGCTGCTGGTCATGTCCAGGTAGCGGTTGCTGATCCACTGGACCTGGAACCAGTCCCGGTACCCAGTGTTCCCACAGCACTGGAACTGAATCTGCAGCAAGTCCAGAGTCCTCTTCAGGTAGCAGCGGCCTGGCGTGTCCGTGTCCTTGTAGTACCGCATGGCGTTCCTCAGACCCAGGAACAGCGACTCCTCCAGCTGGCTGCGGATGCTGTAGCACATGAGGGCCCCCGCCAGGACACAGGAGGTGAAGAAGAAGGTGCAAACGACGTATGGCATCATCACCAGCTTCCAGCGCAGGAACTTGTTGGTGTCTGCGCAATCCAGGCAGATCTTCCCCCCCAGGAAGTTGATACAGCAGGCTGCCAGGCCTGTGGTGATCAGCGTATGTGGCACGTAGAGGATCCCCTGCTCTGACATCACTTCCTGCCATTTCTGAATCTCTACTTTGAGGAACAAACCGAGACCAAAGAGGATCGCCCCCGTCAGCACAGATATCCAGTTGAGCAGCCAAAGGACCTCAGCTAGTTTCTCCCGCTCCACCTTGGTGAAGGTCACTTTACCGACTGCCATGTCGGTCCTGTGGTTCTTACGTGTGTCACGTCCAAGTGGCCGTAAACATGGCCAAAAATGGGAGTTCCTTAAGGTGCTGTCCCACTAATGACCACTAGGCGCTGCATTAAAAACCCATCAACTCTTGAGTGGTTGGTCCTTCCCAAATGGTTTTACCCAATCCGGTTTCACCTGCTGCCCATATTTGGTATTTATTGGCTCTGGTTGCTCGTACAATCTGTGTCGTTGCCCTTGCATCCAGTCTGCAGGGGTCTGAGAGGCTCAGAGGTCAGGGTCCAGGGTGGGCTTCTTCACAGGGAAGCTGGAGGACAGAGGAGGAAGGCCGGTGGCTGCTCTCTGCACAGCGACATAAGGAGCTTAGTGAGGTATTTTAGGTTCTCTTGACTGCAGTCCACAACTCCAAGACACAACCAGGATGTGAGTGCTGCCGGGAAGCAAGAAGGTCAAAGTGTAATAAACCCGCTGCTGATCCAGGAACCACAACTATTAACCAACTTTGTCCAATCACTGCAACTTTTGTGCAAATTTGACCAATTATTACAGTCCCCTGCACAAAACAATGCGGTTTACTTCACCAAATTCACCTCCTTGTTTCTAGTTGTGAAGATGGAGACATGTGCGACTTGAACATCTCACATTTACGGTCTAAACAGTGCAATTGACTTCTCACTGAAACAAGTTCCCTTTGATTTGTAATGAATCCTACAAAGACAATATGAATCACAGCTTTGCAGTTTTCAATTTTTCCCTGAATATTTTTCAGAAAGCTGCTCTGAAATCAGGAATCTTGGGCCTCAACAATACCTAAAAAAGCCTGTGACATCCAGGAGGGACTGACTGAACCTGATCAAGATGCACATAAAGCTTTTTATTCCCATCCAGTTCCCAGTTAGTGCTGAAAGAAATATTATTGTATAATTATTTCTGTTTCTGAGCATGCTCAGTCTAAAATACGCACTGGGTTATTATCCCATTAAGTGCTTTTGAGATTTCATGATTTCTAAAACAAAAAGTTGAGATTTTCCATTTATCTTCATATTCATTGTATTAAGTAGAACTTAGGCTGAATTGATGTTGGTCACTTTTAAGAGTAGAGTAAATACATTTGCATTGAATAGTGATTTTAGATTGTACATTTTCAGAGAAATATTTGGTCCCTTCATCAACCATATATTTGAGTTAATCTGTTACACTTCCTTTCTAAATAAAATCTAACTACAAAGATAATTGGTCCTTGTTTGTTTATAAAGAAAAAGGTTTTAACTAACTAACATAAAACATGAGGATTTCAGGGTCCTCTGCTTCTGTTATTTGAGCCCTCTGACAGTGTTCAGTGAATCTTTCTGTGGTTTAAGGCTGATACAGGAATTGATTAGTAAGAGTGAAATAATCTGATCAAACTGGAAACATGATCTAATCTTTAATGAGTCACCAATAATGATTGATAGTTATTGATTAATAAACTTTCTTCAGAAAGTATTGAACTTATCACCTGCTGGCTCAGACACAACCACGATGCTGAAGATAAAGACAGAATTTTACCTCGTCCACGTAAAGCTGTCAGACATCTGGCTGCCTGGCGGTCTTCCCTCCGACTCCCCACCATCCTCGGGGTCGGCTGAGTTCTGCCACAGTTTCAGAACCGTGAAGCAAATATTGCGGCTGAGAAAAAGTGTTTTGAGGCGGCTGTTAACCTGCGCTTCTAATCTCCTTACAGCTAATCAGGCCTGTAATAAGCTGAGAAATCTCCAACCCCCCTCCATTCACCAGCTGGACCATCAGCAGGATCACTGTCTACAACAGTGTGTCAACACAGGTACAACCCTGAGAGAGGAGTCCATTAAAGGACACTAGTTCAGTTGGGGGAGGTTGGAAAGGGGGACAGAGGGGAGGAAAGCTGGTAGGGGTTGGCAGTGTAGGATTGAGAGCTATGTCCCACTGCAGAAGACCAGCAAGATCAAAGTCATTTAAAGCTACTAAATGGACCTTGAGATCAGTGTTGGTGTCCAGTGATCAACATAACGACCACACTTAGTGCTTTAGCTCCAGGTTCAGTTGAACTGTGGCACAGACAGAAGAGTACTTTAGTGTCATTAACTACTTTCTTTCATATTTTGTATTCAAAGTTTTTTAAAGATTTTAAAAAGTATAACTATGTAATTGTACCCAAGCTCCTGTATATGCGATCATCCTGTTTTATATCAGGCAATGTGGCCTCCAGGATACAGACATTTAAAGATTTTTAAAGCTGTTAAAATGTTATTTATTACATAAAATCCTCCTTAAGGGCCATTATTGTCTCAATCAGAATAAGCAGTACCCAGAATGTAATAACCCTGAATAAATAACTTTTACCCCAGGTCTGGTGGTGCTGTTCATGTATGCTGACAGTTTGGATTCTGACACATATACATATATCATATGCAGTTAGAACACAAATACAATACTGTCAATGTATTTTATTAGGTATAAATAATGTCAAAGGTTGAGCAGAAGAGAGCGGGTTGCTTCATTTATTGTTTGGCTGTGAACACCAAAGATGGTATAAAGTGTATAGAAACTGCTGTCTGCATTATTTAGTTAAGTATGATATTATTATGATATTATTAGTAATGGCAATATTATATGAAAATCATGATTTCTTATAGTTCTTGAAGTAGTCGATGTTTTTCCAGTATTGACCACTGGAGGTCAGCAGATAAAAGATCCTCAGACCTCTGGCTCACATTCAACCTCAGACCACAAACCAAACTGGCTCTGCTGTTTCTTCTACTGACATTATATCTCATAAAGGGTCTTATTGTAGTTTGAAAAAATACAAATTTTGTTTGGTTATTTTATTTGTACCTGTAGGTAGATTTGGTTTGCAGTAAAATACATTCCTCTTAACAAAAATATAAAAACAACAAACAGCTCAGACAACAGACAAACCCAGTACAAACATGATAAATGAAACAGATAAAAGATGGAAGTGCTCCACCAGCAGTTCTGACCATCAAACATGCAGAGCCATTAATCTTTAGTGCAGATTACATATCCTGATATTTGTGTCAATATATAAAAACACACACAAAATAAAATATGAATTTAACCCAATCTTATAAAAAAAACACTATCACATTTAAACCATTTGAATTTCTGCCCCACTAGATTAAAACAGGAATATTATTGTCTGTTAACTAACATTATAACAAATAAGTTCATACTGAAACTCTGAGGATTATTTATGACTTAGTCCAGATGGAGACAGCAGAGGGTTTCATGTGTCCTACCTACAATAATCAATTAATAATGAGCAAACACAACAACAAAAACTTTGATTAATAATGTGTAAAATCTTTGTGACCTGGAGCAGTTTTTACTCAGAGATACAGTTAAAAATAATAAAAAATATAAAAAGAAATATCTGTTTTAACAGAATGCTGCTCCACTCAGTTCTCACAGTCTGACAACCATCAGTAAAAGCACATACTAACTTTACAATATCAGGCAGACAGTGAACAGAGTTGATGTGTTAGAAGCAGAAAAAAATGGGCAGCGTGAGGATCTGATCCACTTTGACAAGAACCACATTGTGATGGACGACTCGGTCAGAACATCTCCAAACCTGCAGCTCTTGTGGGAGGTTCCCGGTCTGTCAGTACCTATCAAAAGTGGTCAGAACACACAGTGCAGAGCAGTCTGTTGGTTTGGGACCAGTCAGGGAGTCCAGTGCTCACAGTGTTACTGCTGATCGGTGTATGTGATGATGTATATTGTTATAAAGGTACACTCTACTTCTTGCTTATGGTTCATGGACACACCCGCCGTCAAAGTCAGGTAACCTGGTTTAATGAGCGAGAAATGGTAAAATGTACTGTACTTGGATAGTTTCCCTTCTAGTCTTCCGACCACTCAAATCGCTTTTACACTACAGCCTACGACAACAGAAACTAACATTCATGATTCTGATTAGTGGATAACACGCTCTACCTCCAAGATACAGCCGACCCTACAGAAAGACCACATATGGAAGTGGTGGATGGCTCAGACTCAGGAGGCTTCTGTTTCAGTTGGTTGACTTTTGTGAACATACTTAAGTTACATTGGATATGTGATGTAACTTACAATCTTTTCCTAAACCTAACCAAAATGTACAACAATAACCATGCAAGCTTTATTTAAGTCTAACTGGATGTTACGTATTTATTGTTGCTAACTGGACCGTCTGCAGTCATATTTAATTTAAAAGTTTGATGTGTGTGTGAGCGGCATTTTCAGTCTGCAGTGAGTGTGTGTGGAGACTCCTACAGGTTACATAGAGACACTGAGGCGTCATAAGACCAGCACCCAAACCCAAACCCGAAGGCAGGGTAGACAGGTTCAGTGAATGTGGTGTAGAAGGTGTGGAGGTGGATCAGTGTGTCAGAGGAGACTCTGTAAAAGGACAGAGTGCCAGCAGGACAGTCCACATACACTGCTACTCTACCAGAGGAGGAAGAGAAAGAGGGGGAGTAGGAGGAGGAGTAGGGGGAGGAGAACTTTGAGAAAGGGATAGTGACGACTCTCTTGTTGTGCCAGAAAGAATAATCCTCCTCAGTGCAGATCAGACTCCAGCACTGATCATTCCAGCCGAGCCTGCAGTCTGCACTCTTCCCCCTCCTGCTGATTCTTTTGTAAGTCACTGCTATGACCACACTTCCTTCCCTCTCCACCTCCCAGTAACAGCGCCCAGTCAGACCACTTCTGCACAGCAGCTGCCAGCAGCAGCAGTCAAACCTCTCTGGATGATCAGGATATGGCTGCTCCTCTCTTACCACCTTGACCTTCCTGTTGTTGTCGGAGAGTTTCAGGTTTCTGTGTGCAGTGTTTGCATCCATCTCCAATTCACAAGCAACTGTTGGAGATAGAAAGACACAAGCGGCAGGTTATCTTCTCTGACAGGTTCTCTGACTGAAGTCTGAAGTTGGTTTTAACGTTATACATGCGACTACATCAGTGTGCGGAGCTCTAGATGGATCTAAATGTACCATGTACCAGTCCATGGTCCAATTCTAAAGTTATGAATCTGTTGACTGAAACTTTGCTGCTAACATTGTCTCCACTCTCCTGAAAGGTCAAAGTCAACGGGTCTTGGCACAAGAGTGACCAGAACAATGTTAGTGCAACCTTACTGAACGCCAGCCGGAAAAAATTATACCAAAGACAATTTAATTTGTGAAGAAAAACTATGCAGTGGTCAAATTATGACTTGCTTAGGACTTTGAACTCTAGGACTCTGGACACTTTTGATTTTGGACAATTAATTAACATTTACATTATCAGAGTAAGAAATAATGAATCAGCCTTCATCCTTTAACATAGTCTGAGTAGATTTCTCCCTCTGCTTTATAAACTTGGTTTCTGTCTCAGTAGATTAATGTGAATGTCACTTACACTTCCTCAGACCAGGTTTTAACCTCTGCTCTCCACCATGGTCCACCCTGGAGGAAAAAACACAGACCTGTTTGTCTTTGACAAAGTACAATTACAGAATCTGAATAATTTTCTGTTCAGAATGAGACAGAAACAGTACTTAAGTGTCTCCAGTCTCCAGTGTGGATCCTCCACTCCAGCAGACAGTAGAGCCACTCCTGAGTCTCCTGGATGGTTGTAGGTCAGGTCCAGCTCTCTCAGATGGGAGGGGTTGGAGCTCAGAGCTGAGGCCAGAGAAGCACAGCCTTCCTCTGTGATCAGACAACCTGACAGACTGAAATAAGTTGAGAAAATTCAGTCACAAGCAAATCAGCAACACAAAATAGTGAATAAATTATCTGCTCAGTTTTATGGTGTATTTGAAGGGGTTCGTTTTAATTAGCCAAACAGACATCGGTAACAATCTTCAAAATAATTAAATAGTCACAAATAATCTTATTGATAGAAATCTTACAGCAGAAAGTTGGTAACACAACTGTGACAATCACAGTTTCGAATGGGAACTCCACTGCCATGCATAAACAATTCAAAACACAGAAAACACAGAAAGCAAACAACACTAATTAGCTGACACTGTCTCCATTCCCTGTCTTCAACTCCAGCTGAATTAGCTACCTCTTAAGCAGTGAACAGTGTTTAAATTGTTACATGAGGAATATGTTACCCAAACTGAAAAAGTGTACTCTATAGATACCCTTTCTGTGGGTACAAAGACAGTAGAATAAGCGTAGGTTGATTCTGGTCTCTTTGTGGGATTTGCTGATAATAATATAAAGATAATACAGGATTAACATTATCATCATCATCATTACTGACCTGAGAGTTTCCAGTGTACACTGTAGACTTTCCAGTCCAGCAGATAGAAGCTGAACTCCTGAATCCTGCAGTTCATTGTTACTCACATCCAGCTGTCTGAGACTGGAGGTCTTGCAGCTGAGAACTGAAGACAGAGTTTCACAGCTTCTCCATGACAAGTTACAGCCGCTCAGCCTGAAGACAAAGATCAGTAATATGTTAAAAGAAGAATACGTTGCTGGAAATCTATTTGAAAGTCAGCGTAAAGAGAGAGATCTGTGCAAACCCTTCAAACCCACATCAGCTACAGAGTGAGCCACCAAGTTCACACTCAAGTTCGACTTAAGCTAAATATGATATTTAATGCAAGTGGACTAGTGGCAAACAGGACAAGCGTTTAGAGCATCACAATTTACAAACAATTTATGAACACTCAGATGGACCTGACCTGAGATGTTCCAGAGTACAGTGTGGATTCTCAAGTCCAGCAGAAAGCAGCTTTACTCCTGAATCCTGCAAGTCATTGTTACTCAGGTCCAGCTCTCTCAGACTAGAGGATTGGGAACTGAGAACTGAAGACAGAACTTTACAGGTTCTCTCTGAGAGGTTACAGAAGCTCAGCCTGAAACAAAAAATAAAGGTTAATTTCTTATCTTAAAGTTATTAAAAAGTATTTTAAAACTCAATTAGTACATAAGTAGTAACTAGGAATCTAGTGATCCATCCACTTACACAGCTTTGTTGGAGGCTTTGACCACTAGCAGCAGTCTCAGAAGAGACTCCTCTGAAGCAGAGTATTTCTTCAGGTCAAACACGTCTAGATCTTCTTCTGATGACAGTAAGATGAAGGCCAGAGCTGACCACTGAGCAGGAGAGAGATTATCTGTGGAGAGACGTCCTGAACTCAGGGACTGTTGGATCTCCTCCACTAGAGAACGATCATTCAGTTCATTCAGACAGTGGAACAGATTGATGGTGCTCTCTGGAGACAGATTCTCGCTCATTTTCTTCTTGATGTACTGGACTGTTTCCTGATTGATCTGTGAGCTACTTCCTGTCTGTGTCAGCAGACCTCGTAGGAGAGTCTGATTGGTCTCCAGTGAAAGACCCAGGAGGAAGCGGAGGAACAAGTCCAGGTGTCCAGTTCGACTCTGTAAGGCCTTGTCCACAGCACTCTGGTAGAGATTTGATTTCCGCCGCGATAGTTTAGACATCCATGATGTTGTTTGTTCTTCTGCCAGCAGATTGACTCCAGAGTTGATGAATGTCAGATGGACATAAAGAGCAGCCAGAAACTCCTGAACACTCAGATGGACGAAGCAGAAGACCTTGTCCTGGTACAGTCCTCTCTCCTCTTTAAAGATCTGTGTGAACACTCCTGAGTACACTGAGGCAGCTCTGATATTGATGCCACACTCTGTCAGGTCTGATTCATAGAAGATGAGGTTGCCTTTCTGCAGCTGCTCAAAAGCCAGTTTTCCCAGTGACTGAATCATCTCCTTGTTTGCTGGATTCCACTGTGGCTCTGTCTCAGCTCCTTTGTTATACTTGATGTTCTTCAGTTTGGACTGCACAAACAGGAAGTGGATGTACATCTCAGTCAGGGTCTTGGGCAGCTCTCCTCCTTCTCTGGTTTTGAACACATCCTCCAAAACTGTAGCAGTGATCCAGCAGAAGACTGGGATGTGGCACATGATGTGGAGGCTTTGTGATGTCTTGATGTTGGAGATGATTCTGCCGACAAGCTTCTCATCTTTGCATTTCTTTTGAAAATAGTCCAGTTTTTGAGGATCAGTGAACCCTCTGACTTCTGTCAGCTTTTCAACACACTCAGGAGGGATCTGATTGGCTGCTGCAGGTCGTGTGGTTATCCAGAGGCGAGCAGAGGGAAGCAGTTTCCCCCTAATGAGGTTTGTCAGCAGCACATCCACTGAGGTGGACTCTGTAACATCAGTCAGGATCTCAGTGTTGTGGAAGTCCAGAGGAAGTCGACACTCATCCAGACCGTCAAAGATGAACACAACCTGGAACTCTTCAAACCTGCAGATTCCTGCTTCTTTGGTTTCAGTAAAGAAGAGATGAACAAGTTCCACCAAGCTGTACTTTTTCTCTTTCAGCACATTCAGCTCTCTGAAAGTGAATGGAAATATGAACTGTATGTCCTGGTTGGCTTTGTCTTCAGCCCAGTCCAGAGTGAACTTCTGTGTTAAGACTGTTTTCCCAATGCCAGCCACTCCCTTTGTCATCACTGTTCTGATTGGTTCATCTCTTCCAGGTGAAGCTTTAAAGATGTCTTCATATCTCATCATTTTGTCTGTTCTGACTGGTTTCCTGGATGCTGTTTCAATTTGTATGATCTCATGTACCATGTTGACCTCTGTACTGTCTTCTATTGTCAGGTAGATTTCTGTGTAGATATCATCTTGAACTTTAGATTTTCCTCTTTTTTTAAGGTTCTCAGATGAACTCTCAAACTTTTTCATCAGGTTGGATTTTAGATTTTTCTGGCACTCAGCAAATTCCTCTGAAAGAACAAAGAACATATGACATTTGTGAGAGGATGCTTTCGGTAAATCCTCCGTGACTAATATTCTTCTTGAATTTCCATCGGGATAAATAAAGTATCTATCTATCTATCTATCTATCTTACATGAAGATTGTTGTTGATTTAATCATCCCACGACTTACCTGTTACTGGTTCTGAGTTTGGGTCTGATAAAATCCGCACTAGATCATTCCTGTCTAGCTTCCTTAAAACCTTTTTGGTCACTTCCAGAGTGTTCTCACAGTAGGTCTGTAGCATCTGATCAACTGTATCTGGCCGGTCTGCTTTATCTAGACGGCTCCTTGGGATTATTGGGAAGCGTTCCAGGACCTCCGACTTTTGCAGGTACCACTTGAACTCTTTTAGCTCATCATCTCCTAGATCCTTCAGTGCTCTCAGGAGCTGCTCTTCACGTGTCGGTGTAGACATCTTATATTCCTGCTAAAATCAAAGAAAATCTGAGAATGTCTCATCATCATCTTTTCTTTCTCACACTACTGTTTTTTGACTGTCTCACATTACTTTTTTGATCTATACATAGTGCCTCCAGGAAGTTGCGATCACAAATTTAACCAATCCCCGTAAATTCTGCGTGACATTGCAATTCTTTCACTTTCACCAAACTCACTACTTTGTTTCTTGTTGTGATGAAAATGCTTCACATTTCTCCTCTAATCTAGCAATTGTATTCTCACAGGAACAAGTTACCTTTGATTTGTAATGAAATATACAAAAAAAATTCATTTTCAACTTCATTGTAAAAAATGTTGTGTGCTGTGAAATCAGGCATTTTAGGCTGCAACAATCCCAAAAAATCTCCCAAGACTGTACTGTATAGTATAGTTTAGTACAGCACAGCACAACACAGTATAGTATAGTATAGTAAAGTATAGTAAAGTACTGACAGGAACTAGGAAAAGAGATCACATCTCTCCTGTATTAGCTTCTCTGCACTGGCTCCCTGTAAAATTTAGAATAGAATTTATAATCCTCCTCCTCACCTATAAAGCTCTTCATGGTCAGGCCCCTTCATATCTTAAAGAGCTCATAGTACCCTATTACCCCTCTAGAACACTACGTTCTCTGAATGCTGGGCTACTTGTGGTTCCTATAGTCTCTAAAAGTAGAACAGGAGCCAGAGCCCTCAGTTACCAAGCTCCTCTCCTGTGGAACCAGCTTCCAGTTGTGGTTCGGGAGGCAGACACCCTCACCACATTCAAGAGTAGGCTTAAGACATTCCTCTTTGATAAAGCTTATAGTTAGGGCTGGATCAGGTGAGTCCTGAACCATCCCTTAGTTATACTGCTATAGGCCTAGACTATTGGGGGATTTCCCATGGTGCACTGAGCTCCTCTCTTCCTCTATCTCTTTCTGCACTCATTCATGTCCCATTAATGCATGTTACTAACTTCACTTCTTCCCCGGAGTTCTTGTGCTTTCTCGCCTCGCAGGTTCTTATCGATCCTGGTGGAGCCTCCTGCCATGGTCCTGCTTGACTGCCATTGCTAATATCACTGATGTTATTGTTATTATTATTGTTTCTATTATTATTACAACAGATACTATTATTACTATTGTCACTGCTCATTGTCCCCCATCGTTGTTGTCATCGTCATCATCATCATCTTCTTCATGTTCATCATCATCAGTCACTACTATTAGTGTAGTTGTTGCTACTGTTGTTGCTGTACTGTTGTTGTTAGCATGAACATGAACAAGGTGGATTATTTACTTTCTAATCAATTTTCTTTGAAGTCTTTGGAGGAAAAATTGGAAGTACAGAGATTGGAACACATCATCCAAACGATGTTCAAATAACACAAAAGGACAAACGTAATGACGTAATTTTGTGTTACGTGGTTTCAGCTAACGGACTGGCTAACAGCAAGTGTAGCTAGGAATTCACTTTTCTGTTTCCCATGTTTGCTTTTTGGAGGAGACACGGCTTGGACCCAACAAGGAATTGTGGATTTGAAACATTTATCCGACAAAATTAGGAATGCAGCATGAGCCACATTGGAAATAGTGTAAAGTTGTCATTGCTGGGTAAAGTGAACATCCCCTGTCGGCTTAATGAGAGTCACTGCATCCTGTACAGAGACACAATGAGCTGGTAAGGAAAAACAGGCATTCACTATCATGGATTGTTGACTGTATTACATTTTGTGGGGGACATGAGCTCGCCCTGTGGGGTCCGATGAATCTCCCACTTCACTCCAGCGGTGACCAGTTCTCTCTTTTAGACAGTCAATCAGCCGATTACCTGTCAAACACACAGGTTGCAAAGTACAAGTCTTAGATTCTCTCAAAACGAGACACAGCTGCAGCCACTGCAGCCGCTGTAACGCCGCGCAGGATGCAGCGCTCTGATAATGTGTCAGTAGCCGCACAGTGCGCTTTGGGAAAGCCAGGCACTTGTTGTCTTTGCATGTGCACATTAGCCAGTGATCTGCAGGGAGAAACTGAAAGGTGAGCTGATGGTGAGGTACAGCAGTGTGGAGTTTGACATGGTGATTAACCTGTTTGCGTCACAGAAAGGAGGTCGATGTGAGCGGCCTTTTTAAATAAGGTATGCCCACAACTCTCTTCTACAAATAATCATTTTTGCATTTTTTCTTTAATGTTGTTGTAGCGCAATTGGCATGTGCTGATGTGTACAGAGGAGAGAGAATAACAATCAGAAAACCATCATCATTCATCCGCCTTCCACAGTGATTGTTATCGTGAACGTATTATGATTTCAGTACGCTCCATCAGAGCCACTCGACACCACAAAAACACATCCCATATTTCAATGTAGGCGTGGAACAAACAAACACAAAGCAGGAAACAGGAAGTGTTGAAGTGGACTCTGGTTCCTGGCATTGATTGGTCCACTTCCAGCAGGATGCTGTAAATAATCTCACACACACTGACTGATACAATGCTCAGTAAGTTGTTTTCTGTACTTTTCTCCTGTTTTAGTTAAATACATTTGAACATATTTGATAGGAAGCTGAAATAAAACAAATCATGTTAAATAAAGACTGCTACCATACAGAAGCAGACAGTGACAGCAGGAGGCCATTGGGTGGAGCCATCGAGCTGCACTGGATGCATAGGGAACGTTTACCAGAGGCCGGTTTCTCTCCCACAGACTGACAGCTCAGAACAGGAGATAAATTATTTACATAAATATACCTGTATATTTTTACACCCTCTTATGTTCTACGTTTCTATTTTATATATATGTTTTTGTAATATATTTTAATATAATGTACATATTTTAAGGTTCTTATTATTATTTCTATTCTTATGTCTTTGTTTAGCAACCTGAGCAACTGAACGCAACCAGTTTCCCGCTAGGATTAATAAGTATTCTGATTCTGATAAAGTATTTCAAATGTGTATTATTTCACTGATGAGGAAGTTGTGATTTATCTTTAAATGTCTGCTTTACCTTCAGTAAAATCTGCTGTTCTCACTGTGAACTGTATTATAATATGGTACAAATATCTGTCTCTTAAATGGCTATCACAGTGGAGTGAACATAATCAGTCAGACTGAGCAAGAAACCAACTGTGGACTTAAGACAGACAAATGTAAGATGTGGAATAAGAGTTTGTTCGTATTTACTCTTTTACTCTTTTATTCTTATTAATATTTATCATCTTTGATGTTGTTAAAATGTCCCACAGTCTAATGCAGTTCATGAACTCACCCTAATAGAATAGAATAATAGGGACTGGAGTCATTTATGGTTGTTGATTCAAACTAAAGGAGCAGAAATATTCTCAGTGATTTTATCAGATTGAATGAACGCCAACACAAACAGCCTCAGAGCAACAACGGCTTCCTCATGTTCCACATATTTAACATATTTATCTTCTACGTCTGATTTCTACATCAGTTTTATAGTTTTATATTTGTGCTTTTATTGTGAAAACCAGATTCTGATTCTGGATGAAAGACTTAAACTTACAATAATAGTTGTTTATGTTTCAGCTTTCTGACTGATCCTTTCATACAGGTATACAGGTACATCGGTATACAGGTGTACAGAGGCATACAGGTATACAGGTATACAGGTGTACAGGTGTACAGGGATATAGGTATAACGGTATATAGGTGTACAGGTGTATAGGTATATAGGTGTACAGGTGTACAGGTGTATAGGTATAACGGTATATAGGTGTACAGGTGTATAGGTATAACGGTATATAGGTGTACAGGTGTATAGGTATATAGGTATATAGGTGGCATACAGGTGTACAGGTGAGCAGTTCTTACCTTTGTGCTCCTCTGCAGGAATCACTGACTCTCTGAAGCTCTCAGTCTGTCTGACGTCTGCTCACCTGTTGGAACCCAACGGAGGGTCTGAGCAGGAGGCGGGGCTTCAATGTGAGTAGAGGTTGATTTAACTTCCTGTAATGAGAATCCTTCTGTGGAATCAGAGCAAAAACATTTCATTCATTATTGATTCATTATTGATTTATTATTGATTTATTATTGATTGATTATGAGTTTGCTGCTGCTAGATGCAGTTTGGTCTCATTTAGAAAATGTGTACATTGTTTTACCAGAAACCAGTGAGGGAGCCAGAGCAGAGTTATTCTACCTGTCTACTGCGGTCTGTAATCATTTATTATTGTAACAGCCGTTACAGTTACAGAGAGTAACAGACAGTTACAGACAGTAACAGACAGTAACAGACAGCTACAGACAGTAACAGACAGTAACAGACAGTTACAGACAGTAACAGACAGTAACAGACAGCTACAGACAGTTACAGACAGCTACAGACAGTAACAGACAGTAACAGACAGCTACAGACAGTTACAGACAGTAACAGACAGTAACAGACAGCTACAGACAGTAACAGACAGTAACAGACAGTTACAGACAGTAACAGACAGTAACAGACAGTTACAGACAGTAACAGACAGTAACAGACAGCTACAGACAGTTACAGACAGCTACAGACAGTAACAGACAGTAACAGACAGCTACAGACAGTTACAGACAGCTACAGACAGTAACAGACAGTAACAGACAGCTACAGACAGCTACAGACAGTAACAGACAGCTACAGACAGTTACAGACAGTAACAGACAGCTACAGACAGTTACAGACAGTAACAGACAGCTACAGACAGCTACAGACAGTAACAGACAGCTACAGACAGCTACAGACAGTAACAGACAGTAACAGACAGCTACAGACAGTAACAGACAGTAACAGACAGCTACAGACAGTTACAGACAGCTACAGACAGCAACAGACAGTAACAGACAGCTACAGACAGTTACAGACAGTAACAGACAGCAACAGACAGCTACAGACAGTTACAGATAGTAACAGACAGTTACAGACAGTAACAGACCGTAACAGAAAGTAACAGACAGCTACAGACAGCTACAGACAGTAACAGACAGTAACAGACAGCTACAGACAGTTACAGACAGTAACAGACAGTAACAGACAGCTACAGACAGTAACAGACAGTAACAGACAGTTACAGACAGTAACAGACAGTTACAGACAGTTAAAGACAGTAACAGACAGTAACAGACAGTTACAGACAGTAACAGACAGCTACAGACAGTTACAGACAGTAACAGACAGTTAGAGAGAGTAACAGACAGTTACAGACAGTTACAGACAGTAACAGACAGTTACAGAGAGTAACAGACAGCTACAGACAGTTACAGACAGCTACAGACAGTAACAGACAGGTACAGACAGTTACAGATAGTAACAGACAGTTACAGACAGTAACAGACAGTTACAGAGAGTAACAGACAGCTACAGACAGTTACAGACAGCTACAGACAGTTACAGACAGCTACAGACAGTAACAGACAGGTACAGACAGTTACAGAGAGTAACAGACAGCTACAGACAGTAACAGACAGGTACAGACAGTTACAGATAGTAACAGACAGTTACAGACAGTAACAGACAGTTACAGAGAGTAACAGACAGCTACAGACAGTTACAGACAGCTACAGACAGTTACAGACAGCTACAGACAGTAACAGACAGGTACAGACAGTTACAGAGAGTAACAGACAGCTACAGACAGTAACAGACTCTCCCTCTCTCTCTCTCTTTCCTTCTTTCTCTCTGTCTCTCTCTCCCTCCCTCTCTCTCCCTCCCTCTCTCTCTCCCTCTCTCTCTCCTCTCTCCCTCTCTCTCCATTACCTTTCTTTCTGTTGTCAGACTGTTATTGATCAGTGATCAGATATCAGCACTGCTGTCAGTGTGTGTCAGTGGTACTGTCCACTCTGAAATATGGAATCATACACGGTCTAAACCATCAATGAATCAATCACTCAATCAATGAGGTTATTAAAGGACAAAGAGTTTATTTTTCACTGTGTAACTTCCTGCAGTCGCTTCTGAAGAATCAGACGATCAAATTTCAACCAGTCAGACGAGTTTCTGATCCACAGCTGGAAAACCTGAATGTACTAATACTACTTATAATACTGCACTCTACACTCACCCACTCACTCACTTACTCACCCACTCACTCGATAATAAACCCTAACCCTAACTCACAATTTATATATATATTACTATTATTATTTCAGTCAGGACCACTTTCGTCAAAATATCTTATATCCCAAGCAGAATTTACATTTGGCGGTATGGCTCTGTTCTGGGACCTCCTTGTCCTTCCGCGTGCCTACGTGGAAAACCTTAAGGCAGGGAGAGCACACCTCCCTGCCCTTCCATGTGCATACATGGAAAAGTTTAAGACAAGGAGAGCGGCAGCAGAGACCCCCCAGGGTACAGAACAGAGCAGCATCAATGGCAATCAGAAAATGACATTGATTAATTAGAAACAACATAAAAAGGAGGAGCTGGGGTGGAGGTGGGTGCAAAAGGCTTGTAGAGGGAGCAGCAGAGATAGGCAGGCAGGCTAAAGAAGCTTAAATAAGGCGCCGTGCATGATGTTTGCCAATTGGATGCTTGAGGAAATCAGGTGAGCTGTCAGCTGACTGTGTATGGTATCCAATGGGAAGCTTAGAGGAATCAGCTGATGTATATTTATGACTAGCTGTGCTTGTATGATATAGCTGTAACTGAAAGCTAAGCCTGACTTCGTGCCCTGCCTGAACTAACGCTATGCTCAATTATTACAGATACTATTATTATTATTGTCACTGCTCATTGTCCCCCATCGTTGTCGTCATCGTCATTTTTTTCATGTTCATCATCACCCTATTACCCCTCTAGAACACTACGTTCTCTGAATGCTGGGCTACTTGTGGTTCCTATAGTCTCTAAAAGTAGAACAGGAGCCAGAGCCTTCAGTTACCAAGCTCCTCTCCTGTGGAACCAGCTTCCAGTTGTGGTTCGGGAGGCAGACACCCTCTCCACATTCAAGAGTAGGCTTAAGACATTCCTCTTTGATAAAGCTTATAGTTAGGGCTGGATCAGGTGAGTCCTGAACCATCCCTTAGTTATGCTGCTATAGGCCTAGACTATCGGGGGATTTCCCATGGTGCACTGAGCTCCTCTCTTCCTCTCTCTTTCTGCACTCATTCATGTTCCATTAATGCATGTTACTAACTTCACTTCTTCCCCGGAGTTCTTGTGCTTTCTCGTCTCGCAGGTTCTCATGGATCCTGGTGGAGCCTCCTGCCATGGTCCTGCTAGATTGCCATTGCCAATACTGTTGTTGCTGTGCACCTGTCTGTCTGTCTGTCTCTCGCTCTCTCTCTCTCTCTCTCTCTCTCTCTCTACCCCAACTGGTCGAGACAGACGACCACCCACCTAGAGCCGGAGGATCTGTCCTAGGTTTCTGCCTTTTAACAGGCAGTGTTTCCTTGCCGTTGTCTCCAAGGTCTTGCTCATGGTGGTACTGTTGGGTCTCTGTAATTAATGTTTTAAAGAGTTCGGTCTAGACCTGCTCTATTTGAAAAGTGTCCTGAGATAACTTCTGTTATGAATTAGCGCTATACAAATAAAAGTGAATTGAATTGAATTGAATCATCAGTCACTACTATTAGCGCAGTTGTTGCTACTGTTGTTGCTGTGCACCTGTCTGCCTGCCTGTCTGTCTGTCTGTCTGTCTGTCTGTCTGTCTGTCTGTCTGTCTCTCTCTGTTTCTCTCTCTGTCTCTCCCTCTCTGTCTGTCTCTCTGTCTGTCTTGCTATACAAATACAATTTTATTGAATTGAATACTACTGAGTACTGCTCTTGTACCTGTAATGGGGTCTCAGGTTGGGAACTGCTGCTTTATACCAACATTTACTGATTGAGAATTCAATTCAATTCAATTTTATTTGTATAGCGCCAATTCATAACAGAAGTTATCTCAGGACACTTTTCAAATAGAGCAGGTCTAGACCGAACTCTTTAACATTAATTACAGAGACCCAACAGTACCACCATGAGCAAGCACTTGGCGACAAGGGCAAGGGAAAAACTGCCTGTTAAAAGGCAGAAACCTAGGACAGATCCTCCGGCTCTAGGTGGGTGGTTGTCTGTCTCGACCAGTTGGGGTGAGAGAGAGAGAGAGAGAGAGAGAGAGAGAGAGAGAGAGCGACAGACAGACAGACAGGTGCACAGCAACAACAGTATTGGCAATGGCAGTCAAGCAGGACCATGGCAGGAGGCTCCACCAGGATCCATGAGAACCTGCGAGACGAGAAAGCACAAGAACTCCGGGGAAGAAGTGGAGTTAGTAACATGCATTAATGGGACATGAATGAGTGCAGAAAGAGAGAGGAAGAGAGGAGCTCAGTGCACCATGGGAAATCCCCCGATAGTCTAGGCCTATAGCAGCATAACTAAGGGATGGTTCAGGACTCACCTGATCCAGCCCTAACTATAAGCTTTATCAAAGAGGAATGTCTTAAGCCTACTCTTGAATGTGGTGAGGGTGTCTGCCTCCCAAACCACAACTGGAAGCTGGTTCCACAGGAGAGGAGCTTGGTAACTGAAGGCTCTGGCTCCTGTTCTACTTTTAGAGACTATAGGAACCACAAGTAGCCCAGCATTCAGAGAACATAGTGTTCTAGTGGGGTAATAGGGTACTATGAGCTCTTTAAGATATGAAGGGGCCTGACCATGAAGAGCTTTATAGGTGAGGAGGAGTATTTTAAATTCAATTCTACATTTAATAGGGAGCCAATGCAGAGTAGCTAGTACAGGAGAGATGTGATCTCTTTTTCTAGTTCCTGTCAGTACTCGTGCTGCAGCGTTCTGAATTAATTGGAGCGTTTTAATGGACTTATTGGGGCAACCTGATAATAAAGAGTTGCAGTAATCCAGCCTTGAAGTAACAAATGCATGGATTAGTTTTTCTGCATCTGTCTGTGATAGTATGTGTCTAATTTTTCTAATATTACGTAAATGAAAGAAGGCAGTCCTAGAGGTCTGCTTTATGTGGGAGTTAAATGACAAATCCTGATCAAAGATAACTCCAAGATTCCTGACAGTGGTGCTAGAGGCCAAGTTAATGCCATCTAGAGTGACTATATCTTTAGACAATGAGTCTCTAAGGTTTTTGGGGCCAAGAACAAGAATTTCGGTTTTTTCTGAGTTTAACATCAGAAAATTGCAGGTCATCCAGGATTTTATGTCCTTAAGACATGTTTGTAATTTAGATAATTGATTAATTTCATTGGGTTTGATTGATAGATATAACTGCGTATCATCTGCATAACAGTGAAAGTTAATGGAGTGATTCCTAATAATGTTGCCTAAAGGGAGCATATATAAAGTAAATAGTATTGGTCCAAGTACAGAACCTTGTGGAACTCCATGACTAACTTTGAATGTGATCTTAATCCAGATTATTGATTGAGAATGTGATCTTGATCCGGATTACTGATTGGGAATGGAGGTTGATCTTAATCCAGATTATTGATTGAGAATGGAGGTTGATCTTAATCTGGATTACTGATTGGGAATCGAGGTTGATCTTAATCCAGATTATTGATCGAGAATGGAGGCTGATCTTAATCTGGATTACTGATTGGGAATGGGGGTCGATCTTAATCCTGATTATTGATTGAGAATGTGTTCTTAATCCAGATTATTGATTGAGAATGGAGGTTGATCTTAATCCAGATTATTGATTGAAAATGTGTTCTTGACCCTCAGTGCACCTTGGGAGTTCTCTTACCTTGCAAAATGCATGGCAATAAAAAAACTTAACACTACTGAGAATGGAGGTTGATCTTAATCCAGATTATTGATTGAGAATGTAATCTTAATTAAATTAAATTCAAATTCAATTCCGTTTTATTTGTATAGCGCCAATTCATAACAGAAGTTATCTCAGGACACTTTTGAAATGGAGCAGGTCTAGACCTAACTTCTTATTATAATCCAGATTATTAAACTATTATATATATATATATATATATATATATATATATATATATGTTGGTTGTGTGAACAAACAGGAGCCAGTAGTGCTGATTGATCGGTTGGGCGCTGATGTGTTTTAAGACAGAAGTTCCTGAGAAATAAAAGAGGAGGCGACTTCCTGTCTGGAGGTAATTCAGTGGAAAACGAAGTGAACTATCTGCAGAGATCAGACAGAGTGGAGGAACCGGACCGACAGAAACCGCATTAATGACAAACACATCCACAACCTCACAATAAATATCTTCATATTCAATTCTGTTTTATTTTTCATAACAGAAGTTATTTCAGGACACTTTTCAAATAGAGCAGGTCTAGATCGAACTCTTTAAAACATTAATTACAGAGACCCAACAGTACCACCATGAGCAAGACCTTGTGGCAAGGAAAAACTTCCTTTTAAGAGGCAGAAACCTCGGACAGACCCCGACTCCTGTTCTACTTTTAGAGACTATAGGAACCACAAGTAGCCCAGCATTCAGAGAACGTAGTGTTCTAGAGGGGTAATAGGGTACTATGAGCTCTTTAAGATATGAAGGGGCCTGACCATGAAGAGCTTTATAGGTGAGGAGGAGGATTTTAAATTCTATTCTACATTTTACAGGGAGCCAGTGCAGAGAAGCTAGTACAGGAGAGATGTGATCTCTTTTTCTAGTTCCTGTCAGTACTCGTGCTGCAGCGTTCTGAATTAATTGGAGCGTTTTAATGGACTAATTGGGGCAACCTGATAATAAAGAGTTGCAGTGATCCAGCCTTGAAGTAACAAATGCATGGATTAGTTTTTCTGCATCTGTCTGTGATAGTATGTGTCTAATTTTTGTAATATTACGTAAATGAAAGAAGGCAGTCCTAGAGGTCTGCTTTATGTGGGAGTTAAAAGACAAATCCTGATCAAAGATAACTCCAAGATTCCTGACAGTGGTGCTAGAGGCCAAGTTAATGCCATCTAGAGTGACTATATCTTTAGACAATGAGTCTCTAAGGTGTTTGGGGCCAAGTACAAGAAGAGTTTTCTTTGAACATCAGAAATTTGCAGCTCATCCAGGATTTTATGTCCTTAAGACATGTTTGTAATTTAGATAATTGATTTCATTGGGCTTGATCGATAGATATAACTGGGTATCATCTGCATAACATATAGAACATATCTGTGTCTTGAGACATGTTTTTGTGACCTGAAACATGTTTGATCAAATGTTCACCTGGATGATGTTATACCTGCCTCAGTCTGACCTATAACTGTGTTGAATATTACATATTCAGCAAACACCTGAACTGAATATAAAGTTGATTATGTTCTGTTACCTGAGAGGATCTGTCGCAGGTATGAAGGATATCTGTATCATAGTGTCCAATAAAACGTGTATTGTAGCATAGCTTTGTTCCTCTGCTGCCTGTGGACTGATTTCTATGTGTTTCTATGTAGGGATGAGGGTCAAAGGTTCCCTACAGTGCCAACAGTGGGCAACGCTAGCTAACGTTAGCTTATAAATGGAGTCCGCTAACGTCTACAAACAACCGACACCCACCACAACATAGAGTCCAAAGTCAAAGCTTACATTACTGCTAAGCATGTGGAACATATTGTGCTGTTAGCTGAGTAACGTTAGCTTGCTTGCTAATGTTAAATTATGTACAATACAATACAAACCTAACGATAGCTTTCTACTAGCCAAGAATGATGTGAGGCAGGTGCATCCAGCTAGCTAATGTAGCTAAGCTAACTGGGGTTGTCCAACTGTATCTTGGCTGTGCGGTGTGGTCTGGTGTTGGTTGCTTCGTGGTGTTGGCTGATTTGTAAACGGCGAGCTAGTTATTAGCATGGAGCTAACGGTCCAAATAAAATATAGGAACATTGCAGATAGAAACGTTATTCTAAATATGATTGTCAGTTATTTTACAGCGTTCAGTGTTTGTCTCTGTTGGCCGATGCCCAGGATGATGCAACAGGATGCTGACTGCAGTTCACTGAACGGCCACTGGTGGCGCTGTTAGCTACAGTTCAATGTTACATACATAAGCTTTAAATATGACAAATATATGTTCTACTAGTTGATGACAATTTGGTGTTTGGTTCGATTTCAGGTGATGGATTGTGGGTATTAAAGATGGCGGCTCTTTATTTATCAATAAAATCTGTTAACAGCTCCTTACTGTGTCGTTTTCCCTGAGGAGATTCTTGTCACAGATTTCAGTGGAAGTTCATCTGAAACCTGATCTGAAGAAGGAATGAAGACTGACAACAGACAGACCTGGAGGAGGAATGTGGTGGCAATTTGTTTAAAAAAGTATGCAAAGTATGATCTTGTCTTTCTGTAAGGTTTTATTCAAGTCATCCATGAATGGTCTCAATGCAACCGTCACACACTCTCGTATGTGAAAGTCCGAAGAGCCCCGATTGGCAGAAGCAGTATGGTTTTATCCCTGCTGGAGCGTCACTCTAACACAGAGACACATTCCTGAGTTGTGGGACAGTAAACAGACAGATAGTGTGGTGAGATGATCATGTCCTTCTTAGTGAAGTCTCAACATCCCGCTGTTTACCTGGACATAGAGTGTAGGTAGAAACAGGGCTAAAGGTTATATGCATATAATATCCTCTTTAACAGTTGCATATGGTTTTACAATGACCAGGTCAAAGGTTGTATAGGTTCTTAAAAATTGCCATTACAGGAGGAAAAGGAGGAGGAGGAGGAGGAGGAGGAGGAGGTGATCAATACTTTAAATAATAAAAAGAAGTAATACCACAATATACTGCAAGTAAATATCCGTTATTTGAAATGTGACTTCAATTAAACTTTTATCATTTAAAATGCATTGTTATTGTTCACTGTTATTATTATTATTATTATTACAGTTTTATTAATATCATAATTGATTATATTTCCAATATTTTAATGTTCATAATGAGGAAATGATTTTAATAAAAAGTATCATTCATTAATGTTGTGACTCCACAATTTAAACAGTCAGGAAGTTTATTAACATATGAGCGCCACCATGTGGTCGAAAGCAGCAGCTGCACAAAATAATGCTGACAGATATTATATTTACATTATTACACAGACAGGATTATTATTATTTTTTGTCAATAAATCAATATTTCGAATAAAGTATTCATACTGTTCAACCTCAGTTACACTCAGACACAGAAATACAGAAATAAATCTGTTTGTGGAATCGATCAATAATCAATATGTTTATTTATCTTTATAATAAATAAATCTGTTGGTGGAATCGATCAATAATCAATATGTTTATTTACCTTTATAATAAATAAATCTGTTTGTAGAATCGATCAATAATCAATATGTTTATTTACCTTTATAATAAATAAATCTGTTTGTAGAATCGATCAATAATCAATATGTTTATTTACCTTTATAATAAATAAATCTGTTTGTAGAATCGATCAATAATCAATATGTTTATTTATCTTTATAATAAATAAATCTGTTGGTGGAATCGATCAATAATCAATATGTTTATTTACCTTTATAATAAATAAATCTGTTTGTAGAATCGATCAATAATCAATATGTTTATATATCTTTTTGATAAATAAATCTGTTTGTAGAATCGATCAATAATCAATATGTTTATTTATCTTTATAATAAATAAATCTGTTGGTGGAATCGATCAATAATCAATATGTTTATTTACCTTTATAATAAATAAATCTGTTTGTAGAATCGATCAATAATCAATATGTTTATATATCTTTTTAATAAATAAATCTGTTTGTAGAATCGATCAATAATCAATATGTTTATATATCTTTATAAGGTGGAATCAATCAATAATCAATATGTTAATATATCTTTATTGATCGATTCCACCTTATAATCAATATGTTTCAGTAAACAGACTCTTTAGTATTCTGTGATGATGTCACTGATGATGTCACCGGTTGGAGGGGCGGTACCAGTCTCTCCCGGCTCCTGTCAATCACGGCCTGACGTCATGTGTCCAGAGCGTTTCCGGTGCAGGAAGGCGGGGCCTCGGTGTTCCTGTGGGAGAGACAGACAGGTGAGTCAGGTCAGCACTCAGCACCAGGAACACACTTCCGGTACCAGGACGTCAGCCTTCAAAATAAAAGTGTGATTCTTAACTGTTAGATTTTTGTTTGTTTGAATGAGTTTTTGTCTTTAAACGTTTTAACATGTTTATTATTATTATTATTATTATTATTATTATTATTACAGAGTTTGTTGTTAATTAATTAATAATTCAATCCTTTATTTTCTTCTCATTTGGAAGGAAAATCTGAATTTTAAAATCAATATTATTTGAATATGATCATTTTAGGTTTTTATAAATAAATCTTGAACTCTTATAATAATTATACTACTAATCAATTTGATCAATTATTTTCATAATGAACTGATCGATTGTTTGTTTACATATTAAAATGATTGTAAAACTGAATTTTAGACAACAATGAACTAATATTACAGTCAGGGGATTAATGATCAGTTCATCAACAAATTGATTAATTGATTACTGATCTTAAGTGCGCATGCGCGAAAGCTGCTTGCTGCCTGTTACGTTGCTCCAACCTTTGAGTTTAGGTAATTTCCCCCTGGGATTATTAAAGTATTTCTGATTCTGATTCTGATTTCAACTTCAGACAGAAACCTTAAACTTCTCATTATTGTTTTCTGTACATGAGGTCGGTGGATATCACAGTATCCTGTATATATTACAGTAAAAACAATGTATATGGTTACTGTAAATATGTATACTGTTTATACTACAGTAAATATACATACTGTTTATATTATGGTAAATATATACTGTTTATATTACAGTAATATATATATATACTGTTTATATTACAGTAAATATATATATACTGTTTATATTACTGTAAATATACTGTTTATACTACAGTGAATATATATATACACTGTTTATATTACAGTAAATATATATATACTGTTTATACTACAGTAAATATATACACTGTTTATATTACAGTAAATATAGACACTGTTTATATTACAGTAAATATATTTACTGTTTATATTACAGTAAATATATACACTGTTTATATTACAGTAAATATATATACTGTTTATATTACAGTAAATATAAACAGTAAATTATACTACAGTAAATATATACACTGTTTATATTACAGTAAATATATACATTGTTTATAGTACAATATATATACTGTTTATAGTACAGTAAATATATACACTGTTTATATAACAGTAAATATATACACTGTTTATATTACAGTAAATATAAACAGTAAATTATACTACAGTAAATATATACACTGTTTATATTACAGTAAATATATACATTGTTTATAGTACAATATATATATACTGTTTATAGTACAGTAAATATATACACTGTTTATATTACAGTAAATATATATACTGTTTATACTACAGTAAATATATACACTGTTTATATTACAGTAAATATATATACTGTTTATACTACAGTAAATATATACACTGTTTACAGTAAATATATATACTGTTTATATTACAGTAAATATATATACTGTTTATACTACAGTAAATATATACACTGTTTATATTACAGTAAATATATATACTGTTTATAGTACAGTAAATATATATACTGTTTATATTACAGTAAATATATACACTGTTTATATTACAGTAAATATAAACAGTAAATTATACTACAGTAAATATATACACTGTTTATATTACAGTAAATATATACATTGTTTATAGTACAATATATATATACTGTTTATAGTACAGTAAATATATACACTGTTTATATTACAGTAAATATATATACTGTTTATACTACAGTAAATATATACACTGTTTATATTACAGTAAATATATATACTGTTTATACTACAGTAAATATATACACTGTTTACAGTAAATATATATACTGTTTATATTACAGTAAATATATATACTGTTTATACTACAGTAAATATATACACTGTTTATATTACAGTAAATATATATACTGTTTATAGTACAGTAAATATATATACTGTTTATATTACAGTAAATATATACACTGTTTATATTACAGTAAATATATATACTGTTTATAGTACAGTAAATATATATACTGTTTATATTACAGTAAATATATATACTGTTTATACTACAGTAAATATATACACTGTTTATATTACAGTAAATTTATATACTGTTTATATTACAGTAAATATATATACTGTTTATACTACAGTAAATATATACATTGTTTATAATACAGTAAATATATATATTGTTTATAGTACAGTAAATATATACACTGTTTATATTACAGTAAATATATATACTGTTTATACTACAGTAAATATATACATTGTTTATAATACAGTAAATATATATATTGTTTATAGTACAGTAAATATATACACTGTTTATACTACAGTAAATATATACACTGTTTATATTACAGTAAATATATATACTGTTTATACTACAGTAAATATATACACTGTTTATACTACAGTAAATATATACATTGTTTATAGTACAATATATATATACTGTTTATAGTACAGTAAATATATACACTGTTTATACTACAGTAAATATATACATTGTTTATAGTACAATATATATATACTGTTTATAGTACAGTAAATATATACACTGTTTATATTACAGTAAATATATACTGTTTATATTACAGTAAATATATATACTGTTTATAGTACAGTAAATATATATACTGTTTATACTACAGTAAATATATACACTGTTTATACTACAGTAAATATATATACTGTTTATACTACAGTAAATATATATACTGTTTATATTACAGTAAATATATACACTGTTTATATTACAGTAAATATATACACTGTTTATACTACAGTAAATATATATACTGTTTATACTACAGTAAATATATACACTGTTTATACTACAGTAAATATATATACTGTTTATACTACAGTAAATATATACACTGTTTATACTACAGTAAATATATACACTGTTTATACTACAGTAAATATATATACTGTTTATACTACAGTAAATATATACACTGTTTATACTACAGTAAATATATATATGTACTGTATATACTACGATAATATGAAGATGTGTAATGTGTTTTGAGTGATGATTTTATGTTTTAAAAACAAAGCTGAATTTCAACAATGAAAAACAATAATAATAATTATAATAATAGTAATAATGGTAATATAATAATAATAATAATAATAATAATAATAATTATAAGAATAATAATAATAATAATAAGAATAAGAATAGTAATGTATTATTTTAGATGGATCGTGCTGTCTCAGTTACATTAACCAATAAAATATCAGATTATGGTTATAAATCCTAAAATAAATACTAATATTTATAGCATTTTAAATGAACATTATTCGAGCTTATAAATCCTGAAGTAAATATTTAGTATTATAATAATAATTATTTGTAATATTTTGAATGGATCAGAGACATCCTGCCAGGACCATGTGAAACAGTGTGTGTGGTGTTTTATTGTGAAACTCTGTGTGAGCGGAAATGTGTTTATAGTGTCCAGCCCGCTGTGGACGATCCGTTCTGGAATCAGCCATATTCCCAAAGAGCAGCCACACCGGCAGACAGCCCCAAACTACCGAAAACCCGTTCTCCGACCGGCGAACACGGTGCTAACGGCCGCTGCGGTCCGACCCGAGTCCGGCCCGGAGCTCCCGGTCATGTTACCGAGTTGATACACCGAGCTGAGGACCACCGGACGGAGTCGACGGTTCCTGAGAGGAAAGTCCAGATTTACCGGGATTAACTGCCGATGTAGAGGACGGACGGACCGACGGCTCTCAACAGGACGGAGCGACGGTAACCGGCGGACACTCACCGACACACACCGACACACCGACCGCCTCTCTGCGCTGAATGTCGGGAATGTTCTCCCGGAGCTAACGACCTAGCCGCGGTGAGCTCGGCAGCACTCGGCGGCACTCGGCGGCACTCGGAGGCTGGGCGGAGGGATACGCTGTGTGGCGGGTAAGAACTAACGATACTCACGATCCGATATCGATCACGATTTATCAATAAAAATAGATTTAAGAGTAATTATTACTGAAACAGACAAAATATACCTAATTTATATTCATTGTATTAAATTTCTGACGTATAAACTTACTTAAGCGTGAAACTGATAACTATTAATATACTTTATTGATCCAGGGGATACATTTTTTAACAGTTCTGGGATATACATGAAAGCATATGTCACTTCCTGTCTTCAGAACGGTCACGCCCCTTTTAAAAGTTCCCAGTGTCCGCCATCTCTCTCCATTGGGAGCCGCTGTATATGGGCAGGAACCAACTGAACACCTCTCGCGTTTGTACAGGCCATTTATAGTAGAACCTACAGTACAGTCTCTTTCTAGATCCAGTGTTGGGTTTGTCCATTCTGGGCTACTGTAGAAACATGGTGGTTCAACATGGCGGACTCCGCCAGCAGAGGAACTTCTGTAGACAGTCAGTGAGTGTGTCTGTGTCCAACTCTTCCTCACAGGTTAGTTAATGACAGACAGTCAGTGAGTGTGTCTGTGTCCAACTCTTCCTCACAGGTTAGTTAATGACAGACAGTCAGTGAGTGTGTCTGTGTCCAACTCTTCCTCACAGGTTAGTTAATGACAGACAGTCAGTGAGTGTGTCTGTGTCCAACTCTTCCTCACAGGTTAGTTAATGACAGACAGTCAGTGAGTGTGTGTCTGTGTCCAACTCTTCCTCACAGGTTAGTTAATGATGTTACTGAGTCAATGTGAGCAGATTGTGTCTGTAGACTGAAGAGAATCAGAGTCTCACTGATGGTGGAAATAAAGGTTTTACTTCCTTAAAACAGCCGTTTTTTGAATGGAGTTTGGTGTGACAGTGTGGAGCAGAGGGGATTTGAACCTTAATAATTCCCATAAACTGAGCTGACCTACCTTCTAATAATGAAGCTTGTAAACAGCAGAAGGTAACAGAAAGTGGAGATAAACCTTCCTGTTTTCTTCTTTCATGCATCCTGGAGAACCTGGAAATGTAGAGACTAGTTTTGCAGTCATGGTAATGTGAAATAATCTGTGTTGTCCTGGAACATTTTAAAAGTATTTGACTGTGCAGTATGACACAAAGCAGGTTCATCAGACGTGGAACAACCTTTCTGATGTTGAGTCTATTTTTACTGGAGCTGTGAGCAGATTTCAGTCCAGGGAAAAGGTCTAGCTGTTGGTAATAAACACACAGTGATGTTAACTGTATGTTCAGCAAACACTGTAAACTTCTTTTACTGACTAAGAGAAGAATTATGTTCGTTTACTCATCAACCACTGTGTCCTTATTTAAAATATAAGGGTTAGGGTTATTTCTAGGAACATTGTTACTAGTTTGTAGGTATTTTGGATTAATCCATAAGTGATGCTTTAAAATGTGTGAAAGTTTATCAACAGCATTGTTTGTCACTGCACAGAGGATTATTGATCCTAACAGATAAAATCAATACTGTATTATTATTATTATTATTATTCTTATTATTATTCTTATTATTATTCTTATTAAAGATCAGACATGTTCCTGCAGTTTAATGCTGCATGTTGATGATGAAGTGTCTTAGGTTTGTTACAGTTAATGCTAATGTTTACATATACTTTATACACCTTATTATTATATATATTATTCACATTATACACATTATTCACATTATATACATTATTATTATACACATTTTTCACATTATATACATTATACACATTAAACACATTATTATTATACACATTCACATTATACACATATACATTATACATATTATACACATCATACACATTATTATATACATTATATACATTGTATACATTATACACATTTATACACATGATGCACATTATACACATTATTCACATTATACACATATACATTATACACATTATTATATACATTATATACATTGTATACATTATACACATTTATACACATGATGCACATTATACACATTATTCACATTATACACATATACATTATACACATTATTATATACATTATATACATTGTATACATTATACACATTTATACACATTTATACACATGATGCACATTATACACATTATACACATTTTTCACATTATACACATCATACACATTATTATATACATTATATACATTGTATACATTATACACATTTATACACATGATGCACATTATACACATTATTCACATTATATACATTATTATTATACACATTTTTCACATTATATACATTATACACATTATACATATTATTATACACATGATGCACATTAAACACATTATATACATAACATATATATATACATTATACACATTATTATTATACACATTATTCACATTATACACATATACATTATACATATTATTATACACATCATACACATTATTATATACATTATATACATTGTATACATTATACACATTTATACACATGATGCACATTATACACATTATACACATTATTCACATTATACACATTATTATATACATAGACATTATTCACTTTATGCACATTATATACATTATACACATTCACATTATATACATTATACACGTACACATTATACACCTTATACACATTATATACATTATACTAGGGATGCACCGATCCACATTTTTTCACTTCTGATCCGATCCCGATACCTGAATTTGGATATCGGCCGATACCGATACTATTCCGATACCAGAGATCTGTTTTCTTTAATATTATTATTATCATTATTGTTGATTTTATATGAGATAGTATGAATAAACTCCTCAACAGGCAAGTATGATCTGTACGTATGTATGCATGTATGTCCCAAAAGGAAACTTGAGGTAAGTATAAGGTCAGAAAAGGAAGTCAGAAAAACAGGAAATCCTGTTAACAGGAAAAATCCTATCCTGAAAACAAATATGCAACTGTAAGGGTTTCAAATTGATTGTCATGTCAATATTTATTAAATTCCCAAAATGTCAAATATTTGAGTCTTGAAATATGAGAAAAGTGCAATAAGTGTAAACATCTTACACACACACACACATACACACACACACACACACACACACACACACACACACACACACACACACGTTGTCTGCCTGGAGTTTACCTTGTTTCTGGAATGACTCCAGAAGTGATTCCTGACAGCTCGCCTAAAAAATCCTTGTGCTGTTTCGTGTGGTGCTTTTTTAAATGTTTGATTGCGTTCGTAGTGCTGTACGACACGAGGGCGCTTCCGGGTCTCTGAATTACGGCTTTGCAAACATTGCATTTTGCTGTCTTGCTCTGCGGTGTTTCCAGTGTAAAGTATTTCCACACAGCGGACATGTTGGCTAGCCACAATGCTGCTCAATGCTATCCTGGAATGGATTTCCTGAACGGAGGCGCGGCTCAATGAGACACAGAGTTATGAGACACGCCCCCGCTCAGGAAATCCATTCCACAGTTTGCAGCCAGCTAGCAGACTGGCCGGCAGGAACCACCTGTGGAGTCATTTCAGCAGACAACGTTAACGCTCATGGCTCATGGATATCGGAAATCTGCGCAGGTTGGATCGGGAAATTCCGATACGTGAATTACGCTGGTATCGGTCCCGATACCGATACTGGATCGGATCGGCCCCATCCCTACTTTATACACATACATTATATACATTATACACATTATTCAGATTATACACATTATATACATTATTCACATTATACACAGATACATTGTACACATTATACACATTATTCAGATTATACACATTATATACCTATACATTATTCACTTTATGCACATTATATACATTATTCACATTATACACAGATACATTGTACACATTATACACATTATTATGATTATATACATTAAGAAGAAGAAGAAGATATACTTTATTAATCCCCTAGGGGATATTGTTCTTTTCACTCTTTTTTTATACACACACACACACAGGCTGAAATACACACTTTCATGCACTTGTGGACATGCCAACAGGGAGAGAAATGGTGGAGTGATGGGGCTGCAAAGTTAACTGCTCCCCACGAGCAGGCTTGTGGTTAGGTTGCCTTGTTCAAGGGCACCTGGGCAGTGCACAGGAGGTGAAACTGGCACCTCTCCAGCTACCAGTCCACACTTCATAAATACAAATTATACACATATACATTATACACATTACTCACATTATACACATATACATTATACACATTATACACATTACTCACATTATTCATATTATACACATTATTCACATTATTCACATTACTCACATTATATACATTATACACATTATTATACACATTATATACATTATACACATTATTATACACATTATATACATTATACACATTATTATACATATTATATACATTATTATTATACACATTATATACATTATACACATGATACACATTATATACATTATACACATGATATACATTATTCACATGATACACATTATATACATTATTCACATGATACACATTATATACATTATTCACATTATACACATTATTATTATTATACACATTATTCACATTATACACATTATTATTATTATACACATTATACACATTATACACATTATTCACATTATTCACTTTATGCACATTATACACATTATACACATTCACATTATATAGTGCTGTCAGTTAAACGCGTTATTAACGGTGTTAACGCAAACCCATTTTAATGGCGGTTGCAACAACTAGTAACGTTAGAAAAACTACAACACCACACCGGATCTATCTAGACCGGAAACAAAACAACAGGCATGCCGCACACACTTGTTTAAGAGTAGTAGACGTTACGTTTTGAGTGGATGGCGTGTGCAAGACGCCGAAATGGATGCCAATAATATTCTGAATGGAAAGTTTACTTTTAAAAAGTTGCCAAATGGTTCCATTGACAAGACCAAAGTGATCTGTGTGTTTTGTCGTTGTGTACTGAGCTCCAAGTGTGAATGACTGCTCCAAGTGAAATGTTATTATTTCAATTTATGCTGCTAAACTGCACAGTGTGTATTGTTGTATATTATATATACCTACGTTTAACTGCAATTTTTGTTGCATTTTGTCACATTTAGTTACTTGTTTTCTCTTTTTCTACTTATGTTACCTGTAAGTGCTTGCATTTGTTGCATTTAGTTAATTGTTTGATTAATTTTATGTTAGCCTTTATTTTATTATTTATTTTATTTTAGCTTATTTTTACTCTAACCCTGTATTACTTTCCCACCTTTGTATTGAAACTGTTGCACAGTAATTTCCCTCGGGATAAATAAAGCTTCTTGAATCTTGAATCTTGAAATTGAACACTACAGTATATGCCAATGTTTTCAATAAAAACATTTGCACAAAGCAAGCCGATCCACTTTTCCATGTTGATAAGAGCATTAAAATAAGAAAAAATTATGTGACAAAAAGAAATCAAGGGACATGTAGAATAGATAAAAATGTGCGATTAATTGTGAGTTAACTATGACATTAATCGCAATTAATCACGATTAAATATTTTAATCGTGATATACACATTATTCATTTTATTCATATTATTCACATTATACACATATACATTATACACATTATACACATACATTATACACATTATTCACATTATACACATACATTATTCACTTTATGCACATTATTCACATTATACACATATACATTATTCACTTTATGCACATTATTCACATTATACTCACCCCCCCATTCATTAGGTTCATTAGAAGCCATTAGGAACCGGTCCATTAGGAGCCATTAGGAACTGGTCCATTAGGAACCGGTCCATTACAGGGCTCCAGACTAACTTTTTGCATTGGTTGCACTGGTGCGCCTAACTTTTTTTTTTTTAGGTGCACCAGCACAAAATGTAGGTGCACCCAAATTTTTCATTGCGTCACCTTTAACGCCATAAGGTCACCTTTTTATCGCTCTCCATATAATGTGAATGATTTTTAAACAAGAATAAGGTGTAGAGAAATGCTTTATTTGAAGCACAATTATATATAAAAAGAAAAATAAAGTGTTTAAAGTGCTTCACTGAGCTGAAATTGAACATTTCAAACTAAAACACTAAGCAAAATAAAACATTTCCAAATAAAAGTTTTGATACGAAACGTTGTTGACCCGCTCACGAATGCACTATTTCCGGCCATATTCTGACCGCACTCCTGACAGTACACGCAGTGCATTGCGTTACGTCCTTTGTTGAACCTCAGCCAGGGAACTTGTTTCAGCCAGTCCTGTCTGAAGGAATATATTTTGAACTTTTTAATTTGGGTCTCGGCGCCGGGCTCTATCCCAGACTCGGTTGTCTCCTCCTCTGGTTCCGAGTCTGATGCTGTCGCCGAAGGACCGGGGATCGGCAATTTTTAAACACACAACTTAGCGCGGTGAACAGGACCACAGCCAATCAGAGGCAAAGACCCGCCCGAGCTCTGTCTCTTATTGGTTTAGAACCCGATATGATCCTACCATGAGTGTGTGAGTTCACTCACAGGAGAACACAGAGAGATGATGTGCTTGCAAAATAAATGTATGTTTTCACCCGGGCAGCGTCAGGTGCACCAGTGCGACCTAGAAAATTATAAGTCGCACTCTTAAAAATTTTGGTCGCATGTGTCGCAATCTGGAGCCCTGCATTAGGAGCCATTAGGAACCGGTTCATTAGGAGTCATTAGGAACCGGTTCATTAGGAGCCATTAGGAACCGGTCCATTAGGAGCCATTAGGAACCGGTCCATTAGAAGCTGGTTCATTAGGAACCGGTTCATTAGGAGTCATTAGGAACCGGTCCATTAGGAGTCATTAGGAACCGGTCCATTAGGAACCGTTACAGCTGGTTTCAATCTAAAGGGGGTGTGGCTTCTGAAGACAGGAAGTGACACAGTGCTTTTAATTTCTGTATGACTTTAATCATATTCCTGTAAACTGCAGCTGAAACAACATTAATGGAACATTACAGAAATACTTTATTATAGTGTTTGTACAGCTATTGTATTCATTTTATTTTGAAAAGGAAGCAGTGTTAAGGTAGTTTTATTTTGACGTTGTGTTATTTATTGTTTGAATAAAATTCTTCAGTATGTCCTTGATCACCTAACCATCAACCTGTCTCCATACATTCATACGTTCCCAGTGGCGGGGTCGGTCAGCGGTTTCTGAGCGCAGCGGCGGCGACTGTCCCGGGTCAGTATGTCGGCTCAGGTGCGTCTGAAGCGCCTGGAAGAGCTGCTGCTGGAGCAGAAGATGGCAGGCTGTCTGAGCGTGGAGGCGCTACTCGACCTGCTGCTCTGCTTCTACACTGAGGTCTCCCACTCCCCCCTGAAGCGGGAGAAACACGTCACCGACTTTCTGCAGTGGGGTAACTACTTCCTGTCCCAGTGATCAATACGCATATTGTTAGAGCAACAGTCACACAATCAATCAATCAGAATCAGTCAGCAGTTATCACATGGGGGTCAGTGGGGATCACATGGGGGTCCAAGGGACTTTAAAGGACTCCTTGATCAGCTCCAGGGGTCCTTGAAGAGTTAGAGATCCTGTTCCAGGGAGGTTCTGAAGGACCCAGAGAGGACTCCAGGTTACCCTGAACAGTTCCCAGGCTGTTTCAGGACTCTCTGGTCCACTGTGTCCTGGTTCAGCCTGTTCCTGCTCAGCACGCTCTGTCCTGGTTTGGTCTGTCCTGCTTTCAGGAGCTATTTGAGTCTCTGGTGAAGAAGTCTGATGGCTGTATCAGTGTTGTATTGATCAGTTCATTTGGTGCTGCTGATGATGATGCAATAAAATATTGATACACTTGATATTTAGTGATTATCTATCATATTGATCTGTTAGACAGCAGGGCTGTGATTACTGGTTACAGTTACTGCTGACAAGTACTGATAACTATTGATCATTACCGGTTTCACTGTTCAGGTTGAATGTAAAACTTTGGTGTGTGTGTGTGTGTGTGTGTGTGTGTGTGTGTGTGTGTGTGTGTGTGTGTGTGTGTGTGTGTGTGTGTGTGAATAATATTCGTCTATATGTTAGTGTGGTAATAAGTATGTTTGTCTATATATTGATTGGTATTGATTGATATTGATCTTCTTCAGTGAAACCATTCACTACGACAGTGAAGGACATGCGGCTGCACAGAGATGACTTTGAGATGCTGAAGGTGATTGGACGAGGAGCTTTTGGAGAGGTAAGACTTCCTGTTGACCTCTGACCCCCATCAGTCAGTTCCTCCTCTTCCTCAGTAGTTGAGTGAGAAACTCTCCTCATTAGAAACAGGAAATAGTCAGGAACAGACAGGAAGTAAAGACCTGGTGTGAACAGGAAACTCCATGTTTCCTGTTCACACACACACTCTCACACACACACACACACACACACACAGTGTTAGCTGTTAGCAGCAGTGTTAAGGCCCGGACACACCAACCAGATTATCGGCTGTCGGACGTCGTCGGACAGTCGGGCGAGGTCGGTGACTCGAGTTGGTTCGGTGTTCCATGCCGTCGTCAGTCGGCGTCGGCGTTCATTTTGGCGGCCAGTGGCCGTCGGCCTCAATGACCAATCTGATTGGTGGAGTGCTAGCCCTTGACTAGTGAATCAGTGAGTGCACGAGAAAACCGGAAGATGGTAAACATACTACACCAACGCCAGTATCTTGTTATTATTAGCCATCGTATTATCCGTTCAGGGAGTAATGACAACAACGATCCTTCTTGACTACCATCAACACTCTCTGATGAAAACAGTGACTGACCACAGCGTGCTCTGTGTTTACTACGTCTACAGTGATCCGTCATTTCCGGCTAAATTTTTTTGGGGCAACAACACAGATTAGCGCCGCCTGCTGTTATGGGGACGTATTACGTCTCACGCGCAGAACGTACGCTCCAGTCGGCGTCGGTTTGGTCTGTTCGTCGGCACTTTTTTGACCGACTCGGGGACACGGGAGCCGACTGATCAGTCCGGTCGGCCGTCGGGTTGGTGTGTCCTGGCCTTTAGCTGTTAGCTGTTAGCAGCAGTGTTAGCTGTTAGCAGCAGTCTGTGGCTGTGAGACAGAAGGTGTGTGGCTCTCCAGTCAGTCTGTATCAGATCCTGTTGATCAGTAACCGGTCTCTGGTCTCTGATAACAAATGGACTGAAGTCCATCTGTTATTGATCCTCTGCACAGACTGAATGGATCAGTTCCACGCTGCTGCAACCACTCACACTGTGTCTACTAAAGCGCTCTCTACTAGCATTAGCATTGATAACATACAGTCCTAAGAGGGACATATTGATGACCTAAAACACTGAAATATAACGAAGCATTCAAACACTGATTTGATGTTGGTTACCATTGCAACGGTTAACGTCTACAAGCAGTCAGCCATATTGTGCTATATATATATATATATATATATATATATATATATATATATATATATATATATATATATATATATATATATATATTAGGGCTGTAACGGTTCTGAAACCGAGACTGAAATCGCGACACAAAAGTCCACGGTCTCGTGTCGCGGATTTGAGAGACAGAACAGCGACACACTCACTCCCTGGACTGTTGAGCTCTCGTTAAGACAGTGTAACTGCGGCGGTGGCGGCGGCCCGTGGGGTGGTAGCGGTGTACGCCTATATCGTATTTGTATTGACAGTTGGTTATTCTAGGTTACTGTTTATTTACTACTTTAATCTGCTCCCTTTCTCTTCTCCCCACACTCACACACTCACACACCTAGTCTGGACCTCTGCTCACTCACAGCAAACACGCCCTCTTGCTCCGCCTCTTTCTGTCTCTCTCTCCCTGTGTGTGTCTCTGCTGACTTTCTCCATCAGCAGTACGTTTCATAAACTCACCCGTGATTCAGTTTTCAAGTGCACTGCATGTGGGTCCAAACCCAAACTAACGTTAGTGAGTGACATCTGCAGTGGTGCGTTCACTGACACTCCGTAATGTAAGATTTCTGCCGTATCCGCTTAACGTAATATCAGATAACGTCTCTCTCTCTCTCTGTTTCTCTGCTAAATGGGGAAACGGGGAAAACTGCAGTATGAACCGAACCGTGGCTCAAAAATCGAGGTCTGAACCGAACCGTGGATTTGGTGAATTGTTACACCCCTATATATATATATATATATATATATATATATATATATATATATATATGACATTTATTTACAATAGAATACATCACAGCACATACACATTACACATATTATCGTGTGTGTGTGAGAGTGAGTGTGTACATTGTACATACCTGAGGAAAGCTGTGTCAGAGCCACACCTGGCTGCTGCCTCAAGCTATAAACACACAAAGGTTGGGGTTGGTGTGTTTGTGAGGACAGAGCTCTGTGTGGTCCTTACAAACACACAGTTACACTGTAAACACTGAAACACACTCGGGCACACAGATTACAGGTAGAACAGGTGAGGCTCAGACAGTCTGACAGCTCAGCCAATCAAAGAGCTGCACTGTTTGACAGTCTTACCTTCCTTACAGTATACGCTCCCTCTCTCTCTCTCTCTCTCTCTCTCTCTCTCTCTCTCTCTCTCTCTCTCTCTCTCTCTCTCTCTCTCTCTCTGTGTCTCTCTCTCGCTCTCTCTCTCTCTCTCTCTCTCTCTCTCTGTGTCTCTCTCTCGCTCTCTGTCTCTCTCTCTGTGTCTCTCTCTCTGTGTCTCTCTCTCGCTCTCTCTGTGTCTCTCTCTCTGTGTCTCTCTCTCGCTCTCTGTCTCGCTTTCTGTCTCTCTCTCTCTGTGTCTCTCTCTCTCTCTCTCTCAGTCGTTGGTGATGTCTCTTGCCCTCTCTCTCTCAGGTTGCCGTGGTGAAGATGAAGCACACAGAGAGAGTTTATGCGATGAAGATTCTCAATAAGTGGGAGATGTTAAAGAGAGCCGAGGTGAGTTTGGAGCCCATTGATCAGCATCCTTCATTAGAAACCAGTCTGGATCTCCAACCCTTCCCACTCCCCACCAACCAATTAACTCTCCCCACTAACCAACAAACCAACCACACTAACTAACCAGCTTACTCCTCCCACTAACCAACTAACCAACCCTCCCCACTAACCAACCAACCAACCCTCCCCACTAACCAACCAACCAACCCTCCCCACCAACCCTCCAACCAACCCTCCCCACTAACTAACCAATCCTCCCCACTGTGTTGTATACAGACAGCGTGTTTCAGAGAAGAACGTGACGTCCTGGTGAAAGGAGACAGTCAGTGGATCACTACTCTACACTACGCCTTCCAGGACGACAACTACCTGGTCAGTACTACTACTACTACTACTACTACCACTACTATTACTACTACCACTACTACTACTACTACTACTACTACTACTACTACCACTGATACTACTACCACTGATACTACTACTACTACTACTACCACCACTACTATTACTACTACCACTACTACTACTACTACTACCACTACTATTACTACTACCACTACTACTACTACTACTACTACTACTACTGATACTACTACTACTACTACTACTACCACTGATACTACTACTACTACTACCACTACTATTACTACTACCACTACTACAACTACTACTACTACTACTACTGATACTACTACTACTACTACTACCACTGATACTACTACTACTACCACTGATACTACTACTACTACTACTACTACTACTACTACCACTGATACTACTACCACTGATACTACTACTACTACCACTGATACTACTACTACTACCACTGATACTACTACTACTACCACTGATACTACTACTACTACTACTACTACTACTACTACTACTACCACTGATACTACTACCACTGATACTACTACCACTACTACTACTACCACTGATACTACTACCACTGATACTACTACCACTACTACTACTACTACTACCACTGATACTACTACTACTACTACTGATACTACTACTACTACCACTACCAATAATACTACTACCACTGATACTACTACCACTGATACTACTACTACTACTACTGATACTACCACTACCAATACTACTAATACTACTACTGATACTACTACTACTACTACTACTACTACTACTACTACTACTACTGATACTATTACTACTACTGATACTATTACTACCACTACTACTACTACTACTACTATACTACTACTACCACCACTGATACTACTACTACTACTACCACTGATACTACTACTACTACTACCACTGATACTACTACTACTACCACTACTACTACTACTACTACTACCACTGATACTACTGATACTACTACTACTACTACTACTACTGATACTACTACCACTACCACTACTACTACTACTACTGAACTACTGATACTACTACCACTACCACTACTACTACTACTACTGAACTACTGATACTATTACTACTACTACTACTACTATTACTACTACTACTGATACTACTACTACTACTACTGATACTACTACTACTACTACTACTACTGATACTACTACTACTACTGATGATACTACTACTACTACTACTACTGATACTACTACTGATACTACTACTGATACTACTACTGATACGACTACTGATACTACTACTGATACTACTACTACTACTACTGATACTACTACTGATACTACTACTACTACTGATACTACTACTACTACTACTGATACTACTACTGATACTACTACTACTACTGATACGACTACTGATGATACTACTACTACTACTACTACTGATACTACTACTGATACGACTACTGATACGACTACTGATACGACTACTGATACTACTACTGATACTACTACTACTACTACTGATACTACTACTGATACTACTACTACTACTGATACGACTACTGATACTACTACTACTACTGATACTACTACTACTACTGATACTACTGATACTACTACCACGACTACTACTACTACTACTACTACTACTACTACTGATACAGTTACTTCATCATGTATTACTGGGCGCCCGGTTAGCTCAGTGGGTAGAGCTGGCGACCCATGTACCGAGGCTGAGTCCTTGCTGCAGCAGTTCAGGGTTCGAATCCGACCTGCGACCCTTTGCTGCGTGTCATCCCCTCTCTCTCTACCCCCCTTTCCTGTCTATCTTCAGCTGTAACTATCAAATTAGGGCAATAAAAGGCCAAAAAAAAATGTATTACCTACTTAACTTTAAAAAAATATATGTGTATTACTGTGTATTACTGCAATACCTGCTGATGAGTGTAGTATTAATATGTGTATTACTGTGTATTACTGCAGTACCTGGTGATGGATTACTACGTGGGGGGGGACCTGCTCACTCTGCTCAGTAAGTTTGAGGATCGTCTTCCTGAAGAAATGTCCAAGTTCTACGTCGCTGAGATGGTGCTCGCCATCCACTCCATCCACCAGCAGCACTACATCCACAGGTACTGATTATATACGCTTTATACTGTTATACACTGTTATATACGTTATATACGGTTATATACGTTTTATACTGGTTATATATATATATATATATATATACATATATACTTTATATACTGGTTATATACGCTATATACAGGTTATATACTGTTATATACGGTTGTATACGTTATATACTACTATGGTTATATACTGGTTATATGGGCTATATACTGGTTATATACTGTTGTATACGGTTATTTACTGTTATGTTATATACTGTTATATACGTTATATACTGTTATATACGCTATATAGGGCTGCTCGATTATGGAAAAAATCATAATCACGATTATTTGGGTCAAAATTGAAATCACGATTATTCAAACGATAATTTTTTTTAACTTCAGAAACATTTGCAAGGAAGTCCTCAGTTACACTTTCCTTTCCCCATAAACATTTGTAAGTCGCCGCGTTACCTGTTCCAACAAAAACAACGTGACTGACTCATGTGCAGTGCATGCTGTGGGGGAGGGACGGAAATAGGCATGCGCGAAATACACAGACTGTGGCTGTGTCCCAATTCAGGGGCTGCATCCCTGAATTGTTACACGGTTATGTACTTATATATAGACACGTTATATACTGTTACATACTCTATATACTGGTTATATACGGTATACGGTTATATACGGTTATATACTGTTATATACTGGTTATATACTGTTATATACTGGTTATATACGCTATATACTACTATATACTGGTTATATGCGGTTATATACTGTTATATACGCTATATATTGGTTATATACAGTTATATACAGTTATATACAGTTATATACCGTTATATTCGTTATATACCGTTATATACCGTTATATACTGTTATATACTGTTATATTCGTTATATACTGTTATATACACTATATATTGGTTATATACAGTTATATACCGTTATATACTGTTATATTTGTTATACTGGTTTTTATACTGGTTATATACGCTATATACTACTATGGTTATATACTGGTTTTATGCGCTGTATACTGTTATATACTGGTTGTATAGTTATACTGTTATATACGGTTATATACTGTTATATACATTATATACTGGTTATATACATTATATACTGTTATATACGCTATATACGCTATATACTGGTTATATATGGTATACTGTTATATACTGTTATATACTGGTTATATACGCTATATACTACTATATACTGGTTATAAACTACTATATACTGGTTATATGCTGATTATATACATTATATAATGGTTATATACTGTTATATACGTTATATACTGTTATACGCTATATACTGGTTACTGGTACGTGGTGTTCGGACGGGCCTGCCCCCACTGCTAAAAGAGATTCTAGAGGAAACACTGTATACTGTTATATACTGGTTATATACTGTTAAGTACTGGTTATATACTGTTATATACAGTTATATACAGGTTATATACTGTTATATACATTATATAATGTTATATACGCTATATACTGGTTATATATGGTATACGGTTATATACTGTTATATACTGGTTATATACGCTATATACTACTATATACTTGTTATATACTACTATATACTGGTTATATGCTGGTTATATACTGTTATATAGGTTATATACTGTTATATATGCTATATACTGGTTACTGGTTACTGGTACGTGGTGTTCGGACAGGCCTGCCCCCACTGCTAAAAAAAATTCTAGAGGAAACACTATACTGTTATATACTGGTTATATACTGTTATGTACTGGTTATATACGGTTATGTACTGGTTATATACGGTTATGTACTGGTTATATACGGTTATGTACTGGTTATATACGGTTATGTACTGGTTATATACTGTTATATACGGTTATATACTGTTATATACAGTTATATACAGGCTTAATACTGTTATATACGGTTATACTGCAGCAGCTGGTTACCATGGTAACGTATCAGTGTGTGTGTGTGTGTGTGTGTGTGTGTGTGTGTGTGTGTGTGTGTGTTGGAGGAAGTGGGCTCTTCCTCACAGCTGTGTCCTCTGGGAAATGTAGTTATGTCCTGTTGAGCCTCCAGCTTCCTTACTGTACAGGAACTGAGACTGGGCCCAGTTCCATTCTAGTTCTCTCTCTGTTACCATGACAACCAGTCTGACTATGACCTCCTTTTCTGTGTTTTATTTTAATGTTATTATATTTAATGTTTTATGATGAGTACTTACGATTTAAATGTGTTTTTGTGTCACAGAGACATTAAACCAGATAATGTCCTGCTGGACGTCAACGGTCACATCCGGCTCGCTGACTTTGGATCTTGTCTCCGTATGATGGAGGACGGCACGGTAAAACAAACACTTCCGTTCACTCGTTAAAATTACTGCGTGTAAATATAACTTTAATCTGTCTCACTGAAGCGGTATCAGCCCCAAATAAACAGATTTTACTGATTTAATATCAAGAAAAGAAGGAATCATCATGATGAACTCAGACTTTGTCTGTCTTTCTGTGACACAACGAGCAAACAACTTTTAAAATGCTTGTTTTCTGAGTGAAGTTTGGTTGATTAGTCAGAGTGCTCCACTGACAGCAGTCCTATATGTGTGGTGGTCTGGGTGCAGGTGCAGTCCTCCGTGGCAGTGGGCACTCCAGACTACATCTCCCCAGAGATCCTGCAGGCCATGGAGGATGGGATGGGCCGCTACGGACCGGAGTGCGACTGGTGGTCTCTGGGGGTCTGCATGTACGAGATGCTGTACGGAGAAACGCCGTTCTATGCTGAGTCCCTGGTGGAAACCTACGGCAAGATCATGAACCACGAGGTCAGAACCAAGACTTTAATGTAGATCCAGATCTGTTCTGTGAGAGGAACAAATCTGTCTCAGGTCCTCTGATGTTTGCAAGTCTGTCTGTCTCCAGACTCTCGCCCTACTTTCTCTTTTCTAAATCGGAACTCAAGTCTCAGGGGACCAACCAGCCACTGTCCTGCTCTCCATTTCTATCTGTCTGTCTCTGGCCTCTTTACTCTACTTTCCTCTCAAAGTTTTTATCCCTCAGACGCACAAAGAATTCAACGCCAGGGTCTCTCCTCAAGAGCAACTAGAGTAACGTCAAGCCACGCAACGTTTCCAGTGCACCATCAAATGCACAAGTCTGAAAGACATTTGGATTCTAGAAGTAGTTGGCATGCCAATACTGTTGGCGTAGTGGTTTACAGTGCACCATCAAATCTAAAATCTGAAGTTTCATTGAAACTTTTTTTTGAAGATTGAAGCTCCTCATTTAAACCTACATAAGGGTCTGACAGATGTGGTTGTCGTCTTGTGTGGTTGTCTTAAGGAGCGGTTCCAGTTCCCGTCCCATGTGTCCGACGTCTCTGAGGATGCCAAAGATCTGATCCAGCGCCTGCTGTGCTCGAGAGAGCGTCGACTGGGTCTCAACGGGATCTCCGACTTCAAGAGCCACCCGTTCTTCAGCGGGATCGACTGGGATAACATTCGGTCCGCAGAGGCCCCCTACATCCCCGACGTGTCCTCGCCCACCGACACCTCCAACTTTGACGTTGACGATGACGTCCTTAAGAACCCGGTGAGGACCTCCATCAGTACTGGTCGTAAACCAGTACCAGTGTTTGCAGTATAAACCAGTCTAACGGAGTGTTTCACCTGCAGGAGATCAGCCCTCCAGTGTCCCACACTGGTTTCACTGGTCAGCACCTCCCCTTCGTCGGCTTCACCTACACCACCGACAGCTGCTTCGCCGACAGTGGCTCCGTCAGCCGGTCGGGGATTGGCCTGCGGCAGGAGGAAGAGGGGGAGGGAGGAGGAGGAGGAGGAGGGCAGGAGGTGGAGGCGTTTGAAAGGAGGATCCGCCGACTGGAGCAGGAGAAACAGGAGCTGAACCGCAAACTGCAGGGTGAGATAAAATACCACAATCAGATACTGAAACTGTAATAACTGTATTACTGGATGTAAAACTTCTGACCCCTGTCGTCTGACCCCTGTCGTCTGACCCCTTTAGAGTCGACCCAGGCCCTGCAGGCTCCTGCTAGAGGAGGGACTCTGACTCGAGACAAAGAGATCAAGAAGCTGAATGAGGAAATCGAACGGCTGAAAAAGAAACTGGCAGGTCAGAGTACTAGTAGTAGTAGTAGTAATGCCTATTAGCATCAGTAGTAGTAATAATGCCTATTAGTATTAGTATTAGTATCAGTAGTAGTAATAATGCCAGTACTGATACTGATGTTTAGCCCCACCCCTGTCTGCTGTGTAGACTCTGATAGGCTGGAGCACGAGCTGGAAGAGGCGGTCACTCTCAGACAGGACTACGAGAGCTCCGCCTCCAAACTGAAGACTCTGGAGAAGCAGGTGAAGACGCTGAGACAGGAGAAAGACGAAGTCCACAAAGTAAGTCACCCAACTGGTCCTTCTCTAACAACTACAGAACCAAACCAATAAAAAGTCTTATATTGAACCTGCAGAAACCTAGACTTTAATTTCATCAATCTTTCTTCAGAACCATCCAATGATCCACTCTGAGCCGATCATTGAGACACAGATGGTGTATTTAGCCATTGTCAGGGTACTACCTGTTGTTATTAAGTGGTTGAAAACAGCTGGTATCACATCTGAACTCCACCCTGTGCACTCTGGATTCATATACGTTTTATATATATATATATATATATATATATATATATATATATATATATATATATATAAAAAAAAAAATTAAGTGTATATATATACATATATGAGGTATATTTATAATGCAGACTGTTAAATAAAAGAGCAAATCCTCCTAAGGCATCTGATATATTAAATTATATCATATTTATTATATTATGGCTGGCTGACTGGTATTATTATTAGGGACTGAGCCAGCGACTGCTGGAGGTCCCTATTGTTTTTGCTCGATTTCTTCTTCTTACCTATTATTATTTTTAGCCCCCTTTGACTGCATTTTTGCCCCCCTGAACATATACGAAAACTCATTTTTATTTGGCAAAGTTGTCAGGCCTGGTGAAAATGGGGATATTCTCTGTGTCGCTTTCGGGTTGGCCACTAGGTGGCTCTACTATCATAAAAAATGCCTTTAGGCTAATAACTTCTGCATAGTTTATTGCTCATTCAAAAAACTCGTATCCACGCATTCGGTGAGCGGAGCTGACTCTCCCCATATAGGCCACGCCCACTTCCACCTATAATTTTTCTCTGCTAGAGCGCAAAATCTCCATAAACTACTTTTCCGTGTTCCCCCCATGCACTTTGTCCGATTCGCACCAAATTTTTCACGTAGCATCTGAGGACCCTCATAATAAAAAAGTGATTAATTTTGATATTTCAAAAAACCAGCACATTATAAAATTAGCACTTCCTGTGGATCTTTCGTCAAAAAAGGAAGTGGACCATTTCTCCACATTGGTATGTCCAGTTGACACCAAACTTGGTGTCAATTGGTCCATAGTTCCTCATGTCTTCCTTAAGTATCGTGCACAATTTCAGGCCACCGCCACAAGGTGGCGCTCTTCAAAATGAAGAAGCTACAGGATAAAAAAAAGCAGCCCCGGCGCCACGTTTCATCGATCTGTATGTAACATGCCGGGATGCACAAAAAAGCCTCTCAGACCCATACCCGAAACCCCACAGGAAGTCGGCCATTTTGATTTTGATTTTCACTTTCAGCAAACCTTTCACGTTGTATTTGAACAAACTCCTCCTAGGGAATTTATCGATCTACTTCAAAATTGGTCAGTACAGTCAAAAAATGGTGCTGATTAAAAGTTGTGCTATTTGTGCTTGTACGTTGAACGGCGTGTCTGTGGCGTGAGATCAAAGTTGGCCACTCTGAATTCTGTGGTCGTACAAACTGATTGAAAAGTTGTGCTATTTGTGACTGTACATTAAACCGCGTGCCAGTGACAACTTGTTGATTTCAGCAGATTCGCCACAAAATAGTACTCATAACTTCAGTGTGCAATGTCCAATGGCCCCGCTCAACGCTGCTTGCAGCTTTAATTAATTTTGTTATTAATATAATCATTTTGTCCTCTGAGCAGCAGCTGGCCGACTCTCTGGAGCGCCTGAGGAGTCAAACGAAGGAGCTGAAGGAGGCGCACTCTCAGAGGAAGCTGGCCCTGCAGGAGTTCTCGGACCTGTCTGAGAGGATGGCTGACCTCCGCTCCTCCAAACAGCGTCTGTCCCGCCAGCTCCGGGACAAAGAGGAGGAGATGGACGCCCTCCTCCAGAAGATGGACGCCATGAGACAGGAGATCAGAAAGACAGAGAAGAACCGCAAGGAGGTAAGACTGTCCTGAAGTATAAAGACCAGGAGATGCAGTTGAAAGCTCCAGAAAATACTGTTCAAATAAAGACGGTCTTAACTCAAAAGTCCTCTAACTGTTTGTTTTCAGAGCTTTCAACCACAGCTCAGTCTTTGCTCATTGATATACAGGGAGGAAGACCATGAGCTGTGGCTGAAAGCTCTACAGAAGCATGCCCATGAGTGGCCCTTGAGTTATTTTTCTAAACTTAATGAAATCTGCTCAATATGAAGTATTGGTGACCAAAGTCATCCTCACTCAAGTTCTACTTACCGTCTTCCTTCTGAGCTTTCAACCACGTCTCATGGATTGGTAGGAAGACCTTGAGTCAGGATTGTTTGTTTGATCAGAAATAATAATGAAACCGTTAAAATGTCAGTTTTTAACAGGACGAGATTGTTGAAGTCTCATTAATCCTCAGTGTTAACCAGTGATGGGAATAACGGCGTTACTTTTTTCAGTAACAAGTAATCTAATTGATTACTCTTCCCATCTTAAAGTATTATTTTTTGGGCCTTTTATGTCTTGATTTGACAGAGAGAGAGACAGGAAAGGGAGACAGAGAGAGAGAGGGGATGACATGCAGCAAAGGGCCGCAGGTCGGATTCGAACCCAGGCCGTTGCGTATATGGGTTGCCAGCTTTACCGACTGACCTAACCGGGCACCCACTCTTCCCATCTTAATAACGCCGTTACCGTTACTGCCAAAAAAGGCAGTGCATTACCATAAGCTGTTTTTTTCATCAGACTAACTAGATCTCTGAGCCGAGAGGCAACTGTTCTTCCTTGGTTAGTGGGCAGTGCACGAGACAAGCACATAAATGCTGACGATTGGCTGAGGTTGAGTAAAATTTCATGGTAAGCCAATCAGAGGTAGAGTTGGGCGGGTGTTCGAAAGCACGCATAGTCCGACACACAACGAACAACACAAGCTAGTGAGTCAACGAGAGACAGGTATGGCGAGCCCAAATAATCCAAAAGTAGCCTTCTCTAAATGGAACTATTTGTTAATTATTTTTGGTATAGTGCTTAACAAGCATAATTAAATTTTTCCTAGTTGTGGCCTGTTGAGGGGCAATAAATATCTAAAGTTCCAAAACATTTATTGATCCACTATATAAACATAATATCTACATACATGGCGTTTGATTGGAGTCTAGTCTCACTTTGTCCCACAGCAACATTAAAATAGTTTAGATTTGTGTACATTGTTTCTGTTAATAATGTAATGTATTAAGTGTCCATTTCATTATAATATTCAGATTTATCATAAATAATTGACCATGCACATGTATTTTAAGTTCCGTTAAAAGAGGGGTGGAGGTGGGGTCACATTTGAGCATTTAAAAATTTACTTTAAAGTAACGCAATAGTTACTTTCTGAAGTAACTAGTTACTTTTATAATTTGTAACTTAGTAAGCAATTTAGTTACTTTTTGGAAGAAGTAACTAGTAACTGTAACTAATTACTTTTTAAAAGTAACTTGCCCAACACTGGCGTTAACGAGCTGTAGTTCCTCCTGTCGGCCACCAGAAGGCGACAAACACCATCACATATTAAACTGCAGTCAGTGCTGACTCATACAGCAGTATATCCATATATCTATATCTCTATCAATCAGTTCTATATAGACAAACTGCTGTCCATCCTTTACTGTAGCTACTGTTAATTTTATATTTGATATATCTATACTTTATAGTTTATCTTGGATTTTATTTTTAACTCTATTCTTAAGGTTAGGGATTTTAATTTTAGTCTAATGTATGTTTTGTATTTTGTATGCTACTGGATACTTGAATTTCCCTCAGGATAAATAAAGTATCTATCTATCTATATCAGCTCTATATATCAGCTCTATCAATTCAATTCAATTCAATTAAATTCAGTTTTATTTGTATAGCGCCAATTCATAACAGAAGTTATCTCAGGACACTTTTCAAATAGAGCAGGTCTAGACCGAACTCTTTCAAACATTAATTACAGAGACCCAACAGTACCACCATGAGCAAGACCTTGGCAACAAGGGAAAGGAAAAACTGCCTGTTAAAAGGCAGAAACCTAGGACAGATCCTCCGGCTCTAGGTGGGTGGTGGTCTGTCTCGACCAGTTGGGGTGAGAGAGAGACAAACAGACAGACAGACAGGTGCACAGCAACAACAGTATTGGCAATGGCAATCTAGCAGGACCATGGCAGGAGGCTCCACCAGGATCCATGAGAACCTGCGAGACGAGAAAGCACAAGAACTCCGGGGAAGAAGTGAAGTTAGTAACATGCATTAATGGGACATGAATGAGTGCAGAAAGAGAGAGGAAGAGAGGAGCTCAGTGCACCTTGGGAAATCTCCCGATAGTCTAGGCCTATAGCAGCATAACTAAGGGATGGTTCAGGACTCACCTGATCCAGCCCTAACTATAAGCTTTATCAAAGAGGAATGTCTTAAGCCTACTCTTGAATGTGGTGAGGGTGTCTGCCTCCAGAACCACAACTGGAAGCTGGTTCCACAGGAGAGGAGCTTGGTAACTGAAGGCTCTGGCTCCTGTTCTACTTTTAGAGACTATAGGAACCACAAGTAGCCCAGCATTCAGAGAACGTAGTGTTCTAGAGGGGTAATAGGGTACTATGAGCTCTTTAAGATATGAAGGGGCCTGACCATGAAGAGCTTTATAGGTGAGGAGGAGGATTTTAAATTCTATTCTACATTTTACGGGGAGCCAGTGCAGAGAAGCTAGTACAGGAGAGATGTGATCTCTTTTTCTAGTTCCTGTCAGTACTCATGCTGCCCTATCTATCAGCTCTATCAGCTCTATCAATCAGCTCTATCAGCTCTATCAATCAGATTAAAACTGCTTTTATTCTGAATTTAAGATCAGTATTCTGGAAATATATCCCACAATTCACTCTGTTCACTTTGTAATCATGTCAATTACCCCCCGGGGGTAACGCAGACACAATATTATCAGTCTGTTGTAGCGGACAGGAAGTAGGGCAGACCTTCAGAGTAACAGCATTGTGTGTCTCTCAGCTGGAGGCTCAGCTTGACGATGCTAAGGCGGAGGCGTCGAAGGAGAGGAAGCTGAAGGAGCACAGCGAGGTTTACTCCAAACAGCTGGAGACTGAGCTGGAGAGCCTGAAGGTCAGATGTCACACACAAACTCTCTCTCATAGGAATCAGCGGTGGGGTGACTGTGGTTCTGGTTCTGGTCCCAGTCTCAGCAGGGTCGGGGATCATCGGCTGGGGGAGCAGAGTCCCAGCAGGAGCTGTCCCGTCTGAAGGCGGAGCTCGATAAGAAGGTCCTGTTCTACGAAGAGGAGCTGCTGAGGAGAGACTCCACCCACTCCTCCGAGATCAAGAACCTCCGCAAAGACCTGCACGAATCCGAGGGGGCCCAGCTCACCGCCAACAAGGAGCTCCTGCAGCTCCGAGACAAGCTGGACAAGGCCAAGAGGGACAGGTGAGACCTGGACCAACTCAAACTAGCGGCACAGGTGAGTCCTGGACAGGTTAAACTAGAGAGACAACCTGAACCAGGTTTTGTTGTGTCCCTGCAGACAGACGGAGATGGATGAAGCGGTTTCAGCTTTGAAGGAGAAACATGAACGAGAGAAAAACCTACTGACAGAAGAAAACCGCAAACTGAACACTGAAACTGACAAGGTATTACAGGTCCCTGGAGGTCTCGGTCTGGAGGTCTCAGTCTGCTTCTGGAGGTTTTAGACTTGTAGTTCAGGAAGCAGTGTTTGTGTTTCCTGTAAAAACAGGCAGTAGGGTCTAGTCACAGGTAATTGTTTGTCCATCAGAAACTCTGTAAATGACCACTGTACTGTAACGTTATTCCCTGTCGGTCTCGGAGGCTGTGTTCAATCCCGGTTCGGCTGCTGAGCCCAGTTCTGTCGCCCTCTAACAGCAGATACAGTTAGCAGCAGTTTATTAGCGGTAAGCTACTGTAGCTAAAGCTATCTGTCCATCAGGAAACTGTGTAAAGAGTTGAAACTGAACAGCCGGAGGACGTCAGAGGGAAAACCAGGAAATATTTTCTCCATAAAGTCTGATCCAGTTTCACCAAAATCACTGAATACAGTTATAAAGTAGTGCTAACTAGCTAATGTAGCTATAAAGTAGTGCTAACTAGCCAATGTAGCTATAAAGTAGGTCTTTGTATAGTACTCAGTGAGCACATATATTGTCTTTAACGACCCTCAGAAACACTCTAGCCGCTCCAGCGGCGTCGGAAGAGAGAAAGCGGTTGATTGGACGCAGCATTAGTATACGCCCCCGAGTGCAGGATGAGTCATCAAATACTTTAATTATCAGGAAACTCTAAAATATCATTAAGAACACCTGAAAATACCTGAAACAGGACTTCCTGTCCCTGTTGGACAGAAACTGGAGGACAGGAGATTAATCCAGCTTTAGACTAAGACCTTCATTCTTCTGCTGTTAACACAGTCAAACCACCCATTCCTTGTCTATATACTATGTACTGCTGCCGCCACTGCACATGCTCAGTAACTACTCTCCTGCTCCTCAGCTGTGTTCGTTTGTGGACAAACTGACGGCTCAGAATCGTCAGCTGGAGGACGATCTTCAGGACTTGTCGTCTAAGAAGGAAAGCGTAGCTCACTGGGAGGCTCAGATCGCAGAGATCATCCAGTGGTGAGTCTAACCGTTGGAACCTGTGATCCTGAGGCCGATCGGCTGGGGGGCGCTCTTTGTTTAACAACTGTCTATGTGCAGGGTGAGTGATGAGAAGGATGCTCGAGGTTACCTTCAGGCTCTGGCCACCAAGATGACGGAGGAGCTGGAAACACTGCGCAGCTCCAGTCTGGGAACAAGACCTCTGGTAACACACTCAGTAAACACACACACACACACACACACACACACACACACACACACACACACACACACACACACACACAGAACCAGTATGGAACAAGTTCAGGACCCAGTACCAACACCAGTATCCCACAGACCTTAAAAACCCAGAGAACCTGGAACACTCAGAAGCTTCACACAGTGTTACCTGGTAGGTTGTGATATAAAACTAAATGGGCGGCTTTTATTGTGAAAGAGAAGAAGGAAGTGTTGAATGTATTTAGTCCCGCCCACTGTGTATGGTTTCACCTGTTTAGCTGTCGTCCACTGACAGTCAGTCAGTACTGCAACCAGAACACAGACTGACACAGTTGTACTATACAGTAGTCTGTAGTTGTGTCTGTACTGTCTGTGCTTTAGTGTCTGTACTGTGTTTTATTGTCTGTACTGTCTGTGTTTTAGTGTCTGTACTGTCTGTGTTGGTGTGTGTTGATATTTCTTTTAATTTGCTGTCTCAGCCTGAGTCAGGAGTGTCCACGCCCCCTAAGAAGCCCTGGCCTCCTATTGGTGGAGACAGGAGGGTGAGTGTGTCAGTCAATGCTTCCAGCCAATCAGGGATCTTTTTGGATGCGGAAGCTTGCATGGCTATTTGCTTGCATGTCTGTCACTCATAATAAACCAGTGGGCTTCAAGGACTTCCAGGGGACCTTGGTGTAATTCTGGTGGTCCATGAGTAGGATTTTGAAGAAAGTCAGTGATTTTTATGGTGTTACAAGTGAGGGAGTTTCAGGGTCCTCAGAGTCCTTGAAGGAATTCCAGGGTTTTGGAGAATTGCAGTAGTCTTTTGGGGGAACTGAGCGTTGGAAGGGTTTTGCAGGGTTCTTGAGGTAGTTTCATGTAGTTTAAGGACTCCATTTAGGTTCTGGGCACCCTGAAGGACATTTTAGGTTGTATGGATGTTCCAGGGGTCCTTGAAGGATTGCAGTAGTATTTAAGGTCAGTCAGTTGGGAATTTAAGGGGCCCTCAAGGTCAAAAGTGGTCCATGATTAATTCATGGTCTCTAGTCCTCGTGTCAGGAGCAGGGTTTTGAGTTGGATCTAAAGGGCACTGGAGTTGTCCTTGAGGGTGTTCCAGGAGTCCTTGAAGAATGGCAGTAATCAGGGCAAACATGGGTTCAGATGTCCTTTACAGTAATCCAGTTGTGGTGTAGGGGAACTGAGTAGTCCCTGACAGGTCTCAGAGCTGTTGACGAAGAAGATACTTTTAATTTTAATCTTATTACTTACTACTTATAACTATCCTATTGAGAGTATTCCACAGGTCCTAGAGGGAATCCCAGGGGTTCTCAAGCGATTGCAGTATTGTTGATGGCGTTTGAAGGTATAACGTTGTCTGTTCATGGGCTGCTCTGATTGGCTGACTGATCCATCTGTTATCGTCTATGAGGAGTAACCTTCAGTGTAAAGGTGGTTTCAGACAGCAGTGTGGTCGCCACTGGCAACTCAGCGAGCAACAGCGGTGAGTTTAAAAAGTTGAACCATCGTAAACTTTGAATTCTCGCTCTCGTTGTTGCTGCCACTGCGTTTACGCTGAGAGCAATGGCGACTGTGGAGGAAACCCGCTGTCTGAAAGCACCTGAATGGATCCATGTTGTTGCCATGGTTACCTGCTCTGCTGTAGAGCCAGACATCTGTGGTCCTCATTATTGACAATGTCTGTCTCCCAATCCCTCTCCCGTCTCTCTCCCGTCCCCCCTCCAGGACCCCCTGTGGAAGGTGCGTCGCAGTCAGAAGTTGGACATGTCGGCTCGTCTGGAGCTGCAGTCGGCCCTGGACGCTGAGATCAGAGCCAAACAGCTGGTTCAGGAGGAGCTGCGCAAAGTCAAAGCCACTAACATCAACCTGGAGAGGTCAGAGGTCACACAGAGACAAACCATTACCAGTCTGTCTCTCCTTACAGCCTGTCTCTGTCCTTACCTGTCTGTCTATCTGCAGTAAGCTGAAGGAGTCGGAGGAGAGGAGCAGGGAGATGGCGGAGCAGATGGAAAGTCTGAAGAAGGAAATGGAGGAGAGTCGCTTCCGCTCTGACAAAGGTGAGACCAGGTCCTGGAGTCCCTCAGGGTTCAACCAGTGGTCCACTGTTAATCCACAACCTTTACATGAGCCGTCCCCCTTTTCTGTCATTACACACATGAACCTGTTTGTGTCTGCAGGTCTTAAGCTTCCAGACTTCCAGGACTCCATCTTTGAATATTTCAACACGTCTCCTCTGGCTCCTGACCTAACCTTCAGAGTGAGTCTGTGTGTCTGTCTGTGTGTGTGTGTGTGTGTCTGTCTGTCTGTCTGTCTGTCTGTCTGGTTTAGACTTAGACTAGGTTTAACTTTCGTACAATCAAGTACAATCGATATTCGACCAATCACAGATTGAGTCCAGGTCACATGATGATGAGGTCACTCAGGCGTTGTTAGTTTGTTTCTGTCGTTAACATGGAGGCGTCAGTTTGCTCTGCCTCCCCACTGCTTGCGTGCTGCTATCTGTGTATCTTTCTATTCCCAGAGCTTTTAACCATATCCATGGTCTTCCCCAGTGAAACAAACATCCTCAGGCTCTCTGATGAAATGACCACACAGGAAGCCCCACCCAGATATATTCATGAATATCACCTGACGTCACTCACATTCTAACTTGTTTGCCGCCATGTTGAGTACCTGATTTGGCGAGATTGCTAAGTCTGTTGCAAACAGTGTTGGGAGTAACAGCGTTTAAGTATAACGGTGTTACTAACGGCGTTATTTTTTCTGTTACAGAGTAATCTAATTAATTACTTTTCCCATCGTTGCAACGCCGTTACCGTTACTGAGAATGTAAAGTGGCGCGTTACTTGCGTTTCTACAGTTTGGTTGAATGAAGCGAAGCAGTGTCAGGCTTTCTGACAGCCACACATCAGCTGCCAGGAGAGAGCAGGGGTGGTGACAACGTTGGACACTAGGCCTGTAGCGATGCGTCGACGTCTAATTTTTGCGTCAACGCTTCGTCACAGCGCTACACACACACGTGGGAGACCAAAACATTGCAGAATGGAAGACGAAACAACAACAACCTCCTCACAGAATTCCCAATAAAAGCCCCAATAAAAGTCCTAAAAAAACAGCTCGCCCTGAATCATTGAAGGTTTGGGAATACTTCAAAATTTGTCCCAAACGTAAAGGTGTGGTTATTGGCGCTCTTTGCTGTGGTGCTGGTGTGGTATGCCAACTCCATTTGGCAATGTGGGAGCATCTGGGTCGGAGGTGCCCCGTTGTCGCTCGTGGAGGAGACGGTGGCAGGTGGGTGCTGGCGTTGGCTGGGTTGGTTTCATGTTTGTGTGGCTCGGGCTCTGCACACTTCGGTGGTGCTGACCGGCTGTCTTGGCTCTCCGTGCGGTTTGTTCGTGCTGGGCTGGTGGCTAACGTTAACGTTGGCTAACTACTGGCGCCTAGACAGCCGTGTTTAACTAACGTTAGTTATCATCTAATGTTGGCTTGAATGGTAGCTGGCTTAAGGCTGCAGAACACAGCTATCTATAGTAGCTAACGTTGGCTGGCGTGGGCTTTGGCTGCTGGCCTGCCGCAGGCGGGGTGCGCAGAGCGTGGGCTGTGCAGCGCGCTGCACGGGCATGAGATTGATTTGGCCAGCGTTGGAGCTTGTTTTTGTCTCCTTCGCGAGCGGCAAAGAGGTGCCTCCGTTTCAGAGAGAGAACTAAGATGCGTTGGTTAGCCTAGCACCACCAAAGTGCACAGCTGCTAGATCTAGCTAACGGTAGCAAGAAGATTGCAGTAGCTTTTAACGTTAATCGTCCAATTAGTCGTTAGATTAGTCGACGAATCGATAAAATAATCGCCAGATTAATCGTTTAATAAATAATCGTTTACCCCCAGCCCTATTGGACACCAACTGCAAACACTCGTCTGTGCAGTGCTCATTTTGTCTGTGGTGAGTGGATGTAAATATATTGTTAACGCTAGCTGCTCGCTGTCGCTAATCGCCAAATTTAATTAAAGATAACATACGAATCTTTCCAAACAGTATTAATTAAGCAATCAGTGTGAATTGGTTTATATACTGTGTCTAACAGCATGAGTCTAGTGTCAATGTCAGTTTATCGTTTAATAAAAACGTGTTACAATATCTGGTAGAGATTCACATCAGTCGCTAACGTTAGCTGAGGATATTGTTCAAGCTTAGAACCAGTTTAAGATTATAGCCCGAAAACACCACCATCTCTTTTAGTGTGTGTGCTTTTAATGGTTTTAGTGTAAATGAGTTAATGCCATAGCCTCCCCTCTGCTCTCCGTCCTCTAACGTTATTTACCACAGATATTACTCAAGTGCTCCTGAGACTGGTGACATTAGCAAGTGGTTAGCCAATCTTTTCACACTATAACGTTGGCAGCCTAACGATGATATTTTTTGAAAGTAGCGTTTCTTTTCATGTCAGTCGAGGTGCGAAATGTTGTCTTTCGTAGCTATTTACTATATCCATACGAATCCGTAAATCGTAGCCAGCTAGCTAATGCTTGTCAGTACTGTCTATGTCGGTACTCGGTAGGAACTCAAGATGGCGCTAGTAAGCTGGGAAAAGAGCGGATGACGTAAAAGATCACGTGACTGATAGAGGTGGGCGATATATATCGTTTGCGATAATATCGTCATTGTTGTTTTGACGATGTGCAAATTTCCATTATCGAGTATTTAAATTACTTCAACAAAAACAATGAAACGCCCGCAGAAACTCCTCACATCCATTAATACACGGTGCAGCAGCGCTCTCTACAGCATGGCAGGATTCAGTCACATGACTAGTGGGCCTACGTGATCACATGACGTGATCACGTGACCTCTCGCTAGCATCCTCCTTGCAACAGTTTAGCAGCGCGTTGCGATGGTAGAGAGAAAATGCAAACACCTCCAGTCCCTGAAGCTCCCGGTACTTCAGATGATTTAGTGCCGAGACGTGGGTCCTATGGGCTTCAGCGTTCAGAGCGCTAAGCACCTTCAGCGGTAAAAAGATGTCAGCGGAGACGTTTTTTTTTTAGCGCAGCGCTCAGAGCGCTTCAAGTTGAAATCTGTTCAACTTTTAACACCGCTGGCCGTTCGGAAAATAAGTTTTTGAGCTCTCTCAGCGCTGTAAACGCGTTTGGTGGACACAAGTCCAGCTCAGACAATTCTAATCACATTTTAAAGGATATCGACTGATTATCGTTATCGCCAAAATCCCCAAAAAATATTGAGATATTATTTTTTGCCCATATCGCCCACCCCTAGTGATTGATATTCATGAATAGATCAAACCAGCATCATGTCATTCAATTCAATTCAGTTTTATTTGTATAGCGCCAGTTCATAACAGAAGTTATCTCAGGACACTTTTCAAATAGAGCAGGTCTAGACCGAACTCTTTAAAACATTAATTATAGAGACCCAACAGTACCACCATGAGCAAGACCTTGGCGACAAGGGCAAGGAAACACTGCCTGTTAAAAGGTAGAAACCTAGAACAGATCCTTCGACTCTAGGTGGGTGGTCGTCTGTTTCGACCAGTTGGGGTGAGAGAGAGAGAGAGAGAGAGAGAGAGAGAGACAGACAGACAGACAGACAGGTGCACAGCAACAACAGTATTGGCAATGGCAATCTAGCAGGACCATGGCAGGAGGCTCCATCAGGATCGACAAGAACCTGCGAGACGAGAAAGCACAAGAACTCCGGGGAAGAAGTGAAGTTAGTAACATGCATTAATGGAACATGAATGAGTGCAGAAAGAGAGAGGAAGGGAGGAGCTCAGTGCACCATGGGAAATCCCCCGATAGTCTAGGCCTATAGCAGCATAACTAAGGGATGGTTCAGGACTCACCTGATCCAGCCCTATGTTTCCGGTTTGTCGCGCGCCACTGAAAAAAAAAGTGGACACACGGCGCGACCAGGCCAAAATCCTGCCGCGCCAGCGAGATCGACGTCATTTTGACGTCACGTTGTCGCGCAACAGCTCGAGTGCGTCGAGTATACTGGGCGCTTAACAGATACCAGATGTCACTGAGTGCAGGGGGTAGGGCTTATCTTAATGAGATGCAAATGAGCACCATTGTGTTGACTAGGGAGGGGGTAAGAATTTCCTGAGGTGAGAATCGCAAATGTTGTAGGGCTGTTTTCTCCCTAAAGGGTTTTGAGATGTGCATACATTCAAATGGCCACAACTTCTTCAAATGTTATCAGATTCCATGTGTTAGACATCATTGGAAAACTTAAAAATTAGACTTTCAGAATCCGTAAATAACTCAAAATGCCTCTCGGGAGACTTGTTGCTGGTTTTCTCGTGGCTGGTCACATATCCTGCTGGTTGGCTGCATCTTAAATACAACAGCCGTATCAGCTCCACAGCTTCAACAAGGAGGAAGGAGACTAGACTTGTCAATGTTAGGTCTACCGGTACATTATATGACTGTGAACAAGTGCTGTCCTGAATTATCAAACACTCCTGGAAAATGTTCGAATGAGAGTGGGAACCCTAAAAATGAGCCTAACACAGATTAAAATGACTGCTGTTCACATTCAGAACACGTTAATGTTTCTTCTCTCTTTGACCTGCAGACCACAGACATAGACTCCCCCCCCCAGAAAGAGACCACGCCCCCATCACCATCGACCGCCTCCGAACACGAGGTCAGTCTCACACACTGGAGGTCTGTAGGTTGAATGTGTTCCTTTACCTGACCTCAGTCAACCACCTGTTTGTGTCAACAGGAAGTTAAAGTAACATCAGTCCCACCGAGCCCCTGCCCCACATACCAGAGCTCAGCACTGACAACACCAAAGGTACGCTACTGTGTCCCCAGGTTTGACCTTACCTCTGGGGGTTGGGGACCATAAATCAGATATAAACAGTAGAACAAGAATCACTTTAATTTATTCTGTCGTTCACAGCCTAAAGCTCACCAGCTGAGTATCAAGACGTTCTCCAGTCCGACCCAGTGCACCCACTGCACCTCCCTGATGGTGGGACTCATCAGGCAGGGATACGCCTGTGAAGGTACGCAACAACATACACACAGCTTAGTGTTAGCCTCCAGGTAACAGTGGCTCACTGGCTAGCTTGAAGGTAAGATTTTCAGATAGCTTAGAGCTGAATCTTTGAGACAGACAAAACCAACCTGGACCCCCACCACAGACTGCTGCTGGTCGGAGCTTTAAGTCTCCACGAACCAGGAAGCAGAGTGCAGTTTGTGTTTCCTGTAAAAACAGCAGCTAGGGAGGGCCTTGTCACAGTTATTGATTGGTATTTACAGCAGCCAATAGCACTGCTATGCAGGTAGCACTATAAGCTAGTATCAGCGTCTACCTCCAGTGAACACAGCCAGACCCAGGATCAAGATCTCCAAGACAAACAGGGAATGAAGTATCGAGGTGGTTTTCTTGCCGGGTTTGGCCCCATGCATCCCAGTGATGAGTCAGTTAGGTTAGCTGCACGGCTGATAGAGCTAATGGCAGTTAGCGGTTGGCTACTGATCAATCTGTCCATCAGAAACTCTGTAAATGACCTCGGTACTGTAACGTTACTCCCTGCCAGTCTCAGAGGCTGTGTTCAATCCCGGTCCGGCTGCTCAGCCCGGTTCTGTCGCCTGCTAACGGCAGATACAGTTAGCAGCCGTTAATTAGCGCATAGCTAATTGAGGCAACGCTATCTGTCCATCCGGAAGCTCTGTAAAACACAGAGTTGAAGCCGAGTAGCCGGAAGACGTCAGGGTGAAAATCAGGAAATATTTTCTCGATAAAATCTGATCCAGTTTCACCAAAATCACTGAATACAGTTTGAAAGTTAAGCTAGCTAGCTAATGTAGCTATAAAGTAGGTCTTTGTACAGTACTCAGGGAAAACATGGACAGCCCTCAGAAATACTCCGCTCCGGCGGCGTCAGAAGAGAGAAAGCTTTTGAATGGACATAGCATTAATTAGTAGATAGATGTGATACAAACACTGATTATGACTTCATGGGAACTTTGATGTAGAACAAACGGCAATCAATATGACACAAATAATAAAGTAGTCACATTATTAACATTATTTGTTGAACTGACTGTGTTCTTAAACACACTATGATTGTTCTTATAAAGACTGTCTGACTGTCTCTCTTCAGTGTGTTCCTTCATCTGCCACGTTTCCTGTAAAGACCACGCCCCCTTGGTCTGTCCAATTCCAGCAGAGCAGGCCAAGAGGCCGCAGGGCATCGACGTCCAGAGGGGCATCGGCACAGCCTACAAGGGCTACGTCAGGGTAAGTGATGGAGTACGGATGCAGTGGTGATGCAGTAGTTATGCTGTAGTTCCACAGTACTGGATTCACATGTTGCTGTCTTTCTGTCAGATCCCAAAGCCTAGCGGTGTGAAGAAGGGCTGGCAGCGAGCGTACGCCGTGGTCTCCGATTGTAAACTGTTTCTCTACGACGTCCCAGAGGGAAAGTCCACCCAGCCAGGGGTGATGGCTAGTCTGGTGTTGGATCTCAGGTAACTGTCAACCTGTGTGTCAGCTCACAGGGAGTCAGAGGTCTGAGGCAGTCTCAGAAATTCTTGGTTCTGGTTATCATGAGAGGATTTGTGGAGGTCAGGGGAGATTTATGATCATAGGATTTGAGGAGGTTTCAGGTAGTTTTAGGAAAATGTGGATAATTTGAAACAATTTGGATAGTGGTGGGAAGGGTTTGGTATGGTAGGTTTTGGTCTGTTGACATGATTCTAGAAGTTTTAAGAAAGTTACTGTAGTTCCAGAAAGGTTAGGGTACTTCTGAAAAGATCTGGGTAGTTTTGAAGAGTCAGATAGTGTTGAGAGGAGTTGGGTAGTTTTGAGAAGGTTAAAGTGGTTAATGGTTTGGGTTGAGATGGTTTCGACAACGTAGAGATAGGTTTGAGAAGTTTTTGTTGGTCTTTTGAAAAGGTTAGAGAAGCTTTAAGAAAGTGTGGGTAGTTTAGTAGTGACATTGTCACTACTAAACTACCCACTACATTGTCATATGTCGATACTGGAAACATTGTTGTTTGTGTTACAGAGATGAGGAGTTTTCTGTCAGCTCTGTCTTGGCGTCAGATGTGATCCACGCCACCAGGAAGGACATCCCCTGCATCTTCAGGGTAGGGAACCCCGCTCACCACTCACTGTCTGACTTCTGACTGCCTGGATTGCTCATCATCACTTCTTCGTCCTCTGGAGCTGTTGAGTTCACAGGCTCAAGAACAGAGGCTGTATTGTGTGCAGCTCTGGTTGTGTTTGGGTTGGTAAAACAGTCAGTGGTGCTGCTGATACAGCAGTTTGTTAGATGTAGTTTCTTGGGTAAACACACTGACCTCTTCGGCTGTCACCGTCACTCCTAACAGGTGTCCACAGGCCGGTCTGCCCCTCCACACACACCAAGCACTTCTTTGCCTCGGTAGCAGCTAGTCAATTCAGCGGACCCTGCAGTCGCCTTCATTCCTGCTGGGTCTTCTCTCTCCGGAGGGGCAGCCCGCGCAGAGCAGCAGCAGGCCAGACAGGAAGGACTGTGACAGCCGAGTGTGCTTATGGGGGAAACTAAAGCACAGCTCACAACCTGCCAGAGCTACACTACAGGCCAAAAGTTTGGAAGCAAGATCAATTTTGTACAAAAAAAGAGATACCAAAGAAGTTTCATTGGTATACTTTGCAACCAAATAAACATGATTATTGGGTCACTTATCAGAATAAATTTTTACTATTATTATCAGGTATTTGGGGTTTTCATGCTTAGACTTTGCTTTCTTCAAAGTGACCTCCTCTGGCTTTAACAACAACATGGCATATACAGGCATTCGTTCCACAAGTTTTTTAAGGTATGTGCCAGGAATTGCATTCCAAGCTTTCTTAATTTCAGCAATGAGAGACTTCTGATCCGTTGGACGCACTTCTCTGACTGATTGATCCAAATCATCCCACACAAGCTCAGTTGAGGAGACGGAGGGGGCCAAACCATCTTAGAACACCTTCCTCTTCTTTTTTGTCTAGGTAACCCTGACAGAGCTTGGAAGAATGCTTAGGGTCATTATCTTGCTGCAAAACAAACTTTCGACCCACAAGTCTTAGTCCAGATGGAACTGCAGGATGCTGGAGGATGGAGTGGTACTGTTCCTTCTTCATGATACCCTTTACTTCAGACAAATCTCCTACTCTATCACCTGCAAAACATCCCCATACCATGGCACTTCCACCTCCGTGCTTTATTGTGGGTGTTACGCATGGTGCTTTAAGACGTTCACCAGTTTGTCCACGGACATAGACTCTGCAATTTGAACCAAATAGTTAAAACCTGCTTTCCCCGGTCCAGAGAACTTGTTTCCAGTCATCATAGGTACAATTTTTGTCTGCTTTTGCCCATTCATATCACTTTTTCTTGTTCTTTGGATGAAGTAGTGGTTTTTCTCAACGTCTTTTCACAGTTGTCAGAGATATGGGTTTTCAATTCAATTCAATTCAATTTTATTTGTATAGCGCCAATTCATAACAGAAGTTATCTCAGGACACTTTTCAAATAGAGCAGGTCTAGACCGAACTCTTTAAAACATTAATTACAGAGACCCAACAGTACCACCATGAGCACGCACTTGGCGACAAGGGCAAGGAAAAACTGCCTGTTAAAAGGTAGAGATAGGTTAGGGTCATTATCTTGCTGCAAAACAAACTTTCGACCCACAAGTCTTAGTCCAGATGGAACTGCAGAAAGCACAAGAACTCCGGGGAAGAAGTGAAGTTAGTAACATGCATTAATGGAACATGAATGAGTGCAGAAAGAGAGAGGAAGAGAGTAGCTCAGTGCACCATGGGAAATCCCCCGATAGTCTATGCCTATAGCAGCATAACTAAGGGATGGTTCAGGACTCACCTGATCCAGCCCTAACTATAAGCTTTATCAAAGAGGAATGTCTTAAGCCTACTCTTGAATGTGGTGAGGGTGTCTGCCTCCCGAACCACAACTGGAAGCTGGTTCCACAGGAGAGGAGCTTGGTAACTGAAGGCTCTGGCTCCTGTTCTACTTTTAGAGACTGTTGGAACCACAAGTAGCCCAGCATTCAGAGAACGTAGTGTTCTAGTGGGGTAATAGGGTACTATGAGCTCTTTAAGATATGAAGGGGCCTGACCATGAAGAGCTTTATAGGTGAGGAGGAGGATTTTAAATTCTATTCTACATTTTACAGGGAGCCAATGCAGAGAAGCTAGTACAGGAGAGATGTGATCTCTTTTTCTAGTTCCTGTCAGTACTCGTGCTGCAGCGTTCTGAATTAATTGGAGCGTTTTAATGGACTTATTGGGGCAACCTGATAATAAAGAGTTGCAGTAATCCAGCCTTGAAGTAACAAATGCATGGATTAGTTTTTCTGCATCTGTCTGTGATAGTATGTGTCTAATTTTTCTAATATTACGTAAATGAAAGAAGGCAATCCTAGAGGTCTGCTTTATGTGGGAGTTAAATGACAAATCCTGATCAAAGATAACTCCAAGATTCCTGACAGTGGTGCTAGAGGCAAGGCATGTCCTTAAGACATGTTTGTAATTTAGATAATTGATTAATTTCATCGGGCTTGATCGATAGATATAACTGCGTATCATCTGCATAACAGTGAAAGTTAATGGAGTGATTCCTAATAATGTTGCCTAAAGGGAGCATATATAAAGTAAATAGTATTGGTCCAAGTACAGAACCTTGTGGAACTCCATGACTAACTGTAGTATTTATTGAAGATTCATCGTTAACATGTACAAACTGCGAGCGATCTGATAAATATGACTTAAACCAGCTTAGTGTGGTTCCTTTAATGCCAATTTGATGTTCAAGTCCCTGTAAAAGAATATTATGGTCAATGGTGTCAAATGCAGCACTAAGATCTAATAATACAAGTACAGAGACAAGTCCATTGTCAGAAGCAATCAGAAGGTCATTATTAACTTTAACCAGAGCTGTCTCTGTGCTGTGATGAACTCTAAATCCTGACTGAAAATCCTCAAATAAACTATTGTTATGTAGAAAGTCACACAACTCTTTGGCGACTACTTTCTCCAGAATCTTAGAGAGGAAGGGGAGGTTAGAAATCGGTCTATAGTTGGCTAAAACCCCTGGGTCAAGAGTGGGCTTTTTAAGAAGGGGTTTAATTACAGCTACTTTAAAGGACTGTGGTACATATCCTGATAATAAAGAAAGATTAATCATATCCAGTAAAGAAGTGCCAATTAAGGGAACAACTTCTTTAAGCAGCCTAGTTGGGATCGGGTCTAATAGACAGGTTGATGGCTTCGATGAAGAAATGATTGAAGTTAATTCAATCAATTCGATCAGGATTTGTCATTTAACTCCCACATAAAGCAGACCTCTAGGACTGCCTTCTTTCATTTACGTAATATTAGAAAAATTAGACACATACTATCACAGACAGATGCAGAAAAACTAATCCATGCATTTGTTACTTCAAGGCTGGATTACTGCAACTCTTTATTATCAGGTTGCCCCAATAAGTCCATTAAAACGCTCCAATTAATTCAGAACGCTGCAGCACGAGTACTGACAGGAACTAGAAAAAGAGATCACATCTCTCCTGTACTAGCTACTCTGCATTGGCTCCCTATAAAATGTAGAATTGAATTTAAAATCCTCCTCCTCACCTATAAAGCTCTTCATGGTCAGGCCCCTTCATATCTTAAAGAGCTCATAGTACCCTATTACCCCACTAGAACACTACGTTCTCTGAATGCTGGGCTACTTGTGGTTCCTATAGTCTCTAAAAGTAGAACAGGAGCCAGAGCCTTCAGTTACCAAGCTCCTCTCCTGTGGAACCAGCTTCCAGTTGTGGTTCGGGAGGCAGACACCCTCACCACATTCAAGAGGAGGCTTAAGACATTCCTCTTTGATAAAGCTTATAGTTAGGGCTGGATCAGGTGAGTCCTGAACCATCCCTTAGTTATGCTGCTATAGGCCTAGACTATCGGGGGATTTCCCATGGTGCACTGAGCTACTCTCTTCCTCTCTCTTTCTGCACTCATTCATGTCCCTTTAATGCATGTTACTAACTCCACTTCTTCCCCGGAGTTCTTGTGCTTTCTCGTCTCGCAGGTTCTCATGGATCCTGGTGGAGCCTCCTGCCATGGTCCTGCTTGACTGCCATTGCCAATACTGTTGTTGCTGTGCACCTGTCTGTCTGTCTGTCTCTCTCTCTCTCTGTCTCTCTCTCTCTCTCTCTCTCTCTCTCTCTCTCTCTCTCTCTCTCTCTCACCCCAACTGGTCGAGACAGACGACCACCCACCTAGAGCCGGAGGATCTGTCCTAGGTTTCTGCCTTTTAACAGGCAGTTTTTCCTTTCCCTTGTTGCCAAGTGCTTGCTCATGGTGGTACTGTTGGGTCTCTGTAATTAATGTTTTAAAGAGTTCGGTCTAGACCTGCTCTATTTGAAAAGTGTCCTGAGATAACTTCTGTTATGAATTCGCGCTATACAAATAAAATTGAATTGAATTGAATTGAATTGATCATGCAGTAAATACATCCCAAAATCCAAATAATTCACACTGGTTTTTAAGAAAGGTATTGTAAACAGAAACTTGAAGTTGCTTCCAGACTTTTGGCCTGTAGTGTACATGATGCAGTGTTAACTTCTTCAGTTAATATTTCAATTACTCAGCACTGATTAGCAATAAGTTCATCACATGCAGCGCCCCATGTTGCTATTTTCCTGCTAGGTGTCCTCTTAACTGGAAAGAACAACACTTTCTGACCTTTGTTGTTGCTGTGATCAGGTGACCTCGTCACAGCTGATCTCGCAGCTCTCCTCTGTGTCTCTGCTGGTGCTGGCGGAGAGCGAAGTGGAGAAGAGGAAGTGGGTCAGGATCCTGGAGAGTCTGCAGAGCATCCTGACCAAGAACCTGCTGAAGAACCGTCAGGTCCATGTCCTGCACGAGGCCTATGATGCCTCGCTGCCCATCATCAAGACCACGTTGTCTGCTGCTTTGCTCGGTCAGTAAGGATTTTCTGCTACGTTCTACAGCTAAATACTTCTGACAGACTGTACTGAGTACCGCTACTGAAAGACTCATCTTTATTTAAGTTTTCAGAATTACCACGGTGATTTAATAATAATAAATAATGTTATAAGGAGTTCGGTCTAGACCTGCTCTATTTGAAAAGTGTCCTGAGATACCTTCTGTTATGAATTGGCGCTATACAAATGAAATTGAATTGAATTGAATTTACAGAGTTCCCTGATGGACTTGTTACTAGAAGTAGCTAACTGCTGTTAACGTTTATGTTCGCTATCGTTAGCTGCATGAGCAAACTGACTCAGCTCCGGGGTGCCAGGAGCCTAACCTGGAAAAAAAGAACTACCTCAGTCCTTTATTCCCTGTAGTTAAACTGTCCTCAGTCAGCATCAGATGCTGCATTCAGTCCCGGTCTGGACATGCTGTTCACTGGGAGCTCCCAATCCGACAGAGTCCGCTAATGGATCCACCACAGGTGCTGAACTGGGGGGACGTAGTACACAGCGCTATTAGCTACTGCGACAGGTCCCTCCCTAACTGCCTGTTCTTAGTTTCTCTGAGGAACTTCTTCTAATTGTTCTCTGTGATCCTCTGTCTGCAGACCGAGAGAGGATCGCCCTGGGGACAGAAGATGGACTCTTTGTGGTGGAGGTCACCAGAGACGGTGAGACAGACAGACAGACAGACAGACAGACAGACAGACAGACAGACAGACAGACAGACAGACAGACGACTAACCTCTGTCTCTCTCTCCAGTGATCGTACGAGCAGCAGACAGTAAGAAGGTTTATCAGATAGATTTGATCCCGAAGGAGAAGATCATCGCTTTGCTTTGTGGTCGGAACCGTCACGTTCACCTTCACGGCTGGGGGGCACTAGAGGGCGCGGAGTCCGCCTTTGACATCAAGCTGACAGAGACTAAAGGCTGCCAGGCTCTGACCACAGGGTTGCTGCGACCCGGAGGCCCAGCTTGTCTACTGGCCGCTGTCAAACGTCAGGTACAGTACACCTGGAGATTTATCTAAACACCCTCTGTGGTTCTGCTGGGTTCTAAGGCTCTGGTTCTGTCCCCTCCAGGTTCAGTGCTACGAGATCACTCGAGCAAAGCCCAACCACAAGAAGCTGTGGGAGGTGCAGGCTCCAGGCCAGGTGCAGTGGTTGGGTATGGTTAGGGAGCGGCTGTGTGTCGGTTATCCTTCTGGTTTTGCTCTGCTGGCCCTGCAGGGGGAGTCGTCCCCCATTAGCCTTGTGAGCCCAGCGGACCCTTCACTGGCCTTTCTGGCCCAGCAGCCTCTGGATGCCTTGCACGCCCTGGAGGTGGGCTCCACCGAGCTGCTGCTCTGCTTCAGCCAGCTCGGCATCTATGTGGACGGACAAGGCCGCCGCTCCAGAACCCAGGAGCTAATGTGGCCCGCCACGCCGCTCGCATGCAGTACGTCATAGTACTAGTACAGGCTCATTAGTACAATATCATTAGTACATGTTTATTAGTTGTGAGGTGGTTCTCAGGTGAGAGAGACAGGTGCAGATGGTTTGGGTGTCTCCTGTCAGCACCAGTGTGTTGCATTGTTGTCATTAAATATCATAAAGGTAATAATCATTATCAACACGTCTCTCTCTCCAGGCTCTAACTCTTCCCACCTGACCGTCTACAGTGAATACGGGGTCGACGTCTTCGATATTCATACAACAGAGTGGGTTCAGACCATCTCTCTCCGCAAGGTAACCAATCACAGTGAAAAGCCAATCACAGTGAAAAGCCAATCACAGTGAACAGCCAATCACAGTGAACAGCCAGTCACAGTGAACAGCCAATCACAGTGAACAGCCAGTCACAGTGAACAGCCAGTCACAGTGAACAGCCAACTGCAGTGAACAGCCAACTGCAGTGAACAGCCAATCGCAGTGAACAGCCAGTCACAGCAGCTCTGTGTCTCTCCTCAGATCAGACCTCTGAATGTTGAAGGGACCTTAAACCTGCTGAGTTCAGAACCTCCTCGTCTGATTTACTTCAGCAACACTTCATCAGGTGACCACCAGACACACCTGGGCACACACCTGGATAATACTACCATAACTGTCTACCACCTGTCTGTGACCTGTCTGTCTCTTCACCTGTCTGTCTTCAGAGGGAGACCTCACAATCCCAGACACATCGGACCACAGCAGGAAGTTGATGGTTCGAACTCGCAGCAAGAGGAAGTTCCTCTTCAAGGTTCCTGAGGAGGAGCGACTGCAGCAGAGGAGGTGACTGTATAATATACTGTGTATTATAGTAGTATTACTGTGTATTATAGTAGTATTACTGTGTATTATAGTAGTATTACTGTGTATTATAGTAGTATTACTGTGTATTATAGTAGTATTACTGTGTATTATAGTAGTATTACTGTGTATAATATACTGTGTACTTTCAGGGAGATGCTGAGGGATCCGGAGTTGAGATCAAAGTTGATTTCTAATCCAACGAACTTTAACCACGTGGCTCACATGGGACCAGGAGACGGCATGCAGGTCCTCATGGACCTCCCTCTGGTAACTCCTCCTCCTCCTCCTCCTCCTCCTCCTGTCGGCATGTTCTCCTCCCTCACTTCCTCCCCCCTGCAACCCTCCGACAGCTCTGTTCATCACACTGACTCCTCCTCTCTTCTCTTCCCCTGTCTCACCTTCCTCACCCCCTCCCTGTACCTCCTCCCCCTGATGTTCAGGTTGGTGATGTCGCCTCCCTTTCCCCCTCCCCGTCTCCCTCCCCCTCTTCCTCCTCCTCCCGTCACACCCTCATTTCTCCCCCCTCGAACTTTGAGCACGTCTATCACATGACTTCGGCGTCGGCCGGCGCCTTCTTGCAGAAAGACGCCTCCTCTTCCTCCTCCTCCCAGCAGAGCCTCCTGCAGCCTTCCTCCTCCTCCTCCTCCTCCTCTCCCTCCACCTCCTCTCTGGGAAGGGTAGGCCAGCTTCTCTCTATCTCCCTCACCCTCCTCTCCCATACTCCTCTCCTGCCTGGTGTGCAGTGGTTCCATAATCTCAAGCTAACGATTAATGTAACTAATTAATCAACTAATCATTTCTATTGATCAGCTGGATTTTATGAACCTTTCAGTCCTCAGATGTGCATCAGGTGACATTTTATGAGTGAAACATTAATAAAGTGAAAACGTGTGTTTGGGTTGTGTGACGTTAAAAATCAAAATTATAACAGAAACGACAGCAACACAGATCATAACTCACTCCTTCATCAAACCTCCACTTCCTTTCCTCTCACTCCACTGCCTGTCCTCTCACTCCTCTTCCTGTCCTGCTTCGGTAACCTGCAGCTTCAGCAACTAGATCTCCCATGAGTCCTAGCTACAGAACCACTGGCAGAAACTTCTGGGAGCTGTAATACGACCACTGGGGGGCGCTGAAGACACCATTTAACTCTGTGTGTGTGTGTGTGTGTGTGTGTGTGTGTGTGTGTGTGTGTGTGTGTGTGTGTGTAGAGTGTGATGCCATCCTCTCAGGACGACTCAGTTAAAGATAAGCCCCGCCCACTGTCCAGTATCTCCAGGCAACAGAGGAGCAAGACACACATCACACGCACAGCTTCAGGTACGAACTCCCCTGTACACACGTTTGTGTACTGAATGATGTGTGTAGCTCTGTGATGTCATCAGTACTCTGTTTCCTATTGTTTCAAGATTTTGGGGGAGGAGCTTCATCTCGCAGTATCTGTGAACCAGACCAGGACCTGGAACGAGAGGTAAAACACACACACACACACTCTTAAATGATAATGCTTTATTTTTGGATAGGGACAGTGCACATTAGTGAACATCGATATTAAAACATCTCTGTAAACATGCCAGATTATAGCAAAGCCGCTAATTTGCATCCGCAGTCCCTAATAAAATAAATAGAAAAATACAAATAGAAGAGACAGCAAATAAATAGATAAAATACAAATAGAGGAGACAACACACACAGCACAATACATTACACAATCATAAAAATACCAGACTCAGACAGGATATAACAATGTATTAAAAAGTAATGTTCAATTAGTGTTAAGTCCAGTTAGTGGTCACACTTTTGATTGGATTTGAGCCATTGTTTTAGTTGTCCTTTAAAAGAAGAGTATGTGGGGCATTCCTTTCTTGTGGAGGGAAGATTATTCCAGATGTCTCCCCCCCCACAACAGACAACACGTTCCTCCCATACGTGATGCGCCTGTGGGGAATCTCAGTCTCCTCTATCAAAAGCCCTGGTGCTCATACCTCTCAGAGTCTTTTTCTTTATGAAGTCAATCAGCGGTGGTGGAGCAAGACCATGGAGACTTATATATACAAAACAGGCAAATCTAAAAGTTTTAAAATTATGGAAATTTAGTTTTTTAAGGGTCTTGCAGATATGGAAGGAGAAGAGTTTTTTATCTAGAGTCTTTAGGGCTTTTTTATAGAGAGATTCTATCGGTTTGAGTGCTGTCGTACATGCCAGTGACCAGCTCGTTAAGCAGTAGTCTATATGAGATCAGATCATACAGTGTAAAAACATCAAAGCTGCAATGCTGGTTAAAGAATTCCTGATCTGTCTGAAATTTGCCAGGTTGTATTTGACACTTTTTTGATGTGATCAATGTTTGGCGGCCTTTTAGCAAAAATCATAGACACTTTTTTTTAACATTTAAAGAAAGACATGAATCAGTGAGCCAGTCCTGAACACGAGCCATTGCTGTTGTAAGTATTTGAGCAGCCTCTGTCGTGTTTTTCACAGGGGTGAAAATCAGTGCGTCATCCGCGTACAACTGTGCATTAACACCCTTACAGACATCAAAGAAATCATTTATGTAAAGAGAAAACAAGATAGGTCCAAGTATGGATCCCTGAGGGACCCCTACTGGACAGTCCAGGTAAGGGGATTTGACACCGCCGACCACCACACACTGCTCTCTATCTGCAAGATACGATCTGCACCAATTGAGGGCCTGTGTAGAGAAATTAAATTCCGACAGCTTGGTTAACAGTACTCTGTGGTCAACGGTGTCAAAGGCCCTTTTAAGATCCAGGAAGACAGCTCCCACACAGCTGTTCCTATCCAGGAGACACTTTTTTTTTTCGACAAACATACTTATGGCCGACTCTGTGGAATGGTGAGTCCGGAAACCAAACTGCATCGGGTGTAATGCTGTATAACCGTTATTGAGATGTTCTACTAACTGCTTAGCCACCCATTTTCTATAATTTTGGAGATGACAGGAAGAATACTGATTGGTCTATAGTTGTTGATTTCAGATTTACTTCCAGATTTGTAGATTGGATTCACCGTGCTCACCTTCCAGTTAGTCGGGACAACAGAATGCCCGATAGACAGATTTACCAGCTGTATGATGGGGCAAACCAGTGACTCCATGTGAAGTTTTAAAAAATTAGTGTCAAATCCATAGTCATCCTTGGCATTAGATTTGTTAAGAGAGCAAATCATTTTCATTATCCCTCTACCGGAGATTTTCATAAACTATCTCAGGATGCAGAGTGACTCGGGTCCCTCACACTAATCCAGCTGAGGGTTTAATGAGTTGATCTGTGTTCACTCTGAATGTGGAAGATATTGTCCAAACACCACAATGAAACATCAACCTCTGTCAGTCTATGTCCGGTCTTCTGTTAGTCTATGTCCAGTCTTCTGTCGGTCTGTGTCCGGTCTTCTGTCGGTCTATGTCCGGTCTTCTGTCGGTCTGTGTCCGGTCTTCTGTCGATCTATGTCCGGTCTTATGTCGGTCTTCTGTCGGCCTATGTCCAGTCTTCTGTCGGTCTATGTCCGGTCTTATGTCGATCTATGTCCGGTCTTATGTCGATCTATGTCCGGTCTTCTGTCAGTCTATGTCCGGTCTTCTGTCGGTCTTCTGTTGGTCTTCTATCAGCCTATGTCCGATCTTCTGTCGGTCTATGTGAAGTCTTCTGTCCGTCTGTTTCGGTCTACTGTCGGTCTTCTGTCGTTCTACTGTCAGTCTATGTCCCATCTTCTGTCGGTCTATGTCCGGCCTTCTGACGGTCTATGTCCGTCCTTCTGTCGGTCTACTGTCGGTCTACTGTCGGTTTACTGTCGGTCTATGTTGGGTCTTCTGTCGGTCTACTGTCGGTCTATGTCCCGTCTACTGACGGTCTCCTGTCGGTCTATGTCCGGTCTTCTGTTGGTCTACTGTCGGTCTATGTTCGGTCTCCTGTCGGTCTCCTGTCGGTCTCCTGTCGGTTTCCTGTCGGTTTCCTGTCGGTCTATGTCCGGTCTACTGTCGGTCTACTGTCGGTCTATGTTGGGTCTTCTGTCGGTCTTCTGTCAGTCTACTGTCGATATACTGTCGGTCTTCTGTCGGTTTCCTGTTGGTCTATGTCCGGTCTCCTGTCAGTCTTCTGTCGGTCTATGTCCGGTCTTCTGTTGGTCTACTGTTGGTCTTCTGTCGGTCTCCTGTTGGTCTATGTTCGGTCTCTGCTCGGTCTCTGCTTTTAAAGCTGTTAGTTTTTATTTTTTTACTAGAATAAAATTCATCTTTATGTGAAAAGTTTAACACAGTAAACACTGTCTCTCCTTGCCTTCCTCAGCCGGACTCGGACTCTACCAAACACTCGACCCCCTCCAACAGCTCCAACCCCAGCAGCCCCCCCAGCCCTAACTCCCCCCACCGCAGCCAGCTCACCCTGGACGGGTTGGACATGGAGCCCTGAGGCCCCCACCTGAGGGAAGAGGGGCTAAATGAACCAATCAGGCTCCACACTGAGAGTTTAAATTTTACTTGATGATTTTATTTTGGCGGGGTGAGTCTGAGCTTCCTGCTGCTTTTATATTTGTTGGATTTTACCTGCTGGGAAGCCCCGCCACCTGGTTTTAACCTTGCCTCTGCTGACAGTTGCTGTGTGTTTGACCTTTGACCTTTAGTCTGATTGGCTCTGTGGGACCAATCACTACTTCTTCTGTATTAAATAACTTCCTGTTAAGCTTTAGTGGGCAGGTAGCTGCTGAGCTAACGGTGGCTAACTTCCTGACAGATGGGAGGTCTCACTCTGATGAAAAAACACTGTATGAATTAATTTTAAAGTTTTGTTAAAGTTGCACATCATCATGTTGTTGTAGCAGAAAAATAATCTTTGATTTTGTGTCAGTGATGATCTTTCCTGTTGAATCCCCCCCCCAGGCGAGACAGGTGAGGGGGGGTGTACACCTGAACACTACTGCTTTGTTTCTTCCAGAATCACCAGTTAAAAAATCTTTGTAATTATGAAACATGTTAGCAGCCAAACAGAAACTCAATAAAAGAATCTGAAGAGAACCTGAGAGCGTGTCTGTGTCAGAGGGAGCACAGGTAACTCAACACCTGCACAAGTACCAAACCACCTGCACAGGTAACTCAACACCTGCACAGGTAACTCAACACCTGCACAGGTAACTCAACACCTGCACAGGTACCAAACCACCTGCACAGGTACCAAACCACCTGCACAGGTACCAAACCACCTGCACAGGTACCAAACCACCTGCACAGGTAACTCAACACCTGCACAGGTAACCAACACCTGCACAGGTACCAAACCACCTGCACAGGTACCAAACCACCTGCACAGGTAACTCAACACCTGCACAGGTAACTCAACACCTGCACAGGTAACTCAACACCTGCACAGGTACCAAACCACCTGCACAGGATCAAACCACCTGCACAGGATCAAACCACCTGGGGGAAACGTGATATTTATATTGTCAGTGTTTCTTTTGTAAAGTTTTGTTGTATCAACAGATGTTAACTTTACACTGAATATATAATAATAATTCAATTTCAATTCAATTTTATTTGTATAGCGCCAATTCATAACAGAAGTTATCTCAGGACACTTTTCAAATAGAGCAGGTCTAGACCGAACTCTTTATAACATTGTATAATAATAATAATACATCAACTTAAATATTTTTTTTTTTTTTTTTTTTTTTTTTTTTTTTTTTTTTTTAAATTATTTTTTATTTTTTTTTTTTATAATTAGAAGTTGTTTAGGTTTATTTTTAAAATTTAAAATAAATACCAAAAACCACCACTTTGAAAAAAAAGCAAGAAGGAGGGGAGAAAAGAAAGGATAAAAGGTTTAAGAAAAGGGAAAAAATCGGGGGCCGGTTGGGGGGGGGGGGGTTGGGGGGGGGGGGGGGGGGGGGGGGGGGGGGGGGGGGGGGGGGGGGGGGGGGGGGGGGGGGGGGGGGGGAGAGGGAGAGAAAAAAAAGAAGAAGAAAAAGAGTAAGGGAAGGAGGGGAGGGGGAAGCCAAGGGAGGGGGGGCCCAGGAAGAAGCAAGAACGAAGAGAAGAGGGAGAAAAAGGAGAAGGGAGGGGAGGGGAGGGGGGGGGAAAAAGAAGGATGGGGGAGAGGGGGGGGAGGAGAGAGAGAGGGAGGAAGAGGGGAGGGGAGAAAATGGGAAAATACAAAAATATTTAAGGTTAAAAAAGTAAGATTATGAAGAGGGTTGTAATCATAACCTCATTATATACTAATAAAAATAATTTTTAAATAAAGATTTATTTAATAAGGTTTTTTTTTGTTGTTGTGGGGGTGTGCTCCCGGAACCCCACCTCAAGAGGGGGTTTAAGGGGGGGGGGGTTGGGGTTTGTGGGGTTTGGCCCTTTTTTTATTTTAAAAAAAAAAAAAAAAAAAAAAAAACAAAATTATTTAGAAGTGGTGTTTTTTTTGGGGGGTAGAAGGGTATTATTTTTTTTTTAAAAAAGGAAGGGGGGTAATAAGGATGAGTTTTGTTGGGGGGGATTTTTTTTTATTTTTTTTTTATATTTTTTGGGGGGGCAATGGAAGGGGGTTGGTAGGGGGGGGTTTTTTTTTTTTTTTTTTTTTTTTTTTTTTTTTTTTGCGGGTTTTTTTTTATTTTTTGGGGGTTTTATTGGGTTTTTTGGGGGGCAAATTATAAAAAAAGGGTGTTTTTAATGCTTTTTTTGAAAAATATTTGTTGTTTTTTTTTTTTTTTTTTTTTTTTTTTTTTTTTTTTTTTATTTTTTTTAATATTATGAAATGAAAGAAGGGAGTCCTAGGGGTTTTTTTTTTGGGGGAGTTAAATGACAAATCCTGATCAAAGATAACTCCAATATGAATAATACTAATAAACCAAAAACACAAATATACTGTAGTAGCCTTAAATAAAGTGCCCATTCATGGAAGAGTTGCAGCCAAAAAGCCAAACCTCCGACATGGAAACAAGGCCAAGCGACTCAACTATGTACCAAAACATCGGTCCTGGGGGGCAGAAACATGGCAGCAGGTATTATTTATAATAATAGAAATCTTTGTCTGTTTGTTGGCCGACGGTTACGACAATAATGAGTGACTGCAGGGAAGCGTGGTGGAGGTTTAATAGTGTCCTCAATCCTGGGAAATACAGGCAGATATTTACCCATCATCATCCATCCATCCATCAAACCTCCATCATCCATTCATCCATCCATCATCTATTCATCATCATCCATCAAACCTGTATCCATCCATTCATCCATCATCCATCCATCATCCATTCATCAACCATCCATCATTCATCATCCATTCATGACAATAATGAGTGAATGCAGCGAAGCGTGGTGGAGGTTTAATAGTGTCCTCAATCCTGGGAAATACAGGCAGATACTTACCCATCATGCAATACCATCAGGGAGGTGTATGATTGCCCCAAATGTATTCTGCAGCAGCACAACGACCCCAAACATACAGCCAATATCAGTAAGAACCATCTTCAGCGATGGCAGCCCCCAACAGAGCCCTGGTCTCTACATCATCCATCCATCCATTCGTTCACTCATCATCCATCCATTATCCATTCATCATCCATCATCTCTCCATTCATTTATCCATCTATCATCATTCATTCACTCATCCATCATTCATTCACTCATCCATTCATTCACTCATCATCCAACATCCATTCATCAACCATTCATCCTCCATTCATCCATCTATCCACCATCCATTCATCTATCCATCATCCATTCATCATCCATTCCTCCATCATCCATCCATCATCTCTTCATCCATCCATTCATCATCCATCCATTCATCATCATCCATCAAACCTCCATCCATCCATCATCATCATCCATTCATCAACCATCCATCATTCATCATCCATTCATCATCATATTTGATTGATTTGATTTGATTTAACTATATTGTCATTGTAAGTACAAACAAACACAGTTAGCATCTTTTTTTTCTTTTTTTTTTTCCTACAAACTTATTTTATACAAATATTGGCGCTATACAAATAAAATTGAATTGAATCAAGCAGAAGTACAAAGTAGTAAAGTGTAACTTACAAATGTTCAGAAAAGTAATAATAGATATGTTGGGACCCAAGGATACCTTTAAATATGAACTTGTTCATTCAATTCAATTCAATTTTATTTGTATAGCGCCAATTCATAACAGAAGTTATCTCAGGACACTTTTCAAATAGAGCAGGTCTAGACCGAACTCTTTAAAACATTAATTACAGAGACCCAACAGTACCACCATGAGCAAGCACTTAGCGACAAGGGCAAGGAAACACTGCCTGTTAAAAGACAGAAACCTAGGACAGATCCTCCGGCTCTAGGTGGGTGGTCGTCTGTCTCGACCAGTTGGGGTGAGAGAGAGAGAGAGAGAGAGGCAGAGAGAGGCAGAGAGAGAGAGACAGACAGACAGACAGGTGCACAGCAACAACAGTATTGGCAATGGCAGTCAAGCAGGACCATGGCAGGAGGCTCCACCAGGATCCATGAGAACCTGCGAGACGAGAAAGCACAAGAACTCCGGGGAAGAAGTGAAGTTAGTAACATGCATTAATGGAACATGAATGAGTGCAGAAAGAGAGAGGAAGAGAGGAGCTCAGTGCATCATGGGAAATCCCCCGATAGTCTAGGCCTATAGCAGCATAACTAAGGGATGGTTCAGGACTCACCTGATCCAGCCCTAACTATAAGCTTTATCAAAGAGGAATGTCTTAAGCCTACTCTTGAATGTGGTGAGGGTGTCTGCCTCCCGAACCACAACTGGAAGCTGGTTCCACAGGAGAGGAGCTTGGTAACTGAAGGCTCTGGCTCCTGTTCTACTTTTAGAGACTATAGGAACCACAAGTAGGCCAGCATTCAGAGAACGTAGAGTTCTAGAGGGGTAATAGGGTACTATGAGCTCTTTAAGATATGAAGGGGCCTGACCATGAAGAGCTTTATAGGTGAGGAGGAGGATTTTAAATTCTATTCTACATTTTACAGGGAGCCAGTGCAGAGAAGCTAGTACAGGAGAGATGTGATCTCTTTTTCTAGTTCCTGTCAGTACTCGTGCTGCAGCGTTCTGAATTAATTGGAGCGTTTTAATGGACTTATTGGGGCAACCTGATAATAAAGAGTTGCAGTAATCCAGCCTTGAAGTAACAAATGCATGGATTATTTTTCTGCATCTGTCTGTGATAGTATGTGTCTAATTTTTCTAATATTACGTAAATGAAAGAAGGCGGTCCTAGAGGTCTGCTTTATGTGGGAATTAAATGACAAATCCTGATCAAAGATAACTCCAAGATTCCTGACAGTGGTGCTAGAGGCCAAGGTAATGCCATCTAGAGTGACTATATCTTTAGACAGTGAGTCTCTAAGGTTTCTGGGGCCAAGAACAAGAATTTCGTTTTTTTCTGAGTTTAACATCAGAAAATTGCATAACTGGACCAAAGGGAACCTGTTGGAATCTGACCATGTGCTCAAACAAAGGGATTGTCCAGGGCCTTGTTGTAAGTCTAAAAGCCTGTTTGTGGCGACTGAAAGTCATAAAATGTAGGGCCCGCGAAATCACAGACTCCTCAGTGGGGGGGGCCAAGGTGTGGTTTAAAGGCCATAAATGCCCAAACACCGGGCCGTCATTGGTCAGAGATCCTCGGACACCAGACCCGTCATCACGGCTACTTAAGCCAGAGACGCTCTTCTTCTTCTCTCCCTTCGCACTCGCTCACACACCCACACCGGGTGATAAGTTGTGGACCTAGGCCAGGCCCGACCCCTCGAGCTCCTCTATGATCTTTGTCTCTCACCAACACGTGTTTCACACCCTGAAACATCTAGTCAGAGGACAAAGGAAATTTTTTAATGGCAAGCAACACACACACACACACACACACACACACACACACACACACACACACACACACACACACACCCATTGTTCCTCTAAATTAGTTCCTTTAAGTTAGAGTGTATATTGTGTATTTTTCCTTTTATTATATTTCTTTAATAAATGTTTGTGTTTACATATGCTGGCCTATTTAATTTTGTACAAGAGCGAGTGATACCAACCTCTTCTATGTATGGTAAATGGTAAATGGACCGGTACTTGTATAGTTTCCTTTCTAGTCTTCTGACCACTCAAAGCGCTTTTACACTACAGACACATTCATCCTTTCACACACATTCACTCAGTGATGGCAAAGCCCATCATGCACGGCATCGGGAGCAATTCGGGGTTCAGTATCTTGCCGAAGGATACTTCGACATGTGGCACCAGGAGCCGAGGATCGAACCAACAACCTTCCAATTAGGGGACAACCCACTCTGCCTCTGAGCCACAGCTGCCAAAGCTCCCACTCTAGCTATTAATAATGATTTTGGTTGTAGTTATTAATCTGACTTCTGAATTAAAAGTTTAGTGTAATTTTTATGAGACTGATCGATTGATTATTGGTTATCGTTCCCTTATTTAAGGGTGGTGCCCCGAGTCATTTTCTATTATCTTTTGATAATTCTAATTTTTAATAACCATTAATTGGTTAAACTAATACAGTTAGACCACTGTAATGCCGACGTGGAGCCCGACATATATATAAATGGATATGCTGGTAAGATATTTACATTATGAACAGATTTGTGGATGTTGACAATGACAGCCTTAGTAATGCATTTATATCATTAATAGACTCAATTGGCTTCTGTCAGAGTGTAAATAAACCAACTCATTGTTTTAATCACACTCTTGACCTTGTTTTATCATATGGCATTGATATTGAACATTTAATAGTCTTCCCACATAATCCTTTCCTATCTGACCATTATTTAGTAACTTTTGAATTCATACTATTAGATTATAAGCCATTAGGCAAAACTTCCTACAGCAGATGTCTATCTGACAGTGCTGTAGCTAAATTTAAGGAGGAGATTCCTTCAGTGTTTAATTCAATGCCATGTCTGAATTTAACAGAGTCCTATAACGACTTTAGTCCCTCTGAAATTGATAATCTTGTCGATAGTGCTACAGACTCACTACGATCAACATTAGACTCTATCGCTCCTATAAAAAGGAAATTATTAAAACATAGGAGACTAGCACCTTGGTATAACCACCAAACCCGCCAGTTAAAACAAATAGCTAGGAAATCTGAAAGGAAATGGCGCTCTTCCAAATTATCAGAATATCGCTCAAATTGGCAAGATGATCTTAAGATTTATAGAAAGGCCCTCCGTAATGCCAGAGGAGCCTATTACTCAGCACTAATAGAAGAAAATAAGAACAACCCTAGGTTCCTCTTCAGCACTGTAGCCAGGCTGTCAGAGAGTCACAGCTCTATTGAGCCACATATCCCCATAAACTTAAGTAGCAATGACTTCATGAGCTTCTTCTATAATAAAATTATTACTATTAGAGAAAAATTAATCACCAACTGCCATCAACAGTTATCAGTGGCTCTCCAAGTTCAGGGACTTCTGTCAATGTAAACTTAGATGTATATTTAGACTGTTTTTCTGCTATCGATCTTCATCAGTTAACTTCAATCATTTCTTCATCGAAGCCATCAACCTGTCTGTTAGACCCGATCCCAACTAGGCTGCTTAAAGAAGTTGTTCTCTTAATTGGCACTTCTTTACTGGATATGATTAATCTTTCTTTATTATCAGGATATGTACCACAGTCCTTTAAAGTAGCTGTAATTAAACCCCTTCTTAAAAAGTCCACTCTTGACCCAGGGGTTTTAGCCAACTATAGACCGATTTCTAACCTCCCGTTCCTCTCTAAGATTCTGGAGAAAGTAGTCGCCAAAGAGTTGTGTGACTTTCTACATAACAATAGTTTATTTGAGGATTTTCAGTCAGGATTTAGAGTTCATCATAGCACAGAGACAGCTCTGGTTAAAGTTAATAATGACCTTCTGATTGCTTCTGACAATGGACTTGTCTCTGTACTTGTATTATTAGATCTTAGTGCTGCATTTGACACCATTGACCATGATATTCTTTTACAGAGACTTGAGCATCAAATTGGCATTAAAGGAACTGCCCTAACCTGGTTTAAGTCATACTTATCAGATCGTTCTCAGTTTGTACATGTTAACGATGAATCCTCCATAAATACTAAAGTTAGTCATGGAGTTCCACAAGGTTCTGTACTTGGACCAATACTATTTACTTTATATATGCTCCCTTTAGGCAACATTATTAGGAATCACTCCATTAACTTTCACTGTTATGCAGATGATACGCAGTTATATCTATCAATCAAACCCAATGAAATTAATCAATTATCTAAATTACAAACATGTCTTAAGGACATAAAATCCTGGATGACCTGCAATTTTCTGATGTTAAACTCAGAAAAAACCGAAATTCTTGTTCTTGGCCCCAAAAACCTTAGAGACTCATTGTCTAAAGATATAGTCACTCTAGATGGCATTAACTTGGCCTCTAGCACCACTGTCAGGAATCTTGGAGTTATCTTTGATCAGGATTTGTCATTTAACTCCCACATAAAGCAGACCTCTAGGACTGCCTTCTTTCATTTACGTAATATTAGAAAAATTAGACACATACTATCACAGACAGATGCAGAAAAACTAATCCATGCATTTGTTACTTCAAGGCTGGATTACTGCAACTCTTTATTATCAGGTTGCCCCAATAAGTCCATTAAAACGCTCCAATTAATTCAGAACGCTGCAGCACGAGTACTGACAGGAACTAGAAAAAGAGATCACATCTCTCCTGTACTAGCTACTCTGCATTGGCTCCCTATAAAATGTAGAATTGAATTTAAAATCCTCTTCCTCACCTATAAAGCTCTTCATGGTCAGGCCCCTTCATATCTTAAAGAGCTCATAGTACCCTATTACCCCACTAGAACACTACGTTCTCTGAATGCTGGGCTACTTGTGGTTCCTATAGTCTCTAAAAGTAGAACAGGAGCCAGAGCCTTCAGTTACCAAGCTCCTCTCCTGTGGAACCAGCTTCCAGTTGTGGTTCGGGAGGCAGACACCCTCACCACATTCAAGAGTAGGCTTAAGACATTCCTCTTTGATAAAGCTTATAGTTAGGGCTGGATCAGGTGAGTCCTGAACCATCCCTTAGTTATGCTGCTATAGGCCTAGACTATCGGGGGGATTTCCCATGGTGCACTGAGCTACTCTCTTCCTCTCTCTTTCTGCACTCATTCATGTCCCTTTAATGCATGTTACTAACTCCACTTCTTCCCCGGAGTTCTTGTGCTTTCTCGTCTCGCAGGTTCTCATGGATCCTGGTGGAGCCTCCTGCCATGGTCCTGCTTGACTGCCATTGCCAATACTGTTGTTGCTGTGCACCTGTCTGTCTGTCTGTCGCTCTCTCTCTCTCTCTCTCTCTCTCTCTCTCTCTCTCTCTCTCTCTCTCACCCCAACTGGTCGAGACAGACGACCACCCACCTAGAGCCGGAGGATCTGTCCTAGGTTTCTGCCTTTTAACAGGCAGTTTTTCCTTGCCCTTGTCGCCAAGTGCTTGCTCATGGTGGTACTGTTGGGTCTCTGTAATTAATGTTAAAGAGTTCGGTCTAGACCTGCTCTATTTGAAAAGTGTCCTGAGATAACTTCTGTTATGAATTGGCGCTATACAAATAAAATTGAATTGAATTGAATTGAATTGAATCCTGGTGGAGCCTCCTGCCATGGTCCTGCTTGACTGCCATTGCCAATACTGTTGTTGCTGTGCACCTGTCTGTCTGTCTGTCGCTCTCTCTCTCTCTCTCTCTCTCTCTCTCTCTCTCTCACCCCAACTGGTCGAGACAGACGACCACCCACCTAGAGCCGGAGGATCTGTCCTAGGTTTCTGCCTTTTAACAGGCAGTTTTTCCTTGCCCTTGTCTCCAAGGTCTTGCTCATGGTGGTACTGTTGGGTCTCTGTAATTAATGTTAAAGAGTTCGGTCTAGACCTGCTCTATTTGAAAAGTGTCCTGAGATAACTTCTGTTATGAATTGGCGCTATACAAATAAAATTGAATTGAATTGAATTGAATTAACAATAAATATATACCGGGGGGGGGGGCTGATGGGTAAAAACTGTTCCTGAGCCTGCTAGTTCGGAAACAGAGACCTTTAGCGCCTCCCAGAGGGGAGGAGGGCAACAGTTTGTGACCTGGGTGGGAGGTGTAATGCTGGTAATGCAGTGCACCTTCAGCATATATTCATCATCCATCCAGTCATCCATCATCCATCACCCAGATTCCAGATTCCAGGCCACTCATTAATGATTGATTACGTCCTCAGTTCTGTCTGACAGGTTCATTAATGATTAAGGATGGGGGCGTGGCCTGTCTGTCTGCTTGTTTACACACCGTCAGTCAGCCAATCGCAGCATCCGGATGAGAGCAGAGAAACAGCAGAGCCAATCAGAGTAGAACACAGACTGAATCAGGTCAGTTGCTGTGGAGCAGCTTTTATCTTCATCCTCCTCCTCTTTCTCACTGACTGCTGCCTCCTCTTCCTCTTTAAAGCTTCTGTAAGCTTCTTCAGTGTTTGACTGTAAAAACTAAATTATTCACTTTATTTATTTATTCATGAGGGCAACAAACATTTCTGTAGCATACGGTGTTAGCATACAGTGTTAGCATAAAGTATCATTAGATAATTCCTTTATTTTAAAATTTCCTTTTTATTTGACACAGCAGCAATAGGGCAAAGCAGCGCAAAAACAGAAAACAAAGAATATCACAGTAAAAATACTGCAGATATTATTAATATTAGAAGATATAAAAACTATAAATTAAAGTATATACACTATTTGTTGTTCAAGTAGCACAAAATTAAACTTGACTAAAACTAAAAAAACTAAAACTAAACTAAAACTACTAAACTACTTAAGTGGAAATTAAATATAAATAATAACAATACTGGATTATTGTTCTGTGATTTAAAATCAGACACAGCGAGGAGATTTATCTGGTTTCTGTGTGATCTTTATCTTCTTCCCCTTCTGTTTCAACTCGTGTTTTCTTCCAGGAATTGTCGTTGACGTGTCTTATTCTGCTGACTTCCTGCTGACACACAGCAAACGTTCAAACGCCCACACACACACCATCTGTGGGTTCACTTCTGCTTCATGTGATTCACCTGAGAAAGAATTTCAACTGTAACTACTGTGGTAATCAATATGTTTATAAATCTTTATCAATGTTTATAATGTTCATAAATGTTTGTTTATAAAATGTTTATATATATAAAATTTCTAAATTAAAATAATAATAAATAAATAATTTCTATATGATCAGTGGGAGGAACTTTCTGACTAACTGATCTGAGGTCCAATCTTCTTTGACCTCAACTGAACACCCCCCTCAATACAGGGAATTACGGGGAACTACAGAGGAGTACGGGGAACTACGGGGGACAACATATATCACTCATGGTGGTACTGTTGGGTCTCTGTAAATAATGTTATTAAGAGTTCGGTCTAGACCTGCTCTATTTGAAAAGTGTCCTGAGATAACTTCTGTTATGAATTGGCGCTATACAAAAAAATTGAATTGAATTGAACAGGGAACTACAGGGGACTTCAGGGGACTACGGGGAACTACAGGGAACTACAGGGAACTACGGGGGACTACAGGAGACTACAGGGAACTGCAGGGATGCTATGTCCTCTGGCATTATTGTTATTGTTATGATTACTGTTATTGTTGTTAATTTACAACATTAAATTAAAACAGATTTAATAACAGAATAAAGTCCATTCAAAGTTTTATTTTAAAGACATTTGATGAGTTTATTTATACAAAGTGTTGACAGTGAACTTCTACCACAGTTGTTCATCAGTAATCAATGATTCGTCTATAGACACATTGATCAATGACAGACAGTTGGAGCTACTTTGTGTCTGTAAAGTGTTTAATATCTCTGGTGTTCTTGCTGTTCTAGCTGTGTTAGCATCCACAGACATCTCACCACCATGTGTCTGTTGTGCTGTCTGACAGATCTTACAGATGGACAGACTTTTATCCAACTTTCCTTTTTATTAGAATTCAAATGTCTTCCAAATCCTGTCGGCGTTTAAGGCGAGCCACGCTGCGCTAACTTTACTCCCTTATCACGTGACCTTTGACCTTTCAAGAGAACAAAGATGCTGTTAGCAGCAAAGCTTCATCAACAGATTCATAACTTTAGAACTGGACCATCGACCGATTCGTGGTACATTTAGACAGTCTCTCTCTCTCTCTCTCTCTCTCTCTCCCCCCACCCCAACTGGTCGAGACAGACGACCACCCACCTAGAGCCGAAGGATCTGTCCTAGGTTTCTGCCTTTTAACAGGCAGTTTTTCCTTGCCCTTGTCTCCAAGGTCTTGCTCATGGTGGTACTGTTGGGTCTCTGTAATTAATGTTTTAAAGAGTTCGGTCTAGACCTGCTCTATTTGAAAAGCGTCCTGAGATAACTTCTGTTATGAATTGGCGCTATACAAATAAAATTGAATTGAATTGAATCATAATGACTCCACAAGGCTGCAGTTTTGCTGTTCACAGTGTATGAACAGGTAATCAGAGACCCCCCTGTCAGGTTCTTCCCGGCTGTCTCTCGGTCTCGGTCTCTGCGACGCAGGAGTTCTTGGTGGGCTGGATCTTGTTCTGGCTGCTATCAGATCGTGGTCTCTGGTGAGCTCGGTCACAGACCTGCGTGAGGCCTCGGCTCAGCTCTTTGCGGATGTTGTCACTGGACAGGACATAGAGGACGGGGTTGACAGCGCTGTTGACGGTGGACAGGCCGAGCGAGATGGTGTACGGTGTGTACATGGTCCTCTCGAACAGGCAGTTCTCGTTCTCCAGCTGGGGGAAGTGGAAGAGGACGGCTCGGACCAGCAGGATGATGTGGTAAGGGGCGAAGCAGACCAGGAACAGGGCCACCACCGCCACCGCCAGCCAGCGAACTCGAACCTTCTGCTCCTGCCGCAGCCCCGTGCTGCGGCGCACATTGGCCAGGATGCCGCGGTTGGTCCCCACCAGGACCAGAAGCGGGATCAGGAAACCGACTACGAATCGGGCGTAGTTGAAGCCCGTCACCATGGTGCTGCTCTGACTCGGCTCAAAGCAGCGGTGGTCGCCCTCTTCGGCGTTGCCCTCCCTCATGGTAAAGACGGGAACATGACCGACAGCGACCAGCAGCACGACGGTGAGGGCGATGAGGACGGCGAGGCGCTGCCGGCGGAGGCCGCGGGACTCCACGCTGTAGACGACGGCAATGTAGCGGTCACAGGAAATGCAGCACAGCAGGAAGATGCTAATGTACATGTTGTTAAAGAAGATGTAGCCCGTTAGCTTGCAGGCGGTCGAGCTCCACGGCCACAAGTGACCCACGCTCACGTAGTGCGCCCACATCGGCAGAGTGCCCAGGTAGCTGAGGTCACACAGCGAGAGGCTCCACAGGTAAACACCCAGCACGTTCTTCCTGCGCACCTGCAGCCAGGTGAGGTAGACGGTCAGCAGGTTGGCGGGCAGTCCGACAGCCAGCACCGCGCTGTACAGTAGCACCAACGGCAGGCGGCCCTCGTCATACGGAGGCTCGCACAGCATCTGACTCGTGTGGTTTGTCAGAGAAATCGTCTCAGGCGTCGGCATCATGTCTGCAGGAAAACGATCAATCAGATCCAGTTTGTCTGTAGAGGATGAAAAACAAATCAACAAGAATCAAACACATTTATTAATGAATATCTTTATTAATATTCTGGAACCATTCATATATATATTATATATATATTATTTTGTTGGTAATTCTTTTATTGCGTTTAATGGATGGTGACAGCTGTAGAGTGACAGTAGAGGGCCACAGATCAGACTCTGGTACCTGGGGGTCCAGCTCTACCTGTTCTATAGAACATTATATGACAGGAACTACAATAATATAATAATCCGTTAAACTCTTGAAGCTGAAACTTCATCGTTTGATGAGCCTAATTCTCTGCTTCCTGTCTCACAGGAAATCCCCTCAACAATAAGTGCGAGTTTGGTTTTTAGGTTTCTGGGTATTTTGTTCTGTCTGGTTCTCGCTACGTGAAACAAATGAAACCACAAATTGACACATTTTCTGTTGACTCAGTTCAAATAAAGTTTGACAGCTCATCTGGAGATACGTGTTTTCACACATTTTAAGTTCTTTGACCTTTACTGAACTCTGACTTCAGTCTCTGACTCACTTCCACATTTTCAGGAACAAATGAGTCGACTCAAAGTTTTCCAGGAGACTGATGATTATTGAGTATTGATCTGTTTAGAGCAGTGGTTCTCTTTTATGAATTATATTTTCAGCTCTGAACATTTTTGGTTGATTAAAATTTTTATTGTATTTATAAACAGTCTAGAGGGTGAGGTGAGGGAGTTACAGTCTAGAGGGTGAAGTGAGGGAGTTACAGTCTAGAGGGTGAGGTGAGGGAGTTACAGTCTAGAGGGTGAAGTGAGGGAGTTACAGTCTGGAGGGTGAGGTGAGGGAGTTACAGTCTAGAGGGTGAGGTGAGGGAGTTACAGTCTAGAGGGTGAAGTGAGGGAGTTACAGTCTGGAGGGTGAAGTGAGGGAGTTACAGTCTAGAGGGTGAGGTGAGGGAGTTACAGTCTAGAGGGTGAGGTGAGGGAGTTACAGTCTGGAGGGTGAGGTGAGGGAGTTACAGTCTAGAGGGTGAGGTGAGGGAGTTACAGTCTAGAGGGTGAAGTGAGGGAGTTACAGTCTAGAGGGTGAGGTGAGGGAGTTACAGTCTGGAGGGTGAGGTGAGGGAGTTACAGTCTAGAGGGTGAGGTGAGGGAGTTACAGTCTAGAGGGTGAGGTAAGGGAGTTAGTCTGGAGGGTGAGGTGAGGGAGTTACAGTCTAGAGGGTGAGGTGAGGGAGTTACAGTCTAGAGGGTGAGGTGAGGGAGTTACAGTCTGGAGGGTGAGGTGAGGGAGTTACAGTCTAGAGGGTGAAGTGAGGGAGTTACAGTCTAGAGGGTGAGGTGAGGGAGTTACAGTCTGGAGGGTGAGGTGAGGGAGTTACAGTCTAGAGGGTGAGGTGAGGGAGTTACAGTCTAGAGGGTGAGGTGAGGGAGTTAGTCTGGAGGGTGAGGTGAGGGAGTTACAGTCTAGAGGGTGAGGTGAGGGAGTTACAATCTGGAGGGTGAGGTGAGGGAGTTACAGTCTAGAGGGTGAGGTGAGGGAGTTACAGTCTAGAGGGTGAGGTGAGGGAGTTACAATCTGGAGGGTGAGGTGAGGGAGTTACAGTCTAGAGGGTGAGGTGAGGGAGTTACAATCTGGAGGGTGAGGTGAGGGAGTTACAGTCTGGAGGGTGAGGTGAGGGAGTTACAGTCTAGAGGGTGAGGTGAGGGAGTTACAATCTGGAGGGTGAGGTGAGGGAGTTACAGTCTAGAGGGTGAGGTGAGGGAGTTACAATCTGGAGGGTGAGGTGAGGGAGTTACAGTCTAGAGGGTGAGGTGAGGGAGTTACAATCTGGAGGGTGAGGTGAGGGAGTTACAGTCTGGAGGGTGAGGTGAGGGAGTTACAGTCTAGAGGGTGAGGTGAGGGAGTTACAGTCTAGAGGGTGAAGTGAGGGAGTTACAGTCTAGAGGGTGAGGTGAGGGAGTTACAGTCTAGAGGGTGAAGTGAGGGAGTTACAGTCTGGAGGGTGAGGTGAGGGAGTTACAGTCTAGAGGGTGAGGTGAGGGAGTTACAGTCTAGAGGGTGAGGTGAGGGAGTTACAGTCTGGAGGGTGAGGTGAGGGAGTTACAGTCTAGAGGGTGAGGTGAGGGAGTTACAGTCTAGAGGGTGAAGTGAGGGAGTTACAGTCTAGAGGGTGAGGTGAGGGAGTTACAGTCTGGAGGGTGAGGTGAGGGAGTTACAGTCTAGAGGGTGAGGTGAGGGAGTTACAGTCTAGAGGGTGAGGTGAGGGAGTTAGTCTGGAGGGTGAGGTGAGGGAGTTACAGTCTAGAGGGTGAGGTGAGGGATTTAGTCTGGAGGGTGAGGTGAGGGAGTTACAGTCTAGAGGGTGAAGTGAGGGAGTTACAGTCTAGAGGGTGAGGTGAGGGAGTTACAGTCTAGAGGGTGAAGTGAGGGAGTTACAGTCTAGAGGGTGAGGTGAGGGAGTTACAGTCTGGAGGGTGGGGTGAGGGAGTTACAGTCTAGAGGGTGAGGTGAGGGAGTTACAGTCTAGAGGGTGAGGTGGGGAGTTAGTCTGGAGGGTGAGGTGAGGGAGTTACAGTCTAGAGGGTGAGGTGAGGGAGTTACAATCTGGAGGGTGAGGTGAGGGAGTTACAGTCTAGAGGGTGAGGTGAGGGAGTTACAATCTGGAGGGTGAGGTGAGGGAGTTACAGTCTAGAGGGTGAGGTGAGGGAGTTACAATCTGGAGGGTGAGGTGAGGGAGTTACAATCTGGAGGGTGAGGTGAGGAGTTACAATCTGGAGGGTGAGGTGAGGAGTTACAATCTGGAGGGTGAGGTGAGGGAGTTACTGAGTATGTGCAATCCCCCCCCAAGCTCCCATCGTGCTCTCTGATTTCCTTTGTTCTGATGTGGCCTGTTGGTGGTGGGCGGGGTCAGAGTGAATTATTGATCATTGACCTTGTTAATGAATGAATGACAGATGGCAATAAAACAACATATTGAACTATTGATCAGCTCTCTAATGGATCAAATATAATATTATTGATTATAATAATAGCAGTTTTATAGGATCAGTGTAGTATAATGTGTACATATTGATCATTGAAGTATGATAATATGGATCAATATTGTTCACATTCAGTCATTCACACAGTGATGCATCAGGAGCAGTTTGGGGTTCAGTATTTAGCTCAAGGGCACTTCAACCATCGAACCAATAACCGCTCTGCCCCTGAGCCACCCACTGATTATTAATGATTATTATTTTCAATATAAATAAATAAATTGATATTGATTGTTTTATATGGATGGAAAGTAAACAATGATCTAAATAGAGCATGGTGTATAATATAATAATATATAATATAATATAATTATATAATAAAATAAAATAACGCAGTGTGTATAATATGATATAATAATAATAATAATAATAATAAAATAAATAAAATAGAGCAGTGTGTATAATATGATATAATAATAATAATAATAAAATAAATAAAATAACGCAGTGTGTATAATATGATATAATAATAATAATAATAATAATAAAATAAATAAAATAGAGCAGTGTGTATAATATGATATAATAATAATAATAATAATAAAATAAATAAAATAGAGCAGTGTGTATGAAAGCACGCGAGTACTTTCGCAGCTCACAAACATCGTTCATCGTTCAGTCTGAAGTATTTGATTACGCTCATACTATAACCTACACATATTATTACTGATGATTGATTATTGATTATTGATTAATAAAATTGATAAAAACTCACGTCCGTCTCACGCATCCTCCGATTCACCTCATGCTCATCAAATTTACTACGGCTTGTTTCCTCTCGACAGTGTGCGAGACTGGGAGGGGGAGGGAGAGAGAGAGAGAGAGAGAGAGGGGGAGAGAGACAGAGACAGAGAGAGGGAGAGAGGGAGGGACTCTCTCTACTGTCAGAGATAGAAAGCAGAGACAGATCCTAACCAAGTACAGGCTCAGTGACCACAAACTGCCAATCCAAACAGGAAGACACAAAACATCATGGCAACCAAAAGAAAACAGAAAATGTGGTCACTGTTGGACAGGTGAGGTTGAGACAGAGATGCACTTTCTCCTACAATGTACAACATTAAATAATACTAGAAACATTTATTTCAGTTCAGCTCTTTGGTTCCAGATTTCAAAGAGCTGAACGACCTCTCCACATTAAAAATACTCCTGGAGGAGGAGAGCGGGCACACCTTGCTGCCCAGTATGTATTAACATGCCACAACCTGAGGGACACACACACACACACACACACACACACACACACACACACACACACACACAAACACAAACACAAACACTGTACATAACTAATATAATGTTCATGATGTTTATATCTTTGATTTATTGTATTTGAATACTTTGCTTTGGCAATATTGTTTTTAAATAACTTTCATGCCAATAAATAAAGTCCATTTTGAATTGAATTGAATTTAAAGGGAGAGAGAGAGACAGAGAGAGAGACTCTGAAACATAGAGAGGGTGTTTGCCTCCAGAACCAGAGAGGACCACTGACACCATCTAGTGATGGTCTGTTGGTACTGCACCGACTCTTCTTCTCCTCCTCCTCCTCCCCTTCTTACTCCTCCTCTACATCCTCCTCCTCCTCTATCTCTTCTTCCTCTTCCTCCCCATCTATCTCCTCCTCTTCCTTCTTTCTCCTCTTCTTCCTCCTCCTTTATATCCTTTATCTCCTCCTCCTCCATCTCCTCTTCCTCCTCCTTCACTTCCACCTCCTCCTCTTCCTCCTTTCTTCCTCCTCCTCCTCTATATCCTCCTTTATCTCCTCCTCCTCCTTTATCTCCTTCTCTATCTCCTCCTCCTCCATTTCCTCCTCTTCTTCCTCCTCCTCCTCCTTTCTCTCCTCTTCTTCCTCCTCCTTTCTCCTCCTCTTCTATCTCCTCCTCTTCTTCCTCCTCATCCTCTATCTCCTCCTCTATCTCCTCCTCTTCTTCCTCCTCATCCTCCTTGATCTCCTCCTCCTCCTCTTCTTCCTCCTCTTTTTCTTCCTCTTCTTCTTCCTCCTCATCCTCTATCTCCTCCTCCTCCTCTTCTTCCTCCTCCTCTGACAGTTTTAATGAAATCAGATTGAATGTTTAATAATATTTTATTCTTTTTACAGATTTTTATAAAAAACAAGTTGAGGAATGTTGAATGACTCAGCGATGACTCAGCAATAAAAAGCCACCCATGGGGCAACCAATGAGACTGAAGCAGACATCAGCTGACAGGATGTTCCTATTGTCTCTTTTCAAAGTAAAAGTCTTCGACTGAAATCAGTTCTTCCACCGGATTTGCTGAAAGAGAAGAAGAAAACGTCATGATTAAGATGATGAAGATGATGAAGATGATGAAGATGACTCCTCTTCCTCACCGGGTTGTTGAGCAGCTCATCAATCTTCCTCTCCTCTGCTGATCCTCTTTCCACCTTCCCCCGGTATCCTAGCAACAGCTGCCGGTCCTTCAGGTCCCGGTACGTCTGATTAGCCCAGAGACACGTCGTCATCATGACATCACAGCAAAAACAACATTCAAAATAATCGTCCAATCAGAGAGCTTCATTAACGTAAACATGATTGAGTCTCACGTTGATGACGATGTCGTGACATTTATGTTTCTGAGCCAAACTGATCCTCAACTCTGCATCATCAACCAGCGCCACGTAGTCCTGCAGGACCTGTCAATCAAATAACACACCTGTCAATCAAACACCTTAAGTAACCCTCTATTTATTTCCCATTGGCTGCATTGTTACAGGCTCCACCCACTCACCTGTGTTGGGGCGGAGTTTTTCTGCAGGATGTCTACGACTCGCTGGAAGCTGAGCGGAGATTTCTTCCTGGTGAAGCCGAGCCAGTTCCTACTGGTGAACAGAGCGTCCACGTCTGACCACGCCTTCAGCTTCGCCCGCGCAGCCAGCGCCGTAACAAAGTACTGCTTCTCCGAGATCTGAGGACAAAGGTCAACAGTGGTCAAACAGGTCAATAAACACTGAAAACATCAGCTCTCACCTTGTCAATAAACACTGAAAACATCAGCTCTCACCTTGTCAATAAACACTGAAAACATCAGCTCTCACCTTGAAGGTCTGACGGATGTTCAACGAACTGCTGTAGGTTCCCTGCAAACAGAGAAACCGGTTCAACGATACTTAGACTGACCTCAGGCTGGTTTAGTTAAAGGCAGACTCACTGCAGGCTGGTTTAGTTAAGGGCAGACTCATTGCAGGCTGGTTTAGTTAAGGGCAGACTCATTGCAGGCTGGTTTAGTTAAGGGCAGACTGACCGCAGGCTGGTTTAGTTAAGGGCAGACTCACTGCAGGCTGGTTTAGTTAAGGGCAGACTGACCGCAGGCTGGTTTAGTTAAGGGCAGACTCACTGCAGGCTGGTTTAGTTAAGGGCAGACTCATTGCAGGCTGGTTTAGTTAAGGGCAGACTGACCGCAGGCTGGTTTAGTTAAGGGCAGACTGACCGCAGGCTGGTTTAGTTAAGGGCAGACTCACTGCAGGCTGGTTTAGTTAAGGGCAGACTGACCGCAGGCTGGTTTAGTTAAGGGCAGACTCACTGCAGGCTGGTTTAGTTAAGGGCAGACTGACCGCAGGCTGGTTTAGTTAAGGGCAGACTGACCGCAGGCTGGTTTAGTTAAGGGCAGACTCACTGCAGGCTGGTTTAGTTAAGGGCAGACTCATTGCAGGCTGGTTTAGTTAAGGGCAGACTGACCGCAGGCTGGTTTAGTTAAGGGCAGACTGACCGCAGGCTGGTTTAGTTAAGGGCAGACTCACTGCAGGCTGGTTTAGTTAAGGGCAGACTGACCGCAGGCTGGTTTAGTTAAGGGCAGACTCACTGCAGGCTGGTTTAGTTAAGGGCAGACTGACCGCAGGCTGGTTTAGTTAAGGGCAGACTCACTGCAGGCTGGTTTAGTTAAGGGCAGACTCACTGCAGGCTGGTTTAGTTAAGGGCAGACTCATTGCAGGCTGGTTTAGTTAAGGGCAGACTCACTGCAGGCTGGTTTAGTTAAGGGCAGACTCATTGCAGGCTGGTTTAGTTAAGGGCAGACTCACTGCAGGCTGGTTTAGTTAAGGGCAGACTCACTGCAGGCTGGTTTAGTTAAGGGCAGACTCACTGCAGGCTGGTTTAGTTAAGGGCAGACTCACAGCAGGCTGGTTTAGTTAAGGGCAGACTGACCTCAGGCTGGTTTAGTTAAGGGCAGACTGACCTCAGGCTGGTTTAGTTAAGGGCAGACTCACTGCAGGCTGGTTCAGTTAAGGGCAGACTGACCTCAGGCTCAGTGTAGTGGTAGAAGCAGCAGTAGTACAGAGTCGTCACCAGGGGCATGTTGAGGATTGAAGCTCTTCTGGGAAACTTCTGGAAGATTTCCACCTTACCTCCGCGCTCGGCCTGCCGGTCGGTTGCCTAGCAACAACACAGAGGGAAAACTGCCATTAAACTGGTATAATCTTGGATTTATACTGGGATTATACTGAGGCTATACTGGGGTTACACTGGGATTATACAGGGGTTATACTGGGGTTATACTGGGATTACACTGGGGCTATACTTTGATTCAAACTAACACTAGTGTAAAATGGTTTAGTGATTCTGACCTCAATGATGATCTGTCTCTCCAGCAGAGTGAAGTGATCCTGAACATGAGCTGAATCTTCTGGAGAAAATGGAAGACTGCACACAAACAAACAAAAACAGACACCCACAAACAGTTGATAGACAAATTACCAGATTACAAATCTGACTGTCACCAGATTATGACTCATTCTTGTGTGACAACAGATTATTGATAATACACTGATAAATTAATGATTCTGATTATTTAAATGTAAATTATATTAATTCAATTCAATTCAATTCAATTTATTTGAATAGCGCCAATTCATAACAGAAGTTATCTCAGGACACTTTTCAAATGAAGCAGGTCTATTATACTTTGTAATAACAGAATTTGTATTTATTTGTATCAAACTAGAGTTAACATTAGTTTGGAGTATTTATACATGAGTCAGTGTTGTGGTTTGAAGTACAGTGGCCTGCAGGAGTCACTCACCTGAGGCAGCTCTTCAGGAAGTCCCGCCTCTTGTTTTCATCAGTGATGCTCAGGTGTTCTTTGTACTGCAACAGCTATCGCCATAGAAACAGACAGGAAATTACATTAGCTTCCTGTCTGGTGTGTACTATGACTGTGTACTGCAACTTTGTACTGCTAGCGTAGTTTTGCACGTACTGCCACATCCTCCATCCGGCCCAGAGCTCTGAGAGCACAAGAACAAGAACACACATTCAATTAAATGAAATAAACAAATACAGATAGAGACAGGAGACTAGGAAGTATAGACAGCAGGAGATTGTTAGCACTGTATCCTAGCAACAGGCGCTCCTGTTGAGCATCAGTTACCATGGCAATGTACCCTGGCCTCGCTAACACCAAACCCCGCCCTGTAGTACAGGGTCCTGTTCTACACAGAGACCTGAGCAGCTCCAGCAGCAGCCTCTGGTCTCTGGTCTCCGTCAGATACTGGATCAAGTGTCTCAGAGCCGTCTGCCTGGACTCCAGCTCCCGAAACAAGACCTCTGTAAGGGAAGATGGGGTCAGGACTATGGATCCAGAACCAGGTCTGATCCACAATCATTACACTGAGAACTGATCCAGGATCTGAACAAAAAGGCTCACCTTTACCCAGGGTCCTCTTTAAATAAATCAGAACCTGAAAGAAAAAACATTCAGTGTCAGTGTCAGACGGTGTTGATCAGATAAAGTTTATAGATGGTGTTGTTGATCAGATTGTTAATAAAGTTTATAGATAATAATAAGAGTGTGAACAAAGTTACAGCAGTGATGACATTTCCATCGTGAGCGCTGACAGCGAAGTCAAGCAGCAGAAGTTTGTCCTGAAGAGACCGAAACTTCTCCAGAGAGAAAGCCTGAAACACGGTACAAAAAAATGTAATACTACACTATAATACTACATACTGATACTACACTATATTACTACACTATAATACTACATACTGATACTACACTATAATACTACACTATATTACTACACTATAATACTACATACTGATACTACACTATAATACTACACTATAATACTACATACTGATACTACACTATATTACTACATACTGATACTACACTATAATACTACACTATATTACTACACTATAATACTACATACTGATACTACACTATAATACTACACTATAATACTACATACTGATACTACACTATAATACTACACTATAATACTACATACTGATACTACACTATAATACTACACTATATTACTACATACTGATACTACACTATAATACTACACTATAATACTACATACTGATACTACACTGTAATACTACACTATAATACTACACTATAATACTACACTGTAATACTACACTGTAATACTACACTATAATACTACATACTGATACTACACTATAATACTACACTGTAATACTACTTACTGATAGTACACTGTAATAATACACTGTAATACTACATACTGATACTACACTGTAATACTACACTATAATACTACACTATAATACTACACTGTAATACTACTTACTGATAGTACACTGTAATACTACACTGTAATACTACACTGTAATACTACATACTTATACTTCACTATAATACTACACTGTAATACTTCACTGTAATACTACACTGTAATACTACATACTGATACTACACTGTAATACTACACTATAATACTACACTGTAATACTACACTGTAATACTACACTATAATACTACACTGTAATACTACATACTGATACTACACTGTAATACTACACTATAATACTACACTGTAATACTACTTACTGATAGTACACTGTAATACTACACTGTAATACTACACTGTAATACTACATACTTATACTTCACTATAATACTACACTGTAATACTTCACTGTAATACTACACTGTAATACTACATACTGATACTACACTGTAATACTACACTATAATACTACACTATAATACTACACTGTAATACTACATACTGATACTACACTGTAATACTACACTGTTATACTGCACTGTAATACTACATACTTATACTTCACTATAATACTACACTGTAATACTTCACTATAATACTACACTGTAATACTACATATAGACCAAAACTTCTCCCTGGACACACACAGACAGATAGGTGGACAGGTAGGTAAACAGATAGGTGGACAGATAGGTGGACAGATAGGTGGACAGATAGGTAAACAGATAGGTAAACAGATAGGTGGACAGATAGGTGGACAGATAGGTAAACAGATAGGTGGACAGATAGGTGGACAGATAGGTGGACAGATAGGTAAACAGATAGGTGGACAGATAGGTAAACATATAGGTGGACAGATAGGTAAGCATATAGGTGGACAGATAGGTAAACAGATAGGTAAACAGATAGGTGGACAGATAGGTAAACATATAGGTGGACAGATAGGTAAACATATAGGTGGACAGATAGGTAAACAGATAGGTAGACAGATAGGTGGACAGATAGGTAGACAGATAGGTGGACAGATAGGTGGACAGATAGGTGGACAGATAGGTAAACATATAGGTGGACAGATAGGTAAACATATAGGTGGACAGATAGGTAAACAGATAGGTGGACAGATAGGTGGACAGATAGGTAAACAGATAGGTAAACAGATAGGTGGACAGATAGGTGGACAGATAGGTGGACAGATAGGTGGACAGATAGGTAAACAGACAGACATGTTACCTTTCCCTGCTGCATTCTCTGAATCGTCTCCTCCGGCGACCAATCACTGACATAATCCTGATATCACAACATAACATCATTAGATCACCAGCAAATCAGACAAATCTGTAGTCTGTAATCAGATCAGAGTAATCAGACTCCAACAAGATTACAGTCTGTAATCAGATTACGGTGTTCTAGTTACCTTGTATTCAGATTTTGGTTTTCGGAGTTCGGGAGCGTAGAGCCTGACAGACAAGTCACTGAGAGCTAAAACACACAGACAGCCGTCAGTATTGAACTCACTCATACACTCACCCATCCATTAACTCATCCTTCAATAAACTCATTCATCCATTAACTCATCCTTCAATAAACTCATTCATCCATTAACTCATCCTTCAATAAACTCATTCATCCATTAACTCATCCTTCAATAAACTCATTCATCCAGTAACTCACTCATCCATTAACTCATCCTTCAATAAACTCATTCATCCATTAACTCATCGTTTAAAAAACTCATTCATCCATTAACTCATCCTTCAATAAACTCATTCATCCATTAACTCATCCTTCAATAAACTCATTCATCCATTAACTCATCCTTCAATAAACTCATTCATCCATTAACTCATCCTTCAATAAACTCATTCATCCATTAACTCATCCTTCAATAAACTCATTCATCCATTAACTCATCCTTCAATAAACTCATTCATCCAGTAACTCACTCATCCATTAACTCATCCTTCAATAAACTCATTCATCCATTAACTCATCGTTTAAAAAACTCATTCATCCATTAACTCATCCTTCAATAAACTCATTCATCCATTAACTCATCCTTCAATAAACTCATTCATCCATTAACTCATCCTTCAATAAACTCATTCATCCATTAACTCATCCTTCAATAAACTCATTCATCCAGTAACTCACTCATCCATTAACTCATCCTTCAATAAACTCATTCATCCATTAACTCATCGTTTAAAAAACTCATTCATCCATTAACTCATCCTTCAATAAACTCATTCATCCATTAACTCATCCTTCAATAAACTCAGTCATCCAGTAACTCACTCATCCATTAACTCATCCTTCAATAAACTCATTCATCCATTAACTCATCGTTTAAAAAACTCATTCATCCATTAACTCATCCTTCAATAAACTCATTCATCCATTAACTCATCCTTCAATAAACTCAGTCATCCAGTAACTCACTCATCCATTAACTCATCCTTCAATAAACTCATTCATCCATTAACTCATCGTTTAAAAAACTCATTCATCCATTAACTCATCCTTCAATAAACTCATTCATCCATTAACTCATCCTTCAATAAACTCAGTCATCCAGTAACTCACTCATCCATTAACTCATCCTTCAATAAACTCATTCATCCATTAACTCATCGTTTAAAAAAACTCATTCATCCATTAACTCATCCTTCAATAAACTCATTCATCCATTAACTCATCCTTCAATAAACTCATTCATCCATTAACTCATCCTTCAATAAACTCATTCATCCATTAACTCATCCTTCAATAAACTCATTCATCCAGTAACTAATCAATCAATGAACTCGTTCATTCATTAACTCAGTCAACCATTAACTAATCAATCAATTTACCCATCCTTCAATAAACTCATTCATCCATTAAGTCATCCTTAAATGTACTCATTCACCCATTAACTCATTCATCCATTCATTCATACAGTGTAGTTCAGACTCACAGTCATTGAAGGACTGAAAGTTTCCTCCTTTAGTTTTTCCTGCAAAGAAAAAACACATTCAACTTTCATATAATACTGTCTCACCTATCTGACCTGTCTCACCTTTCTGACCTGTCACACCTGTGCAGCTGTCTTACCTTTGAACAGAGAGCTCAGGGAGTACCCAGAGTTACTCTTGCTGAGGGTCGGTGTGTCCGTGTTGATTTTGGGGAAGGTGGGCTCTCGGTCTGTCCTCTGATTGGACGCCGCCGTCTCTCTGACCGACCAGGAGATACCTGAGGTGAAACAGGAAGATGATCCTAACCCTGCAGCCAATCACTGCTCAGGATTGGTTTTAAATAAGGAGGTCTTACTCCCGACAGGCTCTCCACTCCAGCTGACCTTCTCCACATCATCTTCGTCATCATCTTCCTCCACCAGGCGGCGGATGCTGTTCACTGCCTGCTTCGACTCTTTTAACTGATAAACACAATAGCTGACGGTCACACAGGTGTACTGACACACCTGTTGCCTCATTTATAAAACTGCTCAAACAAAAGCTAACGTACAAAAGATATATTGGTATACAGGTGTACAGAGGTATAGAGGCGTACAGAGGTGTACAGAGGTTTACAGGTGTACAGAGGTATACAGGTGTACAGAGTAGGGCTGTAACGGTTCTGAAACCGAGACTGAAATCGCGACACAAAAGTCCACGGTCTCGTGTCGCGGATTTGTGAGACAGAACAGCGACACACTCGCTCCCTGGACTGTTGAGCTCTCGTTAAGACAGTGTAACTGCGGCGGTGGCGGCGGCCCGTGGGGTGGTAGCGGTGTACGCCTATATCGTATTTGTATTGACAGTTGGTTATTCTAGGTTACTGTTTATTTACTACTTTAATCTGCTCCCTTTCTCTTCTCCCCACACTCACACACACACACACCTAGTCTGGACCTCTGCTCACTCACAGCAAACACGCCCTCTTGCTCCGCCTCTTTCTGTCTCTCTCTCCCTGTGTGTGTCTCTGCTGACTTTCTCCATCAGCAGTACGTTTCATAAACTCACCCGTGATTCAGTTTAAGTGCGCCGCATGTGGGTCCAAACCGAAACTAACGTTAGTGAGTGACATCTGCAGTGGTGCGTTCACTGACACTCCATAAAATAAATCGAGGTCTGAACCGAACCGTGGATTTGGGGAATCGTTACACCACTAGTACAGAGGAATACAGGTGTACAGTATACAGGTGTGAGTTGAGAAGAGTGCAGGGACCTGAGACCTGGTTCAGTCTGGTCCAGGTCTCCCGGTCCCTGCAGGTCCACGTCTTACCCTGCTGAACTCGTCGTCTTCGTCGTCAAAGGTGAACGCTTTAAACTTGGAGCTGTTCCAGTAGTCTTCCTCATCTGCTTTACTCTTCATCATCTGGACACACAACCAGTCACTGTTTGAAACAACTTTACTTAAACTGTCAACACCAACACCTAGCAAGTATGCTGCTCAGAATCGATCACCAGCGAGCTTTGCACAATGCATGCTGGGTAGCTTTTTCTCTGACTTGATACCGACTTGCTCTGAAGGCGTGCACACGTGGGCGACGATAACCTCGAGATATTGAGGCTGCCGCAGTTTTTAGAGCCAGTAGACTGTAGCTGCTGAATCTGTTACTAACAGATCTTGTGTGGCTGATAATAATATAAAGTAAAGTACGAGTACTGAAGCATCTCTACAGTAAAGCTTTACTTTATTACATTCTCTACAGTAAAGCTTTATCTAATTACATTCTCTACAGTAAAGCTTTATCTAATTACATTCTCTACAGTAAAGCTTTATCTAATTACATTCTCTACAGTAAAGCTTTATCTAATTACATTCTCTACAGTAAAGCTTTACTTTATTACATTCTCTACAGTAAAGCTTTACTTTATTACATTCTCTACAGTAAAGCTTTATCTAATTACATTCTCTACAGTAAAGCTTTATCTAATTACATTCTCTACAGTAAAGCTTTATCTAATTACATTCTCTACAGTAAAGCTTTACTTTATTACATTCTCTACAGTAAAGCTTTATCTAATTACATTCTCTACAGTAAAGCTTTACTTTATTACATTCTCTACAGTAAAGCTTTACTTTATTAATGTGTAGTTGTGTGTAGTTGTGTGTGTATTGTGTGTAGTTGTGTGTGTGTGTAGTTGTGTGTGTGTATTGTGTGTAGTTGTGTGTGTGTGTAGTTGTGTGTGTGTATTGTGTGTAGTTGTGTGTGTAATGTGTGTAGTTGTGTGTGTGTATTGTGTGTAGTTGTGTGTGTGTGTGTATTGTGTGTAGTTGTGTGTGTGTGTGTATTGTGTGTAGTTGTGTGTGTGTGTGTGTGTTGTGTGTGTGTATTGTGTGTAGTTGTGTGTGTAATGTGTGTAGTTGTGTGTGTGTATTGTGTGTAGTTGTGTGTGTAATGTGTGTAGTTGTGTGTGTGTATTGTGTGTAGTTGTGTGTGTGTGTATTGTGTGTAGTTGTGTGTGTGTGTATTGTGTGTAGTTGTGTGTGTATTGTGTGTGGTGTGTGTGTGTATTGTGTGTAGTTGTGTGTGTGTGTTGTGTGTAGTTGTGTGTGTGTATTGTGTGTAGTTGCGGTGTGTATTGTGTGTAGTTGTGTGTGTGTGTATTGTGTGTAGTTGTGTGTGTATTGTGTGTAGTTGTGTGTGTGTGTATTGTGTGTAGTTGTGTGTGTATTGTGTGTAGTTGTGTGTGTAGTGTGTGTAGTTGTGTGTGTGTGTATTGTGTGTAGTTGTGTGTGTGTGTATTGTGTGTAGTTGTGTGTGTGTGTATTGTGTGTAGTTGTGTGTGTATTGTGTGTAGTTGTGTGTGTGTGTATTGTGTGTAGTTGTGTGTGTAATGTGTGTAGTTGTGTGTGTGTGTGTGTGTGTGTATTGTGTGTAGTTGTGTGTGTGTGTAGTTGTGTGTGTGTATTGTGTGTAGTTGTGTGTGTGTGTAGTTGTGTGTGTGTATTGTGTGTAGTTGTGTGTGTAATGTGTGTAGTTGTGTGTGTGTGTGTATTGTGTGTAGTTGTGTGTGTGTGTATTGTGTGTAGTTGTGTGTGTGTGTAGTTGTGTGTGTGTATTGTGTGTAGTTGTGTGTGTAATGTGTGTAGTTGTGTGTGTGTATTGTGTGTAGTTGTGTGTGTAATGTGTGTAGTTGTGTGTGTGTATTGTGTGTAGTTGTGTGTGTGTGTATTGTGTGTAGTTGTGTGTGTGTGTATTGTGTGTAGTTGTGTGTGTATTGTGTGTAGTTGTGTGTGTATTGTGTGTAGTTGTGTGTGTGTATTGTGTGTAGTTGTGTGTGTGTGTATTGTGTGTAGTTGTGTGTGTATTGTGTGTAGTTGTGTGTGTGTGTATTGTGTGTAGTTGTGTGTGTATTGTGTGTAGTTGTGTGTGTAGTGTGTAGTTGTGTGTGTATTGTGTGTAGTTGTGTGTGTGTGTATTGTGTGTAGTGTGTGTGTGTATTGTGTGTAGTTGTGTGTGTATTGTGTGTAGTTGTGTGTGTATTGTGTGTAGTTGTGTGTGTGTGTATTGTGTGTAGTTGTGTGTGTGTGTATTGTGTGTAGTTGTGTGTGTGTATTGTGTGTAGTTGTGTGTGTGTGTATTGTGTGTAGTTGTGTGTGTGTGTGTATTGTGTGTAGTTGTGTGTGTATTGTGTGTAGTTGTGTGTGTGTGTATTGTGTGTAGTTGTGTGTGTGTATTGTGTGTAGTTGTGTGTGTGTGTGTATTGTGTGTAGTTGTGTGTGTATTGTGTGTGTATTGTGTGTGTATTGTGTGTAGTTGTGTGTGTGTGTATTGTGTGTAGTTGTGTGTGTGTGTATTGTGTGTAGTTGTGTGTGTATTGTGTGTAGTTGTGTGTGTGTGTATTGTGTGTAGTTGTGTGTGTGTGTATTGTGTGTAGTTGTGTGTGTATTGTGTGTAGTTGTGTGTGTATTGTGTGTAGTTGTGTGTAGTTGTGTGTGTATTGTGTGTAGTTGTGTGTGTGTGTTTGTGGTCTCTGACAGCAGGAAGATAGTTAGCATGCTAACATGCTAACAGAAACGTCAGCCTTTAAACCGGAAGTAACGCTTTGATTCGCTCTGACAAACAGCGGCAACAGTGACGTCATATTAAAGATACACAAACTGTGAATCGATCTAACAGTTAATAAGTTTGACGCTGGTAATCGATCAGAATTGATCAGCTGTTTTTACCTTCAACTGCTGCGGCTCCTCTTCTTCTTCTCTGACGGAAGCTGGGCGCCTTCCGGCCGCGCGGTGTCTGCTGGGAACTGTAGTGAACCGGAACTGTAGACTGAAAACAGCTTTTTTAATTAATGTAAATATATTTATATAAATGATTAATATTATTATTTTTTGTAATATTTACATTATTATATAAAACATCAAATCAAGTTCTACAGTCACGAAATATAAAAATTAATACAATATAAAATATGACAAAGCTCAATAAATAACAATACAAACACACATATGAATGTAAATGTAAATAATATTTCAGAATTCATATATATAATGAATTAACATTTATTAAACTTTATATGAATGAATGAATAATAATATGTAATAATAACAAACATATATATAAAAATATAATGTATTGTTGTTTCCTCCATGAAAATGTTTTATAAATAATTAGAAATAATAATAACTAGTAATAATAGATCATTTACAGAATAAAACACACAGCAGAGAGCAACAACATCCTGGGTAATAGTTGGAATAATAATGTCCTTTCATATTCATCTAAAGTACGAAGACTACTGCTTAATGAATAACCTATAATTATTATTTAAGGTTGCATCCTGTTTGTGTTGTTTTAATTTGAAAGTCTTTAGAGGAAGTAGTTAAAGTGAGCTGAAGTTGGTTTTAAGTTTCAACTCCACAGTCAGAGACTCAGTTTGGTTCAACACTTCACACAGTGAGTACGGCAGCTATACTACAGTAATACTAGTTATACTACAGTTATACTACAGTAATACTACAGCTATACTACAGTAATACTACAGCTATACTACAGTAATACTAGTAATACTAGTTATACTACAGCTATACTACAGTAATACTACAGCTATACTACAGTAATACTAGTTATACTACAGTTATACTACAGTAATACTAGTTATACTACAGTTATACTACAGTAATACTAGTAATACTAGTTATACTACAGTTATACTACAGCTATACTACAGTTATACTACAGTAATACTACAGTGATACTACAGTAATACTAGTTATACTACAGCTATACTACAGTAATACTAGTTATACTACAGTTATACTACAGTTATACTACAGTTATACTACAGTAATACTACAGTTATACTACAGTTATACTACAGTAATACTACAGCAATACTAGTTATACTACAGTAATACTACAGTTATACTACAGTTATACTACAGTAATACTACAGCAATACTAGTTATACTACAGTTATACTACAGCTATACTACAGCTATACTACAGTTATACTACAGTAATACTACAGTAATACTACAGTAATACTACAGTTATACTACAGCAATACTACAGTTATACTACAGTAATACTACAGCAATACTACAGTTATACTACAGTAATACTACAGTGATACTACAGTAATACTAGTTATACTACAGCTATACTACAGTTATACTACAGCAATACTAGTTATACTACAGTTATACTACAGCTATACTACAGTTATACTACAGTAATACTACAGTAATACTACAGTAATACTACAGTAATACTACAGCAATACTACAGTTATACTACAGTAATACTACAGCTATACTACAGTTATACTACAGTGATACTACAGTGATACTACAGTAATACTAGTTATACTACAGCTATACTACAGTTATACTACAGTAATACTACAGTAATACTAGTTATACTACAGTTATACTACAGCTATACTACAGTTATACTACAGTAATACTACAGTTATACTACAGTAATACTAGTTATACTACAGTTATACTACAGCTATACTACAGTAATACTTCAGTAATACTACAGTTATACTACAGTTATACTACAGTAATACTTCAGTAATACTACAGTTATACTACAGTTATACTACAGCTATACTACAGTAATACTACAGTAATACTTCAGTAATACTACAGTTATACTACAGTTATACTACAGTAATACTACAGTAATACTACAGCAATACTAGTTATACTACAATAATACTACAGTAATACTACAGTTATACTACAGTAATACTACAGTAATACTAGTTATACTACAATAATACTACAGTAATACTACAGTTATACTACAGTAATACTACAGTAATACTAGTTATACTACAGTTATACTACAGCTATACTACAGCTATACTACAGTTATACTACAGTTATACTACAGTAATACTTCAGTAATACTACAATTATACTACAGTTATATTACAGTAATACTACAGTAATACTACAGTAATACTACAGCTATACTACAGCAATACTAGTTATACTACAGTAATACTACAGTTATACTACAGTTATACTACAGATATACTACAGCAATACTAGTTATACTACAGTAATACTACAGTAATACTACAGTCAGTACTACAATAATACTACAGTTATACTACAGTAGTATTTGAAGCAGTATAAATACTTCTGATGGCTAAATGGGGAGAAGGAGATCCTCGATGGATTGTTGAAGAGAGAGCGGACGCCACCAACGTGAACAACTGGCACTGGTCTGTTATTATTATCATTGTTGTTGTTATTGTTGTTATTATCTTTATTATTATTAAATATGAACCATGAGAGGCTATTTGAGGGTTTAGGTGTGTGTAATGAGGGTCCTCACTTGTATAGAAGAACAAACGTGTGTGTGTATTAGTTTGTGTGTGTGTGTGTGTGTGTGTGTGTGTGTGTGTGTGTGTGTGTGTGTGTGTGTGTGTGTTATTCGACCCTCCTGCTCCGTCAGCACATGCTCAGATATTTTTAAACAGCTGATGGATGACAGGTGGTGATGTTAGAGAGGTGGGCAGGGCTACAGGAGGTGGAACTGTCTGGAAACATTAACCCCCTCTCGTCTGTCTCTCTCTCTCTCTGTGTGACCTCATCAGGACGGAGCGTGATGTTAGCGGCTGGTCATCAGAGCGCCTCCGTCAGCTGCTGCTGGCGGTGCAGGTGGAGGGACCGGAGGGTGTCTGTCAGCTGACCGATGTCTCCAAACTGGACGGAGAAGCTTCCATCAACAACCGCAAAGGAAAACTGATCTTCTTCTACGAGTGGCAGCTGAGAGCCAACTGGCTAGGTCCGTATGATGTCACTGATGATTCAATTCAATTCAATTCAATTCAGTTTTATTTGTATAGCGCCAATTCATAACAGAAGTTATCTCAGGACACTTTTCAAATAGAGCAGGTCTATACCGAACTCTTTATAACATTAATTACAGAGACCCAACAGTACCACCATGAGCAAGACCTTGGCAACAAGGGCAAGGAAACACTGCCTGTTAAAAGGCAGAAACCTAGGACAGATCCTCCGGCTCTAGGTGGGTGGTCGTCTGTCTCGACCAGTTGGGGTGAGAGAGATATTGAGAGACAGACAGAGAGAGAGAGAGACAGTTGCACAGCAACAACAGTAGCAACAACTACACTAATAGTAGTGACTGATGATGATGAACATGAAGAAGATGATGACAATGACAACAGCAGCGATGGGGGAATAATAGTAACTGTAGTAATAATAATATTAATAATAATAATAATTAAAGCTGCAAGCAGCATTGGGCGGGACCTCACACTCCACGCAACTCGGGGCGTGCTGCGGCCACGTCACATGCCGTCTTAACACATGTGGACCACAACATGAAATTTTCACGTCACCCCACTCCCAAGCCCTCATCGCCAGAAGCTGAGGGAGACCACTCTACGTTGTCAAACGTTTCAGATACTGCAAAAGACTTACGCTTTCATAGAGAGACTCTTCACTGCGAAAGGTGGAAATTCAGCGCCATGCCAAGGACACACAGTTTGACGCACAGTAAATATTTGATCAACTTATGATCACCAATGTGTCGAGATTGCAGTGATCGAATTTGAAAATCACTGCAAACTGCTGAAAATGGCATCACAGTTTGATATTCGATTGATACTGGCTAACTTTGATGTCACGCTACGGACACGACCTTCAACGTACAGTCACAAATTGCACAAATTTTAATGAACAAAATTTTTTGACTGTACTCACCAATTTTGAAGCAGATCTGATAAGTTCCCTATGAGGTGTTTGTTCAAATACAAGGCAAAAATTCACCAAAAATGATCACAGAATTCAAAATGGTCAAATTTGGCGGCACGCCACGGCACACCACAGACACATGCCTAAAAGTAGCGCCACCTAATGGCCTTCCTAGTGGCCAACCTGAAAGTGACGCGAAGAATATCCAAGAATAAACCAGGCCCGACAACTTTGCCAAATAAAATAGACTTTTCGTATATGTTCAGGGGGTCAAAAATGCAGTCAAAAGGGCTAAGAATAATAATAATAATAATAAACATACCAAAAAACAATATAGAATAACAATAATAACAATAATGTCAGTGATATTAGCAATGGCAGTCAAGCAGGACCATGGCAGGAGGCTCCACCAGGATCCATGAGAACCTGCGAGACGAGAAAGCACAAGAACTCCGGGGAAGAAGTGAAGTTAGTAACATGCATTAATGGAACATGAATGAGTGCAGAAAGAGAGAGGAAGAGAGGAGCTCAGTGCACCATGGGAAATCCCCCCGATAGTCTAGGCCTATAGCAGCATAACTAAGGGATGGTTCAGGACTCACCTGATCCAGCCCTAACTATAAGCTTTATCAAAGAGGAATGTCTTAAGCCTACTCTTGAATGTGGTGAGGGTGTCTGCCTCCCGAACCACAACTGGAAGCTGGTTCCACAGGAGAGGAGCTTGGTAACTGAAGGCTCTGGCTCCTGTTCTACTTTTAGAGACTATAGGAACCACAAGTAGCCCAGCATTCAGAGAACATAGTGTTCTAGTGGGGTAATAGGGTACTATGAGCTCTTTAAGATATGAAGGGGCCTGACCATGAAGAGCTTTATAGGTGAGGAGGAGGATTTTAAATTCTATTCTACATTTTACAGGGAGCCAATGCAGAGAAGCTAGTACAGGAGAGATGTGATCTCTTTTTCTAGTTCCTGTCAGTACTCGTGCTGCAGCGTTCTGAATTATTTGGAGCGTTTTAATGGACTTATTGTGGCAACCTGATAAAAAAGAGTTGCAGTAATCCAGCCTTGAAGTAACAAATGCATGGATTAGTTTTTCTGCATCTGTCTGTGATAGTATGTGTCTAATTTTTGTAATATTACGTAAATGAAAGAAGGCAGTCCTAGAGGTCTGCTTTATGTGGGAGTTAAATGACAAATCCTGATCAAAGATAACTCCAAGATTCCTGACAGTGGTGCTAGAGGCCAAGGTAATGCCATCTAGAGTAACTATATCTTTAGACAGTGAGTCTCTAAGGTTTTTGGAGCCAAGAACAAGAATTTCGTTTTTTTCTGAGTTTAACATCAGAAAATTGCAGCTCATCCAGGATTTTATGTCCTTAAGACATGTTTGTAATTTAGATAATCGATTATTTTCATCTGGCTTGATCGATAGCTATAACTGCGTATCATCTGCATAACAGTGAAAGTTAATGGAGTGATTCCTAATAATGTTGCCTAAAGGGAGCATATATAAAGTAAATAGTATTGGTCCAAATACAGAACCTTGTGGAACTCCATGACTAACTGTAGTATTTATTTATTTCATCGTTAACATGTACAAACTGCGAGCGATCTGATAAATATGACTTAAACCAGCTTGTCACAGTTACGTCATTATTTATTGAAGCTCAGTCAGCAGCTGTTTGATCACTGAATTAACTAAAGCTAGCAAGGGGCTAAGCTAATGCTATTAGATTATATAAATCCACAATCCTCTGATAATCCTGGCCTTTTATTTTGAAAGCAACTGTGACTTCTGGTCTTTTTCTCTCTGGTTCTTGCTAGCTTAGCACATTTTGACAACAACACATGTTGTTATGACATTACGTATGTAATATTTTGTTATAATTATAATATTATTAACAATAAATTAAATTCAATTTCAGAATTTCACCAATTTGAATAGAGTCATAGGAAAAGAAATCTGTATTTATGGATTTGGAAATTAACCAATCATGCAAGGATCTCTTCTGTGTTGCTGACTGTTTCCTGTTTCCTGCTTCCTGTCTCAGGGACTTCCAGCAGTGGCCTGAAGTACAGAGGAACCGTTGACGTCTCTAACCTGTCAGACGAAAACGACACTGACGACCTTGATGTGAGTCAAATTCCTGTTTCTGATCACTGTATCATTCACAGATGACTGTATTGATCAGTATATTGTTTATTGTATCAATCAGTATATTGATGATAACCCCTTCCAGATCTCAGTGTCTCTGTGTAAAGACCAACCCAGCACCCCACTCTTGGACCTGATGAGGAGGTCTGGGGTTCAGGAGGTCCGGAGGGCTCTGGGAGACTACATCTACCAACTCAAATCAGGTCTGTTACCCAGAATGCCCCAGGAGCAGTAATCAGTGAGAAGGTTCCCTGTTGTAACCTGAGTGACCTCTGACCCCACAGAGTTCAGTCAGGGAATGATCCTTCCCACCACCGACGGATCCAAACCGCCTCTGTCTGAGACCAGGAGGAACAAGATCCAGACCAGTAAAACCCAGGTAGACATCAGTGAGTCAGACTCTGATCCTGATCCAGGAGTGGAAGTGACCACTGACTTCTCTGTGTGCTCTTACAGATAAGCCCCGCCCCCAGAAGCCCCTCTAGCTCCACCCCCTGTCCCACAGGAGTCCGTATCTCAACCTGCAGCTTCAGTCTAAAGGAGACCTTTCAGACCTCCCCAGGGGAGGTCTACAGGACCTTCATCAACCAGGAGGTACCAGACTAGACCAGGACAGACTACTACAGTACTACTACAGTACATTACTACAGTACAATACTTCAACTAACTGTGGTTGACTCAGCAGTATATTACTGTAGTATTGTAGTTTCAATTCAATTCAGTTTTATTTGTATAGCATCAATTCATAACAGAAGTTATCTCAGGACACTTTTCAAATAGAGCAGGTCTAGACCGAACTCCTTATAACATTATTTACAGAGACCCAACAGTACCACCATGAGCTAGCACTTGGCGACAAGGGCAAGGAAAAACTGCCTGTTAAAAGGCAGAAACCTAGGACAGATCCTCCGGCTCTAGGTGGGTGGTCGTCTGCCTCGACCAGTTGGGGTGAGAGAGAGAGAGAGAGAGAGAGAGAGAGAGATACTACACTGTAATACTACACTATAATACTACGCTATAATACTACACTGCTGTAATACTAAGCTGTAATACTCGACCACTTGACCACTTAGGGTGAGAGAGAGAGACAGAGAGAGAGAGAGAGAGACAGACAGACAGACAGACAGGTGAACAGCAACAACAGTAGCAACAACTACACTAATAGTAGTGACTGATGATGATGAACATGACAACAGCAACGATTGGGGACAATGAGCAGTGACAACAGCAACAACAGCAACCGTAGCTACAATAATACTTATAATAAAAATAACACTAACATCAGTGATATTGGCAATGGCAGTCAAGCAGGACCATGTCTCTGTACTTGTATCATTAGATCTTAGTGCTGCATTTGACACCATTGACCATAATATTCTTTTACATAGACTTGAGCATCAAATTGGCATTAAAGGAACCGCACTAAGCTGGTTTAAGTCATATTTATCAGATCGCTCGAAATTTGTACATGTTAACGATGAATCTTCAATAAATACTACAGTTAGTCATGGAGTTCCAAAAGGTTCTGTACTTGGACCAATACTATTTACTTAATATATGCTCCCTTTAGGCAACATTATTAGGAATCACTCCATTAACTTTCACTGTTATGCAGATGATACACAGCTATATCTATCAATCAAGCCCGAAGAAATTAATCAATTATCTAAATTACAAACATGTCTTAAGGACATAAAATCCTGGATGAGCTGCAATTTTCTGATGTTAAACTAAAAAAAACGAAATTCTCTTTCTTGGCCCCAAAAACCTTAGAGACTCACTGTCTAAAGATATAGTTACTCTAGATGGCATTAACTTGGCCTCTAGCACCACTGTCAGGAATCTTGGAGTTATCTTTGATCAGGATTTGTCATTTAATTCCCACATGAAGCAGACCTCTAGGACCGCCTTCTTTCATTTACGTAATATTACAGAAATTAGACACATACTATCACAGACAGATGCAGAAAAACTAATCCATGCATTTGTTACTTCAAGGCTGGATTACTGCAACTCTTTATTATCAGGTTGCCCTAATAAGTCCATTAAAACGCTCCAATTAATTCAGAACGCTGCAGCACGAGTACTGACAGGAACTAGAAAAAGAGATCACATCTCTCCTGTACTAGCTTCTCTGCACTGGCTCCCCGTAAAATGTAGAATAGAATTTAAAATCCTCCTCCTCACCTATAAAGCTCTTCATGGTCAGGCCCCTTCATATCTTAAAGAGCTCATAGTACCCTATTACCCCTCTAGAACACTACGTTCTCTGAATGCTGGGCTACTTGTGGTTCCTATAGTCTCTAAAAGTAGAACAGGAGCCAGAGCCTTCAGTTACCAAGCTCCTCTCTTGTGGAACCAGCTTCCAGTTGTGGTTCGGGAGGCAGACACCCTCACCACATTCAAGAGTAGGCTTAAGACATTCCTCTTTGATAAAGGTTATAGTTAGGGCTGGATCAGGTGAGTCCTGAACCATCCCTTAGTTATGCTGCTATAGGCCTAGACTATCGGGGGATTTCCCATGGCGCACTGAGCTCCTCTCTTCCTCTCTCTTTATGCACTCATTCATGTCCCATTAATGCATGTTACTAACTTCACTTTTCCCCGCAAGTTCCTGTGGTTTCTTGTCTTGCAGGTTCTTATCGATCCTGGTGGAGCCTCCTGCCATGGTCTTGCTAGATTGCCATTGCCAATACTGTTGTTGCTGTGCACCTGTCTGTCTGTCTGTCTGTCTGTCTGTCTCTCTCTCTCTCTCTCTCTCCCACCTCAACTGGTCGAGACAGACGACCACCCACCTAGAGCCGAAGGATCTGTCCTAGGTTTCTGCCTTTTAACAGGCAGTTTTTCCTTGCCCTTGTCTCCAAGTGCTTGCTCATGGTGGTACTGTTGGGTCTCTGTAAATAATGTTATAAAGAGTTCAGTCTAGACCTGCTCTATTTGAAAAGGGTCCTGAGATAACTTAAATATATAACTGTTATGAATTGGCGCTATACAAATAAAATTGAATTGAATTGAATATATGATTTTACATTTGTTAAAGTTCCTGAACTTGGAGAGCCAGTGATACCTGTTATGGGCATTTTTACTGTAGTATAGTAGTATAGTTGTAGTACTGTAGTACTGTAGTACTGTAGTACAGTAGTTTAGTAGTACTGTAGTATAGTAGTAGTACTGCAGTAGAACCTCTCTATCTACAGTTTGTGCAGGTGTTCACACGTTCTGTGGCGACGGTGGACGCGCGGTGCGGCGGCTGCTTCCAGATGTTGGACGGAAATGTCAGTGGAGTGTTCACACAGCTGGTGAGGTCACAGCCACTCAGCCAATCAGTGGTGAGTTGTCATGTAACAATGGTAACCACAATGCTGCTCCTCCCCAAAGGTACCAGACCAGAGGATTGAGATGAGGTGGCGGTTCAGGACGTGGCCCAGTGGTAGGTCTTCCAGAATCACCTCTGACCTCTGTCTCCTGTCTTCTGACCTCTGTCCTCTGTCATCTGTCCTCTTGACAACCCAGAGTTAGGACCAGGAAGCAGAGCTGCTGCCTTACACACTTCTCTGCGCTTCCATTACAGGAGTCACCCACCCAAAACCCCATAGAGACAGTGTCTGTCCCCCGACCACCTAAATTATTTAAAGAAATAAAAACAAGAGGAATTAAACATAAAAACCTAATAAAAGTTCTAGTTAATTAATTAATATCTTATCTTAACTTTATCTTACTGAGACCTCGCTGTCCCACGAGGAGTATGTTAGCCTAAATGAATCCACCCCCCCCCGTCATATTATCACTCACATTCCTCGAGGCACCGCCCGAGGAAGTGGGGTAGCAGCCATATATAATTCAAGCCTTTTAATTGATCCTAAACCTAAACTAAATTATAATTCATTTGAAAGCCTTGTTCTTAGTCTTTCTCACCCGACCTGGAAAACTCTGCAGCCAGTTCTGTTTGTTATAGTATAGCGCCTCTCTAGTCTTCCGACCACTCAAAGCGCTTTTAAGGACATAAAAACCTGGATGAGCTGCAATTTTCTGATGTTAAACTCGAAATTCTTGTACTTGGCCCCAAACACTGTCTAAAGATATAGCTACTCTAGATGGCATTAACTTGGCCTTTTGCACCAGTCAGGAATCTTGGAGTTATCGTTGATCCGGACATGTCATTTAATTCCCACATAAAGCAAACTTCCAGGACTGCCTTCTTTCATTTACGTAATATTACCAAAATTAGACACATCCTGTCACAAACGGATGCAGAAAATCTAATCCATGCATTTGTTACTTCTAGGCTGGATTACTGCAACTCCTTATTATCAGGCTGCCCCTGCTCTTCCTGTACTAGCTTCTCTGCACTGGCTACCTGTAAAATTTAGAATAGAATTTAAAATCCTCCTCCTCACCTATAAAGCTCTTCATGGTCAGGCCCCTTCATATTTTAAAGAGCTCATAGTACCCTATTACCCCACTAGAACACTACGTTCTCTGAATGCTGGGCTACTTGTGGTTCCTATAGTCTCTAAAAGTAGAACAGGAGCCAGAGCCTTCAGTTACCAAGCTCCTCTCCTGTGGAACCAGCTTCCAGTTGTGGTTCGGGAGGCAGACACCCTCACCACATTCAAGAGTAGGCTTAAGACATTCCTCTTTCGCAGGTTCTCATGGTCCTCCTTGACTCCCTTTGTTAATATCACTAATATTATTGTTATTATTATTATTACTATTATTATTACTACAGATATTATTATTACTATAATCACTGCTCATTGTCCCCCATCATTGTCGTTTTCATCATCTTCTTCATGGTTATTACCATCAATTCAATTTCAATTCAATTCAATTTTATTTGTATAGCGCCAATTCATAACAGAAGTTATCTCAGGACACTTTTCAAATAGAGTAGGTCTAGATCGAACTCTTTAAAACATTATTTACAGAGACCCAACAGTACCACCATGAGCAGGCACTTGGCAACAAGGGCAAGGAAAAACGGGGAAAAAAGAGAGACAGAGAGAGAGAGACCATCAGTCAATACTGTTAGTGTAGTTGTTGCTACTGTTGTTGCTGTGAACCTTTGTCTTTGTCAATCTGTCATTACTCACCCCAACTAGTCGAGGCAGACGACCACCGACCTAGAGTCAGGGTCTGTCCGAGGTTTCTGCCTCTTAAAAAGGCAGTTTTTCCTTGCTGCTGTCTCCAAGGTCTTGCTCATGGTGGTACTGTTGGGTCTCTGTAATTAATGTTTTAAAGAGTTCGGTCTAGACCTGCTCTATTTGAAAACTGTCCTGAGATAACTTATGTTATGAATTGGCGCTATACAAATAAAATTGAATTAAATTGACCTCTGTCCTCTGACTTTTGTCATCTGACTTCTGTCTTCTGTCATCTGTCCTCCGTCTAATGACCTCTGTCTTCTGACCTCTGTCCATCAGAGCACTACGCCAACATCCGTCTGGAGCTGGAGGACCGAGGAGATGAGACGGAGCTGAGGATGGAGTGTATAGGAGTCCCCGCTGGCGAGGAGGACTCCACAAGGGAGGGCTGGAACCGGTTTTACTTCCAGGCCATCAAACAGACATTTGGATACTAGGAGAGCTGGACCTGGACCCTAACCCTGGAGCTGGTCTGACAGGCTGACTGTATCCACAGAAACCTGTTAAAAGAGATGGTCCATAACTTGGTTCTCTGTCTTCTCAAGAATTAGCCTAGCTTAGCATAAAGACTGGAAGCTGTTACCTAGAGAGAACCTAGCGAGCAACCAAGGAAAAATGTTGGACTGTTCCTTTAAAGTTTGATGGATATTGGTTCTGTCGTCAGGACAACAGGCTGTTGCAGACCAATCAGAGAAGATTACTGGAGAAAAACATCACAGCACCTGAAAATAAAACAAACATGTTGTTCATGTCAACTTTCTGTTCTGGTTGTTTATTAAGATAATTCTGTATTTGTTTAATAAAAATTTGTTCAATAAAAAATTTCTACTGATCAATACAAACGTCCTTTAAGGTTAACCATTTAATACTTATGATGAACTGATCAATAATATAAATCTGAGGTCATTTCATCCATATTTGTTGTTTTTGTGTACGTTTGATTCAGATTGAAAATAAATTCAACAACAGTTTAAATCAACAGTGTAGGTTGTAACACCAAGAGTTTATAATTTGCCATCTATATATAAATCGGATCAATAACATAAATCTGTATAAAGTCAACAAACAAACAACCTCTGTTCTCTAATCAGTTTTATTCTGGAATGTTGTTTCAGTTCATTATTATTAACTTTCTCTTCTCTTTTTAAATTTCATCATAACAAACAAACAAACGTTCATTTACAACAAATACACAATAAAACAATAATAACACTAGAAACATTCAAACAGCTGAAAACATAATATGAATATAAAAATACACAAACATCTAAAAACTTCTGTACATTATAAACAACGTGAGACACTTCCAAATTTGATTAACTCATCAGTGATCAATCAAAGAAGAAATTAAAATAAAAAAGCATCAAAATTAAAAGTGCAGTGATGCTTTTCTATCAACGATGATGACACTCTGATTGATCACCGATCACTTATTGATCTCTAACACGGATCTGCCTCAGCGGAGCTGCCTCAGTCTGATGGACGGATTCTCTGGAGGTCAAAGGTCAGTCAGGAGCTAAAAGACTTCCTCCTCCTCACAGCCATAGTCTGGAACACAATGAATCAATCAATAATCGATCAATGAATCCACTCTGACAGGAAACATAAACATACAATGAAATTGATTATACAATACTGCTAAAATAATATCGATTATATTATATTGATTATATCATATTAATTATATATTTCCTGTGTGGACAGCTCTAGCGCTCCTTCTTTCCCACAATGCACCTGGAGTCTCAGTGAATCTGTCCCTGTGTATTTTTCATGGTGGGTTTTTCAGAATAAAAGTATGTACTGACCTCCTACGAGCTGCAGAGCGCTGACGCACTCCTCCTCCACCTCCTCTTCCTCATCCTCCTCCTCCTCAAGCACGGTGGACGGAGCTGTGGGGGTGGAGCTGGGGACTGGTTCGGGGTCAGGGGTCACTTCAGCTGCAGCCTCTGTTGATGTATCTGTTACTATGGCAACGGAGTTTTCTGCCTGAGAGGTGAAACACATCGAGTGAAAAATGACTATATAATTTATTGATATATGTATACACTGAATGTGCTGTATATAACTGTATATAACTGTATGTAACTGTATATTACAGTATATAACTGTATGTAATTGTATATTACAGTATATTACTATATATAACTGTACATAACTATATATAACTGTATATTACTGTATATAACTGTATATTACAGCATATTACTATATATTACTATATATTACAGTATATTACTGTATGTTACTATATATAACTGTATATTACTGTATATAACTGTATATTACTATATATAACTGTATATAACTATATATTACTGTATATAACTGTATATAACTATATATTACTGTATATTACTTTATGTAACTGTATATAATTATATATAACTGTATATAACTATTCTGCTCTCACTGAAGAACTGACCACAGCTAAGCAGACAGATGAATCGTCTTCTTTATTGACAAGTTATCTTCAAATGCCAACCGAGTAAAACTACAAAAATAGAAATATAAACAAAATATATGTAAGGCAATGATTAAAAACACATACAGCCATTACAAACTTAAATACAAGTGCTCCGTAATAAACACTACAAAACATGCCTTTGATCTTTGTGTGAAAGGAATAGCTGCACTTTTTCAAAATATTATCAAAATAATCAAATATAATGTCTTGAAACATTCTTACAACTGAAAAATACTCACAAGTAATGATTTCCAAAGACAAACAAAGAGGGATGGATGCAAAGTCAAACCACGTCTGTCTCGATCACTCTGTCGACGATCACAACTGAACATGTGACTAATTTGCCTTCTCACTCACCTAAACAATCTTATTGGCTATTTAACATAAATAGAACATAGAAAAGCTAGAGCACCCTCTGCTGGCGAGACTGACAGGACACTCCCCGCCTGGCATCTGTAAGATGTCACAATTACGTTTTCTGTCCATTGTCCTTTTTATCAGAGTTTGGCAAGAGGAGTACAGTGTCCGTGATAGGTCTCAAGAATGTCTTGCATGTACCTCCAGTGGCGATCTTGACTTCCACTTTCCTCACCTTCCCATCAGGGCTCGGGAAGGTTTTGACCACTATGCCCATGGGCCAGTTGTTGCGCTTTACATTGCTGTCCTTCAACAATACGAGATCTCCCTCCTGCAGATTTGGTCTCAGAATACCATTTCCTGCGGCCTTGAAGGGTAGAGAGATACTGGTTCTTCCAGCGATGCCAGAAGACATTGGAGAGATGTTGCACCTGTCTCCACTGGCGTTTGTACATGTCACTTTCATCGAAGTCACCAGGAGGTATGGAGGGAACTCCTACTTTCTGAGTTAAGAGTGTAGCTGGTGTCAGGATGAGAGGAAAGCTTGGGTCGGTGGATACTAGGATGAGAGGTTGTGAGGTGACAATTGCCGTAACCTCTGCCAAAAGGTGGCTAACACTTCATGGGTTAGCTGTCAGGGTGTAATGCTCATAAGCATTGACACAAGTATCCGTCTTGTCACGCCAATCATGCATTCCAAGCTACCTCCCATGTGCAAGGCATGGGGTGGGTTAAACACCCAAGTGCATCCGTTGTCACTTAAGAAGTCTTGTATTGTCTGGTTGTTGCAGTGCTTTAAATCAATGCCAAGCTATTTGCATGCGCCACAGAAGTTGGTCCCACCGTCAGACCTCAACTGTTTTACTGGACTGCGGATGGAGAGGAGCCGGAGCGCATTTATGAAACTTGAAGACTCCATCGACTCAATCACTTCGATGTGTATGGCCCTGACACTCATACAGGTGAAGATGACTGCCCAATGTTTGCTGTTGGTGCAGCCTCCCTGAGTTCGTCAAGAAGTGACTGTCCATGGCCCAAATACATCCACTCCAACATAAGAGAATGGGGGGTCAGTACTTAGTCTGTGGGTAGGTCGGCCATCTTTTGTGTCTCCATCTGAGCTTGCGGCAGGTCACACAGCTGTGGATGATGGCGCTGATGTACTGCTTTCCACCAATGACCCATAAGCCAGCTGACCTCACTGCACCCTCTGTGAAGTGGCGTCCCTGATGGACTTGCTGGTGGTAGTGTCGTATTAGGAGAGTTGTTACATAGTGATGGCGAGGGATAATGAGAGGGTTTCTTCCGTCGCTTGCAAGGTCAGCTTGTGACAAACGCCCTCCCACTCTGAGGCAACCTGCCTCATCCAGGTAAGGAGAAAACTGTCTGAGCTGGCTCTGCTTAGGGATCTCTTTCCCTGTTGAATGCTTGCAAAGACTTCAGGGAAAGCTTCTCTTTGAAGACTATGTATGATGACACCTTTAGCCTTGACAAGATCTTCTGGGCAAAGACTTCTGCATACGTGCCAACCTTGACAACTGCACTTGCTGTTTCTCTCGCTTGAATGAGCCAGCAACGTGGATCAGCCTTGATATGGTTCTTACAAGCGATCTCCAGGATGAGAATGACTCAAAACGTCTTGGATTCAAGGGAGACTCCACAACCTTAGTGACACAAGATGTCACCAAAGGACGGATCTTCGGGTCAGACTCTGGGTTGACTAGATCAAAGGAAGTGTCACTATCATCAGTGTTCCTATCTGGCTTCAACAGGAAATCTGGCCCTTTAAGCCACGTGCTGGACATCAAGGTGTTTGCTGGAATTGACCGTGACGCATGATCAGCCGGGTTGGTGAACATAGGAACATAGTTCCACTGTTCTAGTCGGGATGACTTTCTGATTCTCTGCACACGGTTACTTACATAGACGTAGAACCTTCTGGATTTGTTGCGTATGTACCCGAGGACAACCTTACTGTCGGTAAAGAACCGCACAGAATGAAACTGGACATCTATTTCGTCTGTGAGCATGTCTGCGATTTCCACAGCTAGAATGGCTGCACAGAGTTCAAGCCTGGGAATTGTCGCCTCTGGCTGCGGTGTCAGCTTGGCTTTTCCAAAGACAAATCCAAGTTCACTCTTGCCCTCTGCATCAGTAACTTTCATGTAGGCCACAGCTGCAATGGCTTGAGTAGAGGCGTCACAGAAAATGCAAAGCTCCCTGTCTGTGGAGCTGTTGAGGGAGATGGAAGTGTATGTTCTTGGGATCCTGACATGTTCCAGATCCTTGAGGGAGTCTTTCCACTCATGCCACACCTTAACCTTTGTTTCGGGGAGTGGGTTGCCCCACTTGCAGGTCTCATTAGTAAGCTCTCTTAGCAAAGCCCTCCCTTGGATGCTAACTGGGGCAGCGAAACCAAGCGGGTCATACAGACTGCTTATGGTTGACAAAGCACCTCTGTGAGTGTAAGGCTTTTCCATAGCAGACACCTCGAAAGTGAACTCGTCTGTGGCAACATCCCAGCTTATCCCCAGACTTCGTTGCATAGTGTGAAGTCTGCTCCAAGGTCAAGGTCCTTTAAACCTTTTGCTAGCTCCTCCTTGGGAAATGCTTTCATGACACTGATGCTGTTAGAAGCGATCTTGTGCAACTTTAAATTGGACGCAGCCAGCGTCTCTTGGGCTTTCTTGACAACAGCAATAGCCTCTCCATCAGATGCAAATGAGATAAGCATCATCGACATAGAAATGTCGTTCCACAAAGTGTCTTGTCATACTGTCGTCCCCCTCTTGATCTCGAGATGCCTTCCTGAGCCCATAAATTGCCACAGCAGGTGATGGGCTGTTATCGAAAACATGAACAGTCATGCGGTACTCTACTATGGATTCTTCCATGTCATTGTTCCGGTGGCAAAGGAAGCACAAGAAGTTCCTGTGATCTTCTCATACCAAGAAACAATGAAACATCTGCTTGATATCAGCAGTGACTGCCACTCGTTCCTCACGGAACTGTAGGAGTATACCAAGCAGGCTGTTGTTGAGGTTAGGGCCGGTGAGAAGGACATCATTTAAAGATATTCCTTGGTGCTGCGCGCTGGAGTCAAGAATGGAAGGTACCAGCATTCCTGTTCTGCCTTCAGTGGCGGTGCTAGTTCCGCATATCCGTTATCAAATATGTTTTGCATGAAATCCACAAAGTGTTTCATTTCAGGTTGCTTTTCCAGTGTCCGACAAACTGAGGCAAGCCGTTGGCTTGCTGCTTGTTGTTCGGGAGACATGGTCTTGGGGAGCGGAAAGGTAGTGGAGCCACCCAGCTGTTTGTGTCACCCTGGTACATGTCCTCCATTATCTGCAAGAAGGTCTGTTCTATTGAGTATGCAGGTTTTTCATCTGCACTTGTGGATTGGAAGATTGTTTCTCCCATGGTGTAAATCTCAGTTAGCCTGTGTCCGTGGCCAGAAGTAGAAGACTTGGTCTTGTGATGAGATTGAGAACTGAAGCTTTCCTTCACCTGAATGCTGTTATGGCATGTGAAAAAGTAGCTTGGTCGCCCATTGTCTAGTATGTTTGTCTTTAGAACATTTACATGCCCAGGTTTGTGAGCCCCACCAAAACAAATGTCACCGACTATTACCCACCCCAGAGCTAACCTCTGTGCAAATGGAGCATTTGGAGGCCCGTTTCGCTGATCAGGCACCTTGTGGGCCTGAATAACATCTCTCCCAAGTAGCAGTAGTATATCTGCCTGGGGGTCAAACTCTGGGATCTCTGCAGTAATGTTCTTGAGGTGAAGATGGTAGCGAGCGGCCTTAGGGGTCGGGATCTCATTTTGGTTGTCTGAGAGCATGTCACACTCAATAAGTGTGGGCAAGGACAGACTGGATTGGCCATCAGCTGATTCCACAATGAAATCGTCCGTCTTCTCCCAGTCACCTCAGACACTCCTGCACAAGTCTTGAGAGTATGGGGAAGAGTTCTTGGAGATGCCAAAGATGTCGAAGAAAGAAGACCGGGCCAGAGATTTAATGCTTTGATCGTCTAGAATCGCATAAGCTCTAAGTCTCTTTTCCCGTTGTCTTTTTGGGTAGACATTGACGAGACAGATCTTTGCACATGAGTATCTGTAGCTGTAGCTTCAAACATGCATTCTTGCTCTCAAAAGTCTGTCCCATTAACCAAATGGGCAGGGACTTGATGTGCAAATTAGGCCTTTGTCTGATCTCAACCCCAGAAGGTGTCAAAGTTCACAGACTATCTGATTTGGAGCCAAATTTTTCCCACTCTTTTGTTCACCACATCCCAGACCTACAATATGCATATCAATGGAAACTGCAACCATCAACTGCCTCTGAGCTTGTTACTTTAGCTAGAAAAATAGTTTTTAACAGCTACAATAGATTTCATGACACCAGAGGATCTGCATTGTACCTCTCATGTGTCAACAGGAACTGATGAGCCATATGAGGAAGGTTGGTTGAGAGAGAGATTCGATAAACTCACACTGACACACATTTATTGGACACAACATAAATGTGTCTCTCTCACACCAGCTAAATGTGATGTGTACACCATAGACCATTCAGTCCCACACATCACACTTGCAAAACACACATCAGATAATTGGGAAGATTTGGGACCTTTTATAAAATCATGTCAGCGCGCAGCCGATTGGCAAGAAACATCTGATCGATCTATTTTTTTTTTTTTTCACCAACACTGCAGTGTTACTCTAAGAGTTTACCATCTATTGTGCACACTCAAAGAACAATCCAGCTGCTACCTAAAAGCACTCCTAATTTTTTTTTCTTTTTGTCCGAAGAACAAGCAACAGCTATTACAGCCCTACAGGGGGTCCTTAAGACACTGTGGGCTGTTAGTAAGTATGATGTTGGCCTCATCAAAGACTGTGAACCTGTTGTCATTACTAACATCACTGTAAAAAGATGCAATGTTTTAAACCCTGCTACTCTCTTTCCCACACCTGACAATGGACAAGAACATAACTGTTGCTGTCCTCCAACAGGTCTGCTCCCCAAGACCGGATCTACAAGAAACTCCATTAACTAACCCTGATTTGGTTGTTTTTGTAGATGGATCCGCTTCCCGTGACTCACAAACCGGTCGCAACAGAGTTGGATTTGCTGTTGTAACTAATCATGAAACTCTTGTCTCAGGTTCACTCCCCTCTCAGTATTCTGCACAAGCAGCAGAACTTACAGCATTGACAGAGACATGCAAGCTGGCAAGCAACAAGACTATCTACATCGACTCTAGATATGCATTTGGTGATGCAATGCAGTCCTTTGCTACACCACAAGAAAAGACGTTGTGGATACGCTGCGGTGCCACACAGAAGGAGGGTGGCGGGGAGAAGTGTGGCGGGGACCGATAACAAACCCTGCCTGCCCAAACATTTCTTTCCTCACTTTGCAAAACTGACACATGGATTGGACCATGACTCAACACTGGTTCACCAAAGGTTTTGCAGTTCATGCGCAGAAGTTTTGTCAATCATGTATGGTTTGTGCAACACATAGCGCAGGTAAAACCCAAACAATCACAAACGCCGCACACCCACCGACCATTCGAACATTTGAGGATGGATTTCATAGAACTTTCGCCATCAGAAGGGAAGAAATACTGCTTGTTGATGGTTGACATGTGGTCAAAATGGGTTGAAGCATTCCCAGCAAGACACCAAAGCAGCCAAATGGTAGCAAAGGCTCTGTTAACAGAAATCATTCCCAGATGGGGAATACCAACTAAACTGAGCAGCGATAAAGGTGCACACTTTTCAATTCTGCAATAACCCAAATCAGTGATTTTCTAGCCATTGACCTCAGACGACATTGTGTATATCACCCTGCCAGTGGAGGTGCGGTCGAATGAGAAAATGGAAATCAAAACCAGCAAAGTGCTATGAGGAAACGGGGCTGCCATGGACAAAGGCCCTGCCGATTGTTCTAATGCACATAAGAATGAGAAACGTGGGTACACGACAACCACTGCAGGAAGGTCTCTGAACCAACTGAGGAATTCAGCTGTTAACCTGAACGACGCAAGGACGGACGACGTGGAGACGGACAACGTGAGGACGAACGAGCGCAAAGAGAGTACGACACAAGGAATAACTCCATAAATTCAACAACCACCAACTAGATGTCAGGATTAACAACGTAAACCCTCTCCCAATAGACTACACCATGCACCTCCTGATCCTATTATGTTGGACGATGCTGACAGAGGCCAACACCTGCAAACCTGCCAAGACCGTCACTCTGACAGAAGGACAAAACACAACCTTCACCTGCTTAACAATGACAATCAAAATCCAACCTCACTTCACATTTCTGATCCTCATCATTACTCCAGCTCAGATTATGCCTCTGATGATGACATTTTGTAAATAATGTTAATAATGTTTTTGCTTTTGTTCTTTTCTTTCTTTTGTTCCTTCCTCTTCTAAACAACTGCCATGATGAAACATTTTAAAATCCATGTGAATTGATGTGTCGGATAATTAAGTTGTGACTATATACTTTATTTTATTTTATTCTTATTTTTTTTACTGTCAGTGATTAATGAATAATCAAAAGGGGTAATTGTAATGGTAGATTCAGTTTCTTTGTTTCGGCCACTGCAGATGCCCAACCTCCCCCTTCCTAACACAAGATGCCAGGTCCTTTTGTGATTTGTAGATTGTGATGTCTGGACTTGGCTCTGCACCTGAATGCAAGATCCTGCAGGACCCCTCATATGTATTTGAATTTAAAATACTCCTCCTCACCTATAAAGCTCTTCATGGTCAGGCCCCTTCATATCTTAAAGAGCTCATAGTACCCTATTACCCCACTAGAACACTACGTTCTCTGAATGCTGGGCTACTTGTGGTTCCTATAGTCTCTAAAAGTAGAACAGGAGCCAGAGCCTTCAGTTACCAAGCTCCTCTCCTGTGGAACCAGCTTCCAGTTGTGGTTCGGGAGGCAGACACCCTCACCACTTTCAAGAGTAGGCTTAAGACATTCCTCTTTGATAAAGCTTATAGTTAGGGCTGGATCAGGTGAGTCCTGAACCATCCCTTAGTTATGCTGCTATAGGCCTAGACTATCGGGGGATTTCCCATGGTGCACTGAGCTACTCTCTTCCTCTCTCTTTCTGCACTCATTCATGTCCCTTTAATGCATGTTACTAACTCCACTTCTTCCCCGGAGTTCTTGTGCTTTCTCGTCTCGCAGGTTCTCATGGATCCTGGTGGAGCCTCCTGCCATGGTCCTGCTTGACTGCCATTGCCAATACTGTTGTTGCTGTGCACCTGTCTGTCTGTCGCTCTCTCTCTCTCTCTCTCTCTCTCTCTCTCACCCCAACTGGTCGAGACAGACGACCACCCACCTAGAGCCGGAGGATCTGTCCTAGGTTTCTGCCTTTTAACAGGCAGTTTTTCCTTGCCCTTGTCGCCAAGTGCTTGCTCATGGTGGTACTGTTGGGTCTCTGTAATTAATGTTAAAGAGTTCGGTCTAGACCTGCTCTATTTGAAAAGTGTCCTGAGATAACTTCTGTTATGAATTGGCGCTATACAAATAAAATTGAATTGAATTGAATTGAATTAAAACACACCAGCAGGCGGTCGGCCCCGATGCCTGCAGTGGGTAGAGGGGTGTGAAAGCACTTCCTGGAGGGCCAGACCCCTACAGCAGACAAAGGGGTGTGAAAGAGGTGGTCCTCAGGTATAAATGTTTAGATCTCCCCATGTTGGGTGTCTTTCTTCATCTTTGACCGCTCGCGTGTTGATTGACCTTTTATTTGCAAAGAAAATAAAAACCTTGTCAGCCGGCAGAAGTTCTCTATTTCATTCTTCACCAGCAGCAGAGAAATTTCCACAACATATCCACCGTTCTCATTTCCACACACCTGCGTGCATGTCGAGGTGGCAACAGGTGAAGTCTCTCGCTCCCTGCCGTGATCTGTGGCGGACTCTTTGACAGCTTGTATAGTCCATGGTGCAGGACCGAAGTGAAGAGCATTGATGTGTGAGTTGCTGCCACACCCCGAACAGTGGATTTCTGCCTCACAGTTCTTAGCCTGATGGCTGGAAGAAGCACAGCATCGAAAACATATTTGGTTCTGCCTTACGTTCTTCTAGAGACTTCTCTGCTCTACATTTTCTGAGTGCATGGGGCTTTTTGTGGATAGGACACTCTTTGCTAGGGTCCTCAACCTTTTTTTCTGCATTTCGTCTTTGTTCTGAGTTAACTACTTCCATACGGTTAACTGAGATAGGCGTTCTTGTTCTGTCATGCCTTCCTTGATATCTGTCCACTTTAGAGGTTGTAACAGATGGAATGGGGGTCATTTCTCATTCTGGCTTCATTTCTGATGAAGGTGGCAAAGACGGAGAATGGAGGGAATGACACCAAATGTTCCTGTTTATACTTTGTTCCATGTGTCATCCATTTCTTTTGCAGGCCAAATGGAAGTTTGGGCAGCAAAAAAAAAAAAAAAAGCAAGTAGCAGATGAGGGTCTTTGTTTGTTCAAGACTCTGGGAAAACATTCTAGCCTTTCAAACAGAGCCTTTTCCAAAGCCTCTGGAGAGCCCTAACACTCTTGCAGCCTCTCCCAGACTTTCCCCAATCCAATGACAGGGTTGCTGATGTGCGCCAATCTGAGGCGTTTTGCATGAAGTGAGGATTCATCGCCTAACCACTTGATCAACAAGTCGAGCTCTTCGCTAGCCAGTGAATTTGTGATTTTGGGGAAGTTGGTCTTTTACCTATTCACTAGTGCGTTCTGCGGGGTGGATGGTCTGAGAGAGCTCACCACTCATGCGGTCTTCTTCTATTTCACTTGCTGCAGCCTCATATATGTGGGCTTCTGCGAGGGCGGCCTCTGCATCACGCTGCTGATGAAATGCCTGCAGTGTTGCCTCTAGTCGCGTTTCCTCCATTTTGAGCTTCGCTTGTTTTACTCTCATTTCAATTTCCTTTTGAGCGTATTCTGCTCTTGCACGTGCTGCTTCTGCTTTAGCCCGTGCATTGACTGCTGCCATGCTAGCCGATGACTTCTTGGAGCACTTCAAAGATTTCGAAGCGTGCGTGCGGACCGATGTGGCCTCATCATCTCTTAGCTGAGACATCTTCGTTATGTGGCAAAGCTGACGCGTGTATCCACCTGTGATTCTGTTTGCCGTAGATGGATCAGCTTTTTTACTATTCTGCTCTCACTGAAGAATTGACCACAGCTAAGCAGACAGATGAACTCGTTGACAAACGACAGATGTATCGTCTTCTTTATTAACAAGTGATCTTCAAATGCCAACCGAGTAAAACTACAAAATTAGAAATATAAACAAAATATATGTAAGGCAATGATTAAAAACACATACAGCCATTACAAACTTAAATACAAGTGCTGCGTAATAAACGCTACAAAACATGCCTTTGATCTTTGTGTGAAAGAAATAGCTTTTCAAAATATTATCAAAATAATCAAATATAATGTCTTGAAACATTCTTACAACTGAAAAATACTCACAAGCAATGATTTCCAAAGACAAACAAAGAAGGATGGATGCAGAGTCAAACTAAATTCTGTCTCCTATGATCACAACTGAACATGTGACTAATTTGCCTTCTCACTCACCTAAACAATCTTATTGGCTATTTAACATAAATAGAACATAGAAAAGCTAGCGCGCCCTCTGCTGGCGAGACTGACAGGACAATAACTATATATAACTGTATATTACTGTATATTACTGTATATAACTATATATTACTGTATATAACTATATATTACTGTATATAACTATATATATATAACTGTATATTACTGTATATAACTGTATATTACTTTATATAACATATATTACTGTATATAACTGTATATAACTACATATAACTGTATATTACTGTGTATTACTTTCTATAACTGTATATTATATATTACTATATATAACTGTATATTACTATATATAACTATAAATTACTGTATATAACTGTATGTAACTATAAATTACTGTATATAACTGTATATAACTATATATATATATATATATAACTGTATATTACCATATATAACTATATATTACTGGATATAACTGTATATAAACGTATATTACTATATATAACTGTATATTACTGTATATAACTGCATATTACTGTATTTAACTGTATATAACTGTATATTACTATATATAACTATATATTACAGTATATAACTATATATTACTGTATATAACTATATATTACTGTATATTACTGTATATTACAATATATACTGTATATAACTATATATAACTGTATATTACTGTGTATTACTTTCTAAAACTGTATAAAACTGTATATTATATATTACTATATATAACTGTATATTACTATATATAACTATAAATTACTGTATATAACTATATATAACTGTATATTACCATATATAACTATATATTACTGGATATAACTGTATATAACTGTATATTACTATATATAATATACATTACTGGATATTACTATATATAACTGTATATTACTGTATATAACTGCATATTACTGTATTTAACTGTATATTACTGTATAGAACTGTATATTACTATATATAACTATATATTACTGTATGTTACTGTATATTACAATATATACTGTATATAACTATATATAACTGTACATTACTGAATATAATCGTGTGAGGTGTGAGGACCATCACAGGTCACAACTCCTTCTTCCCTCTACACACCTCCCCCCTGACACCACAACACCCCCCTCCCCCACTTCAACACAACCCCCACCTCACATCACCATAGACCAGTTCAGAGGACAGCTGAGGAAGCTCCGGCCCAGGAAAACAGCAGGCCCGGATAAAGTGTGTCCGAGATTACTGAAGACCTGCGCTGCAGAATTGGGGGAACCACTACAACGGATCTTCAACCTTAGCCTGCAGCTAGGGAGAGTGCCCACCCTCTGGAAGACATCCTGCATCGTCCCGGTTCCCAAGAAGAACAGGCCAAGCCAGCTACTTCCGACTGGTGGCACTCACTTCACACCCGATGAAGACGTTGGAGCGGCTCTTCCTCAGCCTCCTCAGACCCCAGGTACAACACACCCAGGACTGCCTGCAGTTTGCGTACCAGCCAGATGTTGGTGTGGAGGACGCCATCCTCTACATACTACACCGAGTCCACTCCCATCTGGATAAGGGAATCGGCACAGTGAGGATTCTCTTCTTGGACTTCTCCAGTGCCTTTAATACCATCCAGCCCTCTATGCTTCAGGACAAACTGAACATGGGAGTGGACCCCTATCTGGTAGACTGGATCAACGATTACCTCACTGACAGGCCACAGTAGTAGTAGTGTCAGGCTGAAGGACACCACGTCTGACATTGTGATCAACAGCACTGGAGCCCCCCAGGGCACAGTGCTGGCCCCTCTTCTCTTCACTCTGTACACCTCAGACTTTTGTTACAACTCGGAGCTTTGTCACATACACAAGTACGCCGATAACAGACCCATAGTTGGATGTATCAGGGGTGACAGAGAGGAGGAGTATCGGAGACTGGTGGGGGACTTTGCTCTCTGGTGTCACACTAACTGCCTACAGCTCAACATCTCTAAGACAAAGGAGCTGGTCATTGAGTTTGGGAGGTCCAGACCAAGACTGCGACCAGTTCTGCTAGAGGGAGCTGAGGTGGAGGCTGTGCAATCATACAAATACCTCGGGCTGTGGCTGGATAATAAACTGCACTGGTCAACACACACCAGCCACCAGTACGGAAAAGACACAAAGCAGGTTGTACTTCCTTAGGAGATTGCGGTCTTTCAACATCTGCAGCAAACTGCTCTGGATGTTTTATCAGTCTGTGGTTACCAGCGTCCTCTTCTACACTGTGGTGTGCTGGGGGGGGGGGCAGCATATCCAAGAAGGACACCTCCAGACTGGATAAACTGATCAGGCGGGCCGGCTCTGTGGTCGGCATGAAGCTGGACTCACTGGTGACGGTGGCAGAGAGGAGGACACTGGACAAACTGCTGGACATTATTGACAATGCCGGGGTGGCTGGCATTGTCAATAATGTCCAGCATCCCCCCTGTATATAATACAATATTATATAATATAACTGTATATAACTGTATATAACTGTATATTACTATATGTAACTATATATTACTATATATAACTATATATTACTGTATATTACTGTATTTTATTGTAAATAACTGTATATAACTGTATATAACTGTATATTACTGTATATACTATATATTACTGTATATAACTGTATATAACTATATATTATTGTATATTACCATATCTGTATATAACTGTATATTACCATATATAACTGTATATAACTGTATTTAACTGTATATAACTATATATTACTGTATATTACTGTATATATCTGTATATAACGATATATAACTTATATAACTGTATATAACTATATATTACTGTATATTACTGTATAGGTATACTGTGAATATATTATAGTATGTATTCAGGAGCAGTCAGATGCAGTCAGGTGCAGTAGGTTACCTGGACGGCTGTTTTTTTCCTCTTGGATGTGGAGGATATCAGGAGGCGGACCCTGCAAAAAAGAAAATATAAACAAAATACATTATTTTCATGGTCAATGTATGTATTAGATTTTTTAAATATTTTGTTGTATGTTTAATTGTTTGCCAGTTTACTAAAGCAAATTCATGTATGTGAAAACCAGAATGTGATTCTGACAAAGGAATAACTCCTGACACACACAAAATAAATATTCTATACATGATATACAGATTATATTATAGATTATACATTATAGATGATATATAGATCATATTATAGATTATACATTATAGATGATATATAGATTATATTATAGTTCATACATTATATATCATATATAGATTATATGAATTGGCGCTATACAAATAAAATTGAATTGAATTGAATATTATAGTTTATACATTATAGATCAGATTATAGTTTATACATTATGATCATATATATATCATATTATAGTTTATACATTATAGATCATATGTAGATCATATTATAGTTTATACATTATAGATCATATAGATTTATATAGGTCATATTATAGTTTATACATTATAGATCATATATAGATTATATTATAGTTTATACATTATAGATCATATATAGATTATATTATAGTACATTATAGATCATATTATAGTTTATACATTATAAATCATTTATAGATTATATTATAGATTATACGTCATAGATCATATATAGATTATATTATAGATTATATATTATAGCTCATATATAGATTATACACTGTAGATCCTATATAGATTATATTATAGTTTATACATTAGAGATCATATATAAATTATATTATAGATTATATATAGATTATATTATAGTTTATACATTAGAGATCATATATAAATTATATTATAGATTATACATTATATATCATATATAGATAATATATAGATTATACATTACATTATAGATCATATATAGATTATACATTACATTATAGATCATATCTAGATTATATTATAGATTATACATTACATTATAGATAATATATAGATCATATTATAATATACATTACATTATAGATCATCTATTTTATTTTCTCGAGGCACTGGCCGAGGAGGTGGAGTAGCAGCCATATATGATTCGAGCGTTTTAATGGACCCTAAACCTAAACTAAATTATAATTCATTTGAAAGCCTTGTTCTTAGTCTTTCTTACCCATCCTGGAAAACACTGCAGCCAGTTCTATTTGTTATAGTGTACCGTGCTCCTGGACCGTACTCTGATTTTATATCTGAATTCTCAGTTTTCATCAAGTTTAGTCCTTAAATGAGATAACATAATTATTGTAGGTGATTTTAATATTCATGTGGATGTTAACAATGACAGCCTTAGTAATGCATTTATATCATTAATAGACTCAATTGCCTTCTGTCAGAGTGTAAATAAACCAACTCATTGTTTTAATCACACTCTTGACCTCGTTCTTTCATATGGCATTGATATTGAACATTTAATAGTCTTCCCACATAATCCTTTCCTATCTGACCATTATTTAATAACTTTTGAATTCATACTATTAGATTATAAGCTATTAGGCAAAACTTCCTAAAGTAGATGTCTATCTGACAGTGCTCTAGCTAAATTTAAGGAGGAGATTCCTTCAGTGTTTAATTCAATGCCATGTCTGAATTTAAAAGAATCCTATAACAACTTTAGTCCCTCTCAAATTGATAATCTTGTCGATAGTGCTGCAGGCTGACTACGAAGAACATTAGACTCTATCGCTCCAATAAAAAGGAAATTATTAAAACATAGGAGACTAGCACCATGGTACAATCACCAAACCCGCCAGTTAAAGCAAATAGCTAGGAAATCTGAAAGGAAATGGCGCTCTTCCAAATTATCAGAATATCGCTCAATTTGGCAAGATAATCTTAAAACTTATAGAAAGGCCCTCCGTAATGCTAGAGGAGGATATTACTCAGCACTAATAGAAGAAAATAAGAATAGCCCTAGGTTCCTGTTCAGCACTGTAGCCAGGCTGACAGAGAGTCACAGGTCTATTGAGCCACATATCCCCATAAACTTAAGTAGCAATGACTTCATGAGCTTCTTCTATAATAAAATTATTACTATTAGAGAGAACATTAATCACCAACTGCCATCAACAGTTATCAGTGGCTCTCCAAGTTCAGGGACTTTTGCTAATGTAAACGTAGATTTAGACTGTTTTTCTGCTATCGATCTTCATCAGTTAACTTCAATCATTTCTTCATCGAAGCCATCAACCTGTCTATTAGACCCGATCCCTACTAGGCTGCTTAAAGAAGTTGTTCCCTTAATTGGCACTTCTTTACTGGATATGATTAATCTTTCTTTATTATCAGGATATGTACCACAGTCCTTTAAAGTAGCTGTAATTAAACCCCTTCTTAAAAAGCCCACTCTTGACCCCGGGGTTTTAGCCAACTGTAGACTGATTTCTAACCTCCCCTTCCTCTCTAAGATTCTGGAGAAAGTAGTCGCCAAAGAGTTGTGTGACTTTCTACATAACAATAGTTTATTTGAGGATTTCAGTCAGGATTTAGAGTTCATCATAGCACAGAGACAGCTCTGGTTAAAGTTAATAATGACCTTCTGATTGCTTCTGACAATGGACTTGTCTCTGTACTTGTATTATTAGATCTTAGTGCTGCATTTGACACCATTGACCATAATATTCTTTTACAGAGACTTGAGCATCAAATTGGCATTAAAGGAACCGCACTAAGCTGGTTTAAGTCATATTTATCAGATCGCTCGCAGTTTGTACATGTTAACGATGAATCTTCAATAAATACTAGTTAGTCATGGAGTTCCACAAGGTTCTGTACTTGGACCAATATTATTTACTTTATATATGCTCCCTTTAGGCAACATTATTAGGAATCACTCCATTAACTTTCACTGTTATGCAGATGATACGCAGTTATATCTATCAATCAAGCCCAATGAAATTAATCAATTATCTAAATTAAAAACATGTCTTAAGGACATAAAATCCTGGATGAGCTGCAATTTTATGATGTTAAACTCAGAAAAAAACGAAATTCTTGTTCTTGGCCCCAAAAACCTTAGAGACTCACTGTCTAAAGATATAGTTACTCTAGATAGCATTACCTTGCCCTCTAGCACCACTGTCAGGAATCTTGGAGTTATCTTTGATCAGGATTTGTCTTTTAACTCTCACATGAAGCAGACCTCTAGGGCTGCCTTCTTTCGTTTACGTAATATTACAAAAATTAGACACATCCTATCACAGACAGATGCAGAAAAACTAATCCATGCATTTGTTACTTCAAGGCTGGATTACTGCAACTCTTTATTATCAGGTTGCCCCAATAAGTCCATTAAAACGCTCCAATTAATTCAGAACGCTGCAGCACGAGTACTGACAGGAACTAGAAAAAGAGATCACATCTCTCCTGTACTAGCTTCTCTGCATTGGCTCCTTGTAAAATGTAGAATAGAATTTAAAATCCTCCTCCTCACCTATAAAGCTCTTCATGGTCAGGCCCCTTCATATCTTAAAGAGCTCATAGTACCCTATTACCCCTCTAGAACACTACGTTCTCGGAAGGCTGGGCTACTTGTGGTTCCTATAGTCTCTAAAAGTAGAACAGGAGCCAGAGCCTTCAGTTACCAAGCTCCTCTCCTGTGGAACCAGCTTCCAGTTGTGGTTCATTCCCCTTTGATAAAGCTTATAGTTAGGGCTGGATCAGGTGAGTCCTGAACCATCCCTTAGTTATGCTGCTATAGGCCTAGACTATCGGGGGATTTCCCATGGTACACTGAGCTCCTCTCTTCCTCTCTCTTTCTGCACTCATTCATGTTCCATTAATGCATGTTACTAACTTCACTTCTTCCCCGGAGTTCTTGTGCTTTCTCGTCTCGCAGGTTCTTATCGATCCTGGTGGAGCCTCCTGCCATGGTCCTGCTAGATTGCCATTGCCAATACTGTTGTTGCCGTGCACCTGTCTGTCTGTCTGTCTGTCTCTCTCTCTCTCTTTCACCCCAACTGGTCGAGGCAGACGACCACCCACCTAGAACCACAACTGGAAGCTGGTTCCACAGGAGAGGAGCTTGGTAACTGAAGGCTCTGGCTCCTGTTCTACTTTTAGAGACTATAGGAACCACAAGTAGCCCAGCATTCAGAGAACGTAGTGTTCTAGAGGGGTAATAGGGTACTATGAGCTCTTTAAGATATGAAGGAGCCTGACCATGAAGAGCTTTATAGGTGAGGAGGAGGATTATAAATTCTATTCTACATTTTACAAGGAGCCAGTGCAGAGAAGCTAGTACAGGAGAGATGTGATCTCTTTTTCTAGTTCCTGTCAGTACTCGTGCTGCAGCGTTCTGAATTAATTGGAGCGTTTTAATGGACTTATTGGGGCAACCTGATAATAAAGAGTTGCAGTAATCCAGCCTTGAAGTAACAAATGCATGGATTAGTTTTTCTGCATCTGTCTGTGATAGTATGTGTCTAATTTTTCTAATATTACGATATATAGATATATAGATTATATTATAGTATATACATTATAAATCATATATAGATCACATTATAGATTAAACATTATAGATCATATATAGATTATACATTATAGATCATATATAGATTATATTATAGATTAAACAATATAGATAATCTATAGATTATATTATAGATTATACATTATAGATCATATATAGATCATATTATAGATTATACATTACATTATAGATCATATATTGATCATATTATAGATTATACATTATAGATCATATATAGATAATATTATAGATTACACATTACTTTATATATCATATATAGATAATATTATAGATTATACATTATAGATCATATATAGATCATATTATAGATCATGCATTACATTATAGGTAATATATAGATTATATTAGAGATTATACATTACATTATAGATCATATATAGATTTTAAATGAAGATTATAGATTACAGATTATATTATAAATCATATATAGTTTAATGTATTTATAATGATTATATATAGATTGATGGTACCTTTTCCCCATGATGCTAGCATTAGCGGCGAGGTCGCGGTTAGTGTCGTTGGCCTTCTTGCGGCGGCGGCGGTTGAGTCGCTTGCGTGCTGTGGTGTTGGTGTTGGGGGGGTCGGAGGAGGCTCTGCTGGGACTGCTGCCCCCCCCACTTCCTGTCCCTCCTCTGTTCAGGTCTCTGAGGACGTCATAGTTGATCTTACTGGAGATCTTCTTCTTTTCCAACATCCGCTCAATTGCCTCACCCGCCGTCGATGCCTGAATCTGCTCCTTCTTCTTCTTCGACTTCTTCGGCTGGAAACACAGAAACTTTATTCAAACGTTTTTTTTATTTAGGGGAATTTTCAGTGTTTATTAGATGACCGACAGTAGGGAGATGGCAGGAAATGAGGGACACACTAACAAATACACTCACCTTCTCTTTATATGTCCCCTGTTCTTTCTCTTTCTTTATCCTCTCTTCTTTCTCTGTAAACAATCAACAATAAATCAATCAACAAATACAGTCAATAACAAATCAATATCGTTGACCTGACGTGTTATAATATCAGTGAATGGATTTAAATGGTATTCTGCAACATTTGGAAATGTTTCAAAAGTTGATAAATAGGGGCGCCTGGTTAGCTCAGTCACAGGGTTCAAATCCGACCAGTGGCCCTATGCTGCATGTCATCCCCTCTCTCCTGGCTATCTTCAGCTGTCACTATCAATTAAAGGCCATGAAAGCCCCCCCCCCCCAAAAAAAGAAAATACTGAAATATTGTTATATATATATATAATTGTGCTTAATCTGTGCTTCAACAGATTTAAATGGACTGTACTTATATAGTGCCTTTCTAGTCTTTCAACCACTCAATGCACTGTACTCTACATGCCATTCACACACATTCATACACTGATGGCAGTGGCTGCCATGCAAGGTGCCACCTGCTCCCCAGAATAGAAACTAATCATCAATCACAATTTGGGGTTCAGTGTCTTGCTCAACCAGGGATCGAACGGCCCGTTTTACCTCTGATCCACATCCGCCCCAATTAATACAATGGCGCCTGCTCCCCCTCGCCTCCCAATTCAACTGTTATCTGGCCCAAAACACCTCCTACTCCACTGCACTGACAGCTGATGACACTCCACTTAAACAAGGTTGCAGGCCCTGATGGTGTCAGCCCCAGGGAGCTTAAAGCCTGTGGCCCCCAGCTATGTGGAGCGCTTCACCATGTCTTCAACTTTAGCCTGAGTCTCCAAAGGGTTCCTCGTTCCTGTGAAATTGCATCTAAACCCACCTGGACAAGCTGGCGAGCACTGTGAGGGTCATGTTGCTTTCAACAGTATCTGGCCAGCTCTGCTCCCCTTGTCCTGGATTGTTAACCACCTGAATGGTAGACCACAATATGTGTGCCTGCATCACTGCGTGTCAGACAGAGTGGTTAGCCACACCGGGGCCTCGCAGGGAACTGTCCTATCTCCCTTCCTCTTCACGTCTACACCCCAGACTTCAACTACCACACAGAGTCCTGTTATCTGCAGAACACGGCGTCGTTTCCAGAAATATCTGCGTCCACACGGATTGACTGAAACAACCTAAAACGCTGTAGTACATATGCCAGGCCTGTATGTGGCACTGTGACGCCGCCACACCAATACACTAAAACCGGAAAAGAAGCCATGGAGCATGCGCTGTTTACAAACAAGTAGTAGATGTCCGCCATTGTTGTTGTTATGACGCGTCTAGCGGCGGCGTGGTGGCTAAATGGTGGTAAAGGCTAGAGAGGCGGGGCTAATACGTCATTGTTTCGGAAAAAATCTGTTTCGCCGTCCTGACAACTCCGGGCAATCCGGCGTTTTTGGATTTTCCCACTCTGGGACCCGTTTCCAAAAAATACCGTTTTCACACCCCGAAAACGCCGTATCCGTCTGGACGCGAGGCTGATACGATAAAGTATTTATCCGTAATCGAGAAAAACCTATTTGTGAGGACAGGCCCTATGTATAAGGCTGTGGTGGGTGACTTTGTTACATGGTGTGAGCAGAACCATCTGCAGCCCAATGTTGCAGCTCAAGACTAAGGAACTGGTCGTGGACCTGAGGAAGGCCAAGGCTCCACTGACCCCTGTTTCCATCCAGGGGGTTAGTGTAGACACTGTGGAGGACTACGGGTAAGTACATAGACAATAAATTCATTCACTAATGGTGATAATGGAACTAATGGTGATAATGGAGATAATTCAATTCAATTCAATTCAATTCAATTTTATTTGTATAGCGCCAATTTATAACAGAAGTTATCTCAGGACACTTTTCATATAGAGCAGGTCTAGACCGAACTCTTTAAAACATTATTTACAGGGACCCAACAGTTCCACCATGAGCAAGCACTTGGCGACAAGGGCAAGGAAAAACTGGCTATTAAGAGGCAGAAACCTAGGACAGACCCTTCGGCTCTAGGTACGTGGTCGTCTGCCTCGACCAGTTTGGGTAAGAGAGAGAGACAGAGAGAGGGAGAGAGAGAGAGAGAGAGAGACAGAGACAGACAGACAGGTGCACAGCAACAACAGTAGCAACAACTACACTAATAGTAGTGACTGATGATGATGAACATGAAGAAGATGATGACAACAACAGCAACGAGGGGGGACAATGAGCAGTGAGTATAGTAATAATAGTAACTGTAGTAATAATAATATTAATAATAACAATAATATACTGGACTGGGCTAAGAACACTCAAGCCCTCTACAGGAAGGGCCAAAGCCGTCTCTATTTTCTGAGGAGGCTGAGGTCCTTCAACATCTGCAGGACCATGCTGAGTCTGTGGTGGCCAGTGCTATCCTGTTGTCTGGTGGGGCAGCAGGTTGAGGGTAGTGGACACTAACAGACTCAACAAACTGATCCACAAGGCCAGTGACACTGTGGGATTGGAGCTGGACTCTTTGACAGCAGTGTCAGAGAGGAGGATGCTTCATACCATGTTGGACAATGTCTCGCACCCACTCCACAATGAACTGTTCAAACACAGGAGGACTTTCAGTGCGCGACTCATTCCACTGAGCTGAACCACAGAGCGGCAACAGAGAGGAACCCCTCCCTCAGAAAGTCAAAACTCTGAGTCATTTCTATATTGGTAAATGGTAAATGGACCTGTACTTGTATAGTTTCCTTTCTAGTCTTCCAACCACTCAAAGCGCTTTTACACTACAGACACATTCGCCCTTTCACACACATTCACTCAGCAATGGCAAAGCCCATCAAACATAAACTAATGCATTCATACACATTCAATTCAGGGTTCAGTATCTTGCTCAAGGACACTTCAACAAGTGGTGGGAGGAGCCAGGGAACCAACAACCTTCCGATTAGTGGACGACCGGCTCTGCCTCTGAGCCACAGCCGCCCCTAGCGGAGTCACATTGTGCTAGATATTGTAATATAGTTAGTATTTCTATTCTTAAACATCGTGTGAGCAACTGTAACAAACTAATTTCCGCCTGGGGATCAATACAGTTTTGCATATTTCTGAATGATTGATGATTTATTAATTGATGGTGAAGAGTATCTCACCTTTCTGCTCCTTCAGGTAATCTGCGTTTTGTTTCATCCACAGCTCCGTCTTCACCTGAACCTCCTTCTCATTCAGGATGTACTGCAGGAGGAGTAGAAAGAGGAGTAAGAGGAGACAGGGTCATGAAGAAGACACCACATGCATACAACCTTTCACAGTAAAAAAAATAAAAAAGGTAAATTGGACCTCTAGTCTTCCAACCACTACATATCACAGGGTGAAACAGGGTGAGAGAAGGTGAGATGATCAATACAGATCAATACAGCAGTGATTGGTGAGTGAACAGACCTTATCAATCTCCTGATCATCAATACCATCCAGGTCCAGCTCTCCACCCTCCGACTGCTCGTCTGTAAACGAATACCAAGTCCATCACATCATAAGTCAACTTTCTGTCAGTTATCTCAGGACAAACAGAGTAGGTCTAGAGACCGTATTCACAGAGTCTCAACAGGTCCCATCATGAGCAAGCACCTGGCGACAGCAGCAAGGAAAAACTTCCTTTTAAGCGGCAGAAACCTGAGGCAGACCTGCCTAGGTGGGGGTCAGTTTCTGTTCTTACCATCTGGTTTCTCGCCCGTCTCCGACTCGTCCAGTGTCTGTTGAAGGCCCAAGCTAGCGGCGCTCGGCAGTTTTCCCAGTATGGCTGCTAGAGGGGCAGCTTGCCTCTGAGACCCCGCCCCCTCCATATCTGGCCCCGCCTCCACCTCATTGTCATCTGTCTTCTTGCCCCGTCCCTCCTCCTCCTGGATCACCTGGCACAGGAAGTCCTGAGTCAAGTGTTGGGTGGCTGCTTGGAGTTCGTCATCTTCGACCTCCTGCTCCTCGGGGTCAGAGGTTGAGGACAAAACCTCTGCTTCCTCAGGGTCTGAAAGAAATAAAGAGTTAAATTTTTCTGTACAGGCGATCAGATAGACTGAGCTGACTGAGGATCAGTACAGACCGATCTCTTTGGCGTAGGCAGCGTAGATTCCTCTCAGTTTGGGTCGACTCTTTTCCAGCTCGGTCTCAATCTCATCTTTGTAGCAGCTGATCTCTCCTGTCAGGTGAAGGGATTGAGTCCATAAAATCTAAATAGGGTTGTACTTTATAATGTTCCAAACAATTCCCCTAGTGTACTTTATAGTGTCCCAAACAATTCCCCTAGTGTACTTTATAGTGTCCCAAACAATTCCCCTAGTGTACTTTATAGTGTCCCAAATAATTCCCCTAGTGTACTTTATAATGTCCAAAACAATTCTCCCAGTGTACTTTATAGTGTCCCAAATAATTCCCCTAGTGTACTTTATAATGTCCAAAACAATTCTCCCAGTGTACTTTATAGTGTCCCAAACAATTCCCCAAGTGTACTTTATAATGTCCAAAACAATTCCCCTAGTGTACTTTATAGTGTCTCAAACAATTCCCCAAGTGTACTTTATAATGTCCCAAACAATTCCCCTAGTGTACTTTATAGTGTCTCAAACAATTCCTCTAGTGTACTTTATAATGTCCCAAACAATTCCTCTAGTGCACTTTATAGTGTCCCAAACAATTCCTCTAGTGTACTTTATAGTGTCCCAAAACTGTACTCCTTTAGTGCCCTTATAAGTGATCCCTTTTTTTGAAGTGTCCTCAAGTGAAACTGACCTTCAACGTCATCCAGCTTCCTGGCCAGCTCCTGTTCCAGCTGCAGAGGAAGAGGATAGTAAAGATGATGGATTGGCCACTGATCATTGGTAAACTGTTGTCAGCAGCCAATCAGAGACAGGGGGATCTACCTGCTGCATCTTGGCTTTGTGCTGTGCGGCGATAAAGGAGGGTGGATCACATTCTTGCTCCAGATCTACTTTCATGAACTCATCGATGGTCAGCTGACTGGTGGGCGTGTCCTCAAACTCTGTTAATCTGAAGGGAGGGAGAGAGGACCCTGTAACCTACAGTAATCTATTACAACCTACTGTAACCTACAGTGAACTACAGTAATCTATTACAACCTACTGTAATCTACCAGAGCTCTCACCTCTTCCTCAGAGTAGTCTGGCAGACCTTCACCACACTGATCACATCCTTCACCGTACGACGAAACTTATGCATTCGAGCTGCTACCAGGAGAGCTGAGGAGGAGGAGGAGGAGGAGGAGGAGGATGAGGAGGAGGAGGAGGAGGATGAGGAGGAAGAGGTGGAGGAGGAGGAGGAAGAGGAGGATGAGGAGGAAGAGGTGGAGGAGGATGAGGAGGAAGAGGTGGAGGAGGAGGAGGAGGAGGAAGAGGGGGAGGAGCAGGAGGGGGTGGAAAAGAGAGAACGGTAAATATGTAGCTGTTGATGTTGGTTGTTACCATGGTAACAGTGGCCATGTTGTACCTGCTCCACAGAGTCCGGAGGGTCGGCGTCCTGTGTGCATCCAGTCCCTCTTCATCCTCTGAACAAGACGAAGAGCCGTCATGGAAACCTCATGAGTCTTCACCCCAAACTCCAACATGTGAGCAAACCGAGGGATGTAAAGGCAGGGGTCTGAGGGGGAAGAGGAGGAGGAGGAGGAGGAGGAAGGGCAGGGAGTGGAAGAGGAGGAAGAGGAGGAGGAGGAGGAGGAAGGGGAGGGAGAGGAAGAGGAGGAGAAGGAGGAAGGGGAGGGAGTGGAAGAGGTGGAAGAGGAGGAGGAGAAGGAGGAGGGAGTGGAAGAGGAGGAGGAGGAGGAAGGGGAGGCAGTGGAAGAGGAGGAGGAGGAGGAGGAAGTGGAAGAGGAGGAAGTGGAAGAGGAGGAAGTGGAAGAGGAGGAAGAGGAAGAGGAGGGAGAAGGGGAGGAGAGAGGGGGGGAGAGAGAGGAAGAGAGAAGGGGGAAGGAGAGGGAGGAAAAAAAAGGATAAGGAGGAGGAAGGGATAAGGAGAGGAGGAGGAGGGAGGAAGGGAGAGTAGGAGGAGGAGGGGAGGAAGTGGAAGAGGGCAGGAGGAGGAGAGGAGGGAAGAGAGGAAGGAGGGAGGAAGGAGGAGAAGGAGGAAGGGAAGAGGAGGAGGAAGTGGAAGAGGAGAGGAGGAGGAGGAAGTGGAAGAGGAGAAGAGGAAGAGGAGGAAGAGGAAGAAGGGCAGGGAGTGGAAGAGGAAGAGGAGAGGAGGAGGAAGGGGGAAGGAGGCAGTGGAAGAGGAGGAAGTGGAAGAGGAGGAAGTGGAAGAGGAGGAAGAGGAAGAAGGGCAGGGAGTGGAAGAGGAAGAGGAGGAGGAGGAGGAGGAGGAAGAAGTGGAAGAGGAGCAGGAGGAGGAAGGGGAGGAGGAGGAGGAGGAGGAAGTGGAAGAGGAGGAAGAGGAAGAGGAGGAGGAAGGGGAGGGAGTGGAAGACGAGGAGGAGGAGGAGGAGAAGGAGGAAGTGGAAGAGGAAGAAGAGGAGGAGGAGGAGCAGGAAGTGGAATAGGAGCAGGAGGAGGAAGGGGAGGGAGTGGAAGAGGAGAAGGAGGAGGAGGGAGTGGAAGAGGAGAAGTAGGAGGAGGAGGAGGAGGAGCAGGAAGTGGAAGAGGAGCAGGAGGAGGAAGGGGAGGGAGTGGAAGATGAGGAGGAAGGGGAGGGAGTGGAAGAGCAGGAGGAGGAGGAGGAGGAAGTGGAAGAGGAGCAGGAGGAGGAAGGGGAGGGAGTGGAAGAGGAGGAGGAGGAGGAGGGAGCGGAAGAGGAGGAGAAGGAGGAAGAGGAAGAGGAGGAAGGGGAGGGAGTGAAAGAGGAGGAAGAGGAGGAGGAGGAGGAGGAGGAGGAGGAGGAAGTGGAAGAGGAGCAGGAGGAGGAGGGGGGGAGTTGAAGAGGAGGAAGAGGAGGAGGAGGAGGAAGTGGAAGAGGAAGAAGAGGAGGAGGAGCAGGAAGTGGAAGAGGAGAAGGAGGAGGAGGAGGAAGTGGAAGATGAGGCAGAGGAGGAGGAGGAGGAAGTGGAAGAGGAGGAGGAGGGAGGGGAGGGAGTGGAAGAGCAGGAGGAGGAGGAGGGAGTGGAAGGGGAGGAGGAGGAGGAGGAGGGGGGGGTTGAAGAGGAGGAAGAGGAGGAAGTGGAAGAGGAGGAAGAGGAAGAGGAGGAGGAACGGGAGGGAGTGGAAGACGAGGAGGAGGAGGAGAAGGAGGAAGTGGAAGAGGAAGAAGAGGAGGAGGAGCAGGAAGTGGTATAGGAGCAGGAGGAGGAAGGGGAGGGAGTGGAAGAGGAGAAGGAGGAGGAAGTGGAAGAGGAGGAAGAGGAGGAGGAGGAGGAAGTGGAAGAGGAAGAAGAGGAGGAGGAGCAGGAAGTGGAAGAGGAGAAGGAGGAGGAGGAGGAAGTGGAAGAGGAGGAGGAGGGAGAGGAGGGAGTGGAAGAGGAGAAGGAGGAGGAGGGAGTGGAAGATGAGGCAGAGGAGGAGGAGGAGGAAGTGGAATGGGAGGAGGAGGGAGGGGAGGGAGTGGAAGAGGAGAAGGAGGAGGAGGGAGTGGAAGGGGAGGAGGAGGAGGGGGGGGTTGAAGAGGAGGAGGAGGAGGAAGTGGAAGAGGAGGAAGAGGAAGAGGAGGAGGAACGGGAGGGAGTGGAAGACGAGGAGGAGGAGGAGAAGGAGGAAGTGGAAGAGGAAGAAGAGGAGGAGGAGCAGGAAGTGGTATAGGAGCAGGAGGAGGAAGGGGAGGGAGTGGAAGAGGAGAAGGAGGAGGAAGTGGAAGAGGAGGAGGAGGAGGAAGTGGAAGAGGAGCAGGAGGAGGAGGGGGGGAGTTGAAGAGGAGGAAGAGGATGAGGAGGAGGAAGTGGAAGAGGAAGAAGAGGAGGAGGAGCAGGAAGTGGAAGAGGAGAAGGAGGAGGAGGAAGTGGAAGAGGAGGAGGAGGGAGGGGGAGGGAGTGGAAGAGGAGAAGGAGGAGGAGGGAGTGGAAGATGAGGAAGAGGAGGAGGAGGAAGTGGAAGAGGAGGAAGAGGAGGAGGAGGGAGGGGAGGGAGTGGAAGAGGAGAAGGAGGAGGAGGGAGTGGAAGATGAGGAAGAGGAGGAGGAGGAGGAAGTGGAAGAGGAGGAAGAGGAGGAGGAGGGAGGGGAGGGAGTGGAAGATGAGGAAGAGGAGGAGGAGGAGGAAGTGGAAGAGGAGGAAGAGGAGGAGGAGGGAGGGGAGGGAGTGGAAGAGGAGAGGGAGGAGGGAGGGAGTGGAAGAGGAAGAGGAGGAGGAGGAGGAAGTGGAAGAGGAAGAGGAGGAGGGAGGGGAGGGAGTGGAAGAGGAGAGGGAGGAGGAGGGAGTGGAAGAGGAAGAGGAGGAGGAGGAGGAGGAGGAGGAAGAGGAAGAGGAAGAGGAGGAGGGAGGGGAGGGAGTGGAAGAGGAGGAGGAGGAGGGAGGGGAGGGAGTGGAAGGGGAAGAGGAGGAGGGAGGGGAGGGAGTGGAAGAAGAGGAGGACATTTAACTAGTTTAGTATGAATAATATGAACTGAATACAACATAAATAAATATTTATTATTTATATTTATAATATTATTTAACATTAGTTTTATATGAGCTCTGTGATATTAATGGGTTTTTTTCCCGCGCTCGGTCGCCATCTTGTGGAGCAGCTCGGTAGTGAAGGCAGATGCAGCAGAATCTAAAATGGCGTCCGGAGAAACAAACAAGAGCTGCAGTCGGAGTGAATTCAACGATAACGGCAGAACGAACCGCCGCCGGGACTCACACAGGTACAGACTCACCGACAACCGACACACACCGACACCGTCTGTCTTTCTGTCTGACTGTCTGTCTGACTGTCTGTCTGCTGACCGCGCTGCATGACGGGTTTAGGTGAGATTTAACGGCAGTAGACGCTGTAATCATAATAATAATAATAATACTAATAACAACAACAGACTGTCACATTAACGGCCTGTTAGGCTGAACTTATTGATTATTGAACTGTGGACATGAATGTATTGATGGAGGATGGCTGCAGGTTAAATCAGAGAACAGTCTGTTTACATTAATTATATCGATCTATAATTATTCATCCAGAGGGACATTTAGTAATATTAAAGTCTGACATCAACCAATCACACGTGATTATGAAGATATTTGAACTCACAAACGTTATTGTGGCACATTAATAAAAAATAATATATCTATAGGTGATATTAGAAATAAATACATTGATTTATTTACAAATCTTAATACATTTCTATAAATACATGTTTTTAATTTTTTAAGTGAAACCAATCACAGAGTGAACACAAAGAGACCAGAACAGTAACTGGTAACCTAATAATAATAATAATAATAATAATAATAATAATAATAATCTATGACTGATCTCTAGTCACTAAAGATTAAACATTTCCTTGATTCTCTGATCTGGACTTTAATCTGACTGATTAGAATCAAATTAATCTGTGACAGGAAGCAGTCATCATGCTTTGAGGTTGTGACCTCGCCGGCTCTGTGACCACGAGGAGGAGGAGGAGGAGGAGGAGGAGGAGATGGCGGCTGAACTTTTCTCCACCAGCCTCCCTCACAGTAACGAGGTGGAGGTGAAGAAAAGTTACATCCAGCCAAATGAACCAGAGCCAACGGCCAGTAACCACAACGACGGCGGCGACAACGGAGTGGGCGTTCAACCGAACATCAACAACAACGAGAGAGAGGAGAGAGAAGGCTGGCAGGAAGCACAGCCCACACTGAGAGAGAGGTCAGCACAATACTCTGCTCTGATTGGACGGCAGGGACACGCCCTGTGTGTCCTTAATGTCCCTTCTGTAATGAACCACACAGTCAGTCAGTCTGTCCTGTGTTCAGTTCCTCATTAAACTACAGGAGAGTCCGATCTCACTCGACAGTAGCTCCAGATTTCTCCCACAGAGACGTTCAGAAAGCGTTTCTGTTTGGTAGCAGTGAAGTTTGACTCTCTGGAGGCAAATGTATTTATGGATTTATGAGGGAGGGACACTTTATTTTACTGGTTTACAGTTTCTGATAATGAAAAACATACGCAGTGTTCATCTGATAATTAATGAATTACTGATGAATGACTCTACAATGAAATATAGTTTCAGTCATTAAAAACCTTCTGATGCAGTTTTGTGTTTGTTTTACTGCAGAAATGCTCTGATGTTCAACAATGAGCAGATGGCTGATGTTCACTTCATCGTCGGCCCTCCAGGAGACACTCAGAGAATTCCTGCTCATAAGGTACAAAGACCTGGACCAACACTGAACCGGGGTCTGTAATTACACCTTCAACGATCCTGTGTTTCATCTTTATGACCTCTGTGGTTAAGGCCTCTGATTGGCTGTCTCTCTCTGTGTTGCAGTACGTCCTTGCCGTGGGCAGCTCTGTCTTTGGGGCCATGTTCTATGGAGATCTGGCTGAGGGACAATCTGAGATCCACATCCCTGATGTAGAGCCAGCTGCTTTCCTGATTCTGTTAAAGTAAGTCGAGTCCTGAGACCAGTTCATGTCCAGAAGTTGATCTGACAACACACACTAGTGCCAGTTCTAGTCTGCTTCAAGATCTGGTTCAGAGTTGGTTTGGAACTTGAGAAATTTCAAAGAACTGGTTTGCTTTTCCACAGGCTAGAGAACCACATCATTATGTCACTATATACGACTTCAACGTTACCTGTGGTTACCAAGGTTACACTAGCTGGCTTACTAGCTAGCTGTTGGTCAGCTAACATTAGCTGCTAATTTCTCACATCAACATTACTGGCCTCAAAACAGTCCCTCCAGCGACTTCTGATCACAACAATTAATACACACCTGTGAGTTTCACCTATTATATCATTCTGCGCAGTGCTGACATACGTCCAGAGATTTATTCTCCATTCCTTCCATTTTTAATAAATTATACAAAAATAACATCACGTCACTCATTGACTTTCTGCCTTCAGTGACTTAAATTTCTCCTCCAACTTCACTGCAAAAAAAATCCTAAAAACATCACAATATGCATCGCATATTTTTTATATAAAAGAGGGGTAGAGAGGACGTGCGGTAAATAGAGAAGGACAGAGACAAATGTGCACAACAACAACAGCAGAAATAACTATACTAATAGAAATGACTGATGATGACACCAATAGCCACAATGATGGGGAATGATGATGATGATGATAATAATAATAATTAAAGCTGCAAGCAGCGATGGACGGGACCTCGCACTCCACGCAACTCGGGGCGGTTGCTTCCTGTTACCAGTAGGTGGCGCTCTCACTATTACTGAATATTATCACATAGACGTGTTCAGGGCGGGACTCTTATCAGACAAGTGAAGTGTGGAGCCGACTGGACAATGTACACTCTTGTAGCGAATTCGTGTTTTGTGGCGGTACATCAAAACTTCCCGCCACGCCACAGACACGCTCACTCACAACATTCATCACATATCATCAACAATGTGTTTTGCATTTCATCAAGTAAATTTCAGCTGGATCTGATCATCCTGCTAGGAGTAGAACATGAAAGTATAAAACGTGATACTTCCTGTTGCCACTAGGTGGCAGACATGTTCAGGGCGGGACTTTTATCGAACATGTGAAGTTTCGTTGCAGTCGGATCATGTACGCAGAAGTTATGACGAATCCCTCTTTCATGGCGAAGGTTTGAAATTGGATGCCACGGGACGCCACGCCCCGGGCACAATGTTGGAAGAAAAAAACTGACTGCACTGACCAATTTTGAAGTACATCCAATAAAACCTGTAGGAGGAGTTAGTTAAAATAGGAGCCCTGAAATGCCAAAAATGACATCACAGTGTGACATTCGTTTAAAATGGCCAACTTTGACGGCACGCCACGGACACGCCCTTCAACGTACAGTCACAAAATGAACAGCTTTCATTCAGTACCATGTTTTGACTGTACTGACCAATTTTGAAGCAGATCCGATAAATTTCCATGTCCAATGTCCAATGTCATATCGATATTTTTGATACGTTTGAATTTTGTGCAAATTTTCATGACTTTTTGAGCATGCTGTGGGGGTCAAATATGCGGTCAAAGAGGCAGCAAATAATAATTCCTTAAGGAACAATAGGGTCTTGCACTTGGTCAGTGCTCGATCCCTAATAATAATAATAATAATAATAATAATAATAATTCCTAGAAGAACAAAAGGGTCCTTGAACTTTTTAGTGCTCGGTCCCTAAATATCAGCATTAATAGCAGTGGGGGTCAAGCAGGACCAGAGCAGCAGGCACCACCAGGATCCATGAGAACCTGCGAGACGTTTCTAGACCAATAAAGGTGCTGCACTGGAACCAGTTTTCCAGTCTCTGAGGTTCAAATGGCCTTGGTGGAAAAGGGGGTTACACTTCCACCGGATCTACAGCCACCCCTCCAGTATACATCAGGGGTATCCAGAAGAAAGGGCCAGGGTTCTAGGTTGGAGTCTTAACGGTCCATTATGGAGTTCCAGAGTACATTAAAAACTCAAGTGTCTGACAGAGGTTTCCAGTGGTCCTTGATTAGATCACCAAGGGATCAATAAGTAAAAGGCTTAACTGTCAGACAACAGATTGAATATTGGCATGAAGTGTTCTCAGAGTGATAAGACTTTCTTTAGTTTGTGTGAATGAGTCCAGTTCAGATACTGATCTGTACCAGGTCCCTGACATGTCTTGCTGTGTGCTCTGTCTCAGGTACATGTATAGCGATGAGATCGAGTTGGAGGCGGACACAGTGCTCGCCACACTCTACGCTGCCAAGAAGTACATCGTTCCTGCTCTGGCAAGGGCCTGTGTCGCCTTCCTTGAGACGAGTCTGGAGGCGAAGAACGCCTGTGTCCTGCTGTCTCAGAGCCGGCTGTTCGAGGAGCCAGAGCTGACGCAGCGCTGCTGGGAGGTGATTGACGCTCAGGCCGAACTGGCTTTGCGATCCGAAGGCTTCTGTGAGATCGATCTGCCCACGCTGGAGATCATCCTGCAGAGAGATTCACTCAATGTCCGCGAGGTCCTGATCTTCCAGGCGGCGCTGAGCTGGGCAGCAGCTGAGTGTCGACGTCAGGGCCTGGCTGTGACCCCCAGGAACCAGCGGGTGGTGCTGGGTAAGGCTCTGTACCTGGTCCGGATCCCCTCCATGACGCTGCAGGAGTTTGCTGATGGGGCAGCGCAGTCGGACATCCTGACGCTGAAAGAGACTCATGACGTCTTCCTATGGTTCACTGCCTCCCACAAACCCAGACTGGAGTTCCCGCTGGTGAAGCGGGCCGGCTTGGCACCGCAGAGGTGCCACCGCTTCCAGTCCTCAGCCTACCGCAGCAACCAGTGGCGCTACAGAGGGCGCTGCGACAGCATCCAGTTCGCAGTGGACCGGCGGATCTTCATAGCCGGACTCGGCCTGTATGGGTCGAGCGGCGGCAAGGCTGAGTATAGCGTGAAGATTGAACTGAAGAGGCAGGGAACCATTCTTGCCCAGAATCTTACCAAGTTCTTGTCCGACGGATCAAGCAGCACCTTCCCTGTGTGGTTTGAACACCCAGTCCAGGTAGAACAGGACACCTTTTATACGGTCAGTGCCGTCCTGGACGGAAACGAGCTCAGTTACTTTGGTCAGGAGGGGATGACCGAGGTGCAGTGTGGGAAAGTGACCTTCCAGTTCCAGTGCTCATCGGACAGTACAAACGGGACCGGTGTGCAGGGAGGGCAGATCCCTGAACTGGTCTTTTACGGCTGAACCAGAACTGGGACTTAAGATCTTTAATCAGTGATTGAGACTGCTGCAGTAAAACAGAAGCAGATTGGCTGTTGTAATAGAACTTAAAGCTGATTGGTTTGTTTAATGTCTGAACATTAAAGTGACTAAAACTCACGCGTGGCTTTCTCATCAATGATGTAGTTCCTGCAGCTGCCACTAGATGTCACTGAAGAGTGTGACTACCTGAACTACCTGAACTAGTTGAACAACCTAACTAGCTGAACTAGCTGAATTAGTTGAATTAACTACCTGGTAGTACACATTAGTCCATCAGTCCCTCCAGGACCGAAGGCTGTGTTTGGGATTGTTGTGTCCTAAAATTCCTGATTTCACAGCAGTTTTTCTAATAATAATTGTGATGCATGTTGTGATGTTTATGAGTTGTTTTGCACTGGAATTGCAGGAGAAAGTGAAAATTGCAAAAATAGTTTCAACTTTTTCAGTTGTTATACAATTTATAAAGAATTGAAGGTAGTTTATTTCAGCGAGAATAAAACCGCACTTTTCTCAGTAATGACACCTAAAAGGCCCAGGATTACAACAGTTCTAACAAAATATACTTTATCTGTAAATGAAGAAGCTTCTCTGCACTGGCTCCCTGTAAAATTTAGAATAGAATTTAAAATCCTCCTCCTCCCCTACAAAGCTCTTCATGGTCAGGCCCCTTCATATCTTAAAGAGCTCATAGTACCCTATTACCCCACTAGAACACTACGTTCTCTGAATGCTGGGCTACTTGTGGTTCCTATAGTCTCTAAAAGTAGAACAGGAGCCAGAGCCTTCAGTTACCAAGCTCCTCTCCTGTGGAACCAGCTTCCAGTTGTGGTTCGGGAGGCAGACACCCTCTCCACATTCAAGAGTAGGCTTAAGACATTCCTCTTTGATAAAGCTTCTAGTTAGGGCTGGATCAGGTGAGTCCTGAACCATCCCTTAGTTATGCTGCTATAGGCCTAGACTATCGGGGGATTTCCCATGGTGCACTGAGCTCCTCTCTTCCTCTCTCTTTCTGCACACATTCATGTCCCATTAATGCATGTTACTAACTTTACTTCTTCCCTGGTTCTTGTTCTTTCTTGTCCCGCAGGTTCTCATGGATCCTGGTGGAGCCTCCTGCCATGGTCCTGCTTGACTGCCATTGCTAATGTCACTGATATTATTGTTATTATTATTATTAATATTATTATTATTAGTACAGTTACTAGTATTACTATTGTCACTGCTCATTGTCCCCCATCGTTGTTGTCGTCGTCATCATCTTCTTCATGAGTCAGTCACTACTATTAGAGTCTCTCTCTCTCTCTCTCTCTCTCTCTCTCTCTCTCTCTCTGCTTTGAAAAGTGTCCTGAGATAACTTCTGTTATGATTTGGCACTAAACAAATAAAATTGAATTAAATTAAATAAACTGTTTAAAACTCTGTTGGATAATGTGTAAAATGAACTGCTGCAGCTTTTTGACACCTGCTGCTGCCACATGATCTTGTCCACTTTCCAGGTGAGGCACAGTTCAAATCCAACGAGCCTACTCGTTTAAATAAAGTTTTATGGTAGATAAAGTTCTCACCGATGGCAGGCGCGTTGATGCAGAGCTCTCGAGCCAGCAGCAGGAAGGTTTTTCCCAGGATGTAAACGTTCACCTGAACATACAAACTCAAAGTTAGAACTGGACCTGGTCTACTGTGGGACTAGGTCTCTGCCGGTCTGAGGGTAGTCCTACCTGCAGCAGGTCACTCAGGTCCAGTAACATGTCTGAAACACCGTTCAGGAAAACTGCTGGAGGTCAAAGGTCAGTGAGATAAAGATGTATAAAGATAAACACTGTTTGTGAGGATACGTGGCGTCCCCTCCGTGCGACACACCAGGTAGAGGCAGGCGGCGATCACATGCTCTGTCTTACGTCCTCTCGTTAGGTGTTTACTGACCACCATCTTGAAGAAGTTGAAGGCAGTGTCCAAACAGTGCTGGTTCAACTGCAGTTGACTGCCCAGCTGCTGGATCTGACGCTTACCTGCAGAGACAGAAAGGGTTAGCTATACCTGAACCTTACCTGAAGGGTTCATTATACCTAAACCTTACCTGAGACACACAAAGGGTCAACTATTTAATTTTTATTAGGGATGTTTGGATCCAATCTCCATTTGACATGAAAAACACACCACAAACAAGAAAAAAAGTTCACTACTACCAACACTAAAAATCTATGTGAAAATGTAAAAAGGTGAAAAAAAGAAGAAAAACACACAAAGAAGGGCTGACTTGCAGTACGTCACCGCTGCTGGCTGCTAAACACCAACATGGAGACGACCATAAAGCCCAACTGGAGGTTCAGAGCTCCACAGACCGATGGGGGACCACAGAGTCCAGCTGCATCTGATCAGAACTTATCAGTTTACAATGAACCACACTGATGATGATGATGAAGGTACTCACCGCCCTGCAGGGTCTGGGCTCTGGACTCTTTCCCAACACTGGTGTGAAAACCAGAACCAAGAAGAGGAGCTTTAACTGGACCTATAGGCAGATCAACAGATATTAATAGATATTAATAACAGATCAATAGGCCATTAGGTTTTATTATGTTCTGGTGTTTTTGTGAAGTTGTGAGGAGTCATGGTGGTCTACTGGTATAAGGCAGTAGTTCCCAACCTGGGGTTCTGGACCACCACTAGGGATTGCCAAAGCTTCACAGGAGGTCACGAGGTCTTCCTGATTTCAATGGGTGTTACAACATTTAAAATAAACACAGTCACCAATATCTCAGTGTTTCATTAATTCCTGTGAATAAACCAAAACCTTTGTTTAAGAGTGAATAGAACAATAATGAGCAAACTCAGAATCTATTAAGTATGTGTGATTGTTAAAAATGATAAAAATACATAATACAGACAGAGAATTGTATAAAAATATCAGGAAAAATAATCTCTGCTAAATAATCACAGGAAATATGGTGTTTACTGGGTTCCTTATACAGATGATCAATACTGTTATTGATACTCAGTTTACTCACTCAGAACAAGGTGAGAACCTCCAGCTGTAATCAGACTCAATCAGCCACAGCTTTGACTGGCTCCTCTGTTACCTTGGCAGGTGATTAACTCACCAGGTTGTAGAAGGGAAGCCTTTTGTCCACAGACAGAACGTTTCTGCAGCTTCAACATGAGAACTGCTGCTTTCATCATCGGGTGAGTACAGCTACTCACCTGAGCAGGTAACAATATGGCTCACCTGAGCAGGTAAAAACTGAACCTCAATGCTTTTTTTCTTTTCCAGACTCATCTTAATCTGCTGCGAGTTCACAGAAAAAACAACAGTTGAAAGTAAACTGTTTTTTCTGGTTTATTTACAGTCTTTACTGGTTTATTTACAGTCTTTACTGGTGGACTTTAACCAACTGAATTTGGTTGTCAGGTTTAGAAGAAATTGTTCAGTCAGAGTGTCGGGATCGTTACCTGTGGATCCACGTGGCCTCACCACAGACACCTCGCTTCGAGGCCGTAGGTCAGTTCACTTCTGTAGTCCTCAGTACTAAAGCTTGAAATAGACCTGTCTGTCTTAAACTGATGGCAGTGCTCACTCTCTCCTAACTTAGATAGAAACGGCGTCCACTCCATCAGCGAGCACCTCGCATCCCGATGCGGTTACACCATCAGCACCTTCAAGATGGACGGCTTCACCACCTTCAGAGCGTCCTACTACTCCTGCTTCACCCACAACCAGGTAGCTCAGCCCCTCCAAAGCCCTGATCCACAACCGGGTAGCTAGGGCAACGATCCACAACCGGGTAGCTAGGGCAACGATCCACAACCGGGTAGCTAGGGCAACGATCCACAACCGGGTAGCTAGGGCAACGATCCACAACCGGGTAGCTCAGTCCCTCCAAAACCCTAATCCACAACCAGGTAGCTACACCTCTCCAGAACCAGGTAGTGCCACCTCTGACCCACAGATAGCTCAGAAGTCCGGACACTGGACTGCGGCTGTGATGATGAAGTTTTGTGTTTTTGTTTGTTTTTCAGAATGACGAGGCATTCACCTTTAGATTTAACGTCATGGTGAGCAATGCTGGTGGTGGGTGGATCAGCCAGCCTGTTTTTGCAGTCTGTTCTGGTCTGATCTGGACCCACAGAGAGATCATCTGTGAGGAGGACTACATGGAGGTTAGGATGCCTTCTACTACTGGCAGTCTGTCTAAAAGCTAACTGAACTGTGTTGAGCTTAATGTGGTTTAATGGTGGGTTTTGTGATGTTGACCAGGTGAATGTGAACAGAGAGTCTTCATGTGGAGGCCAGCAGGGGGACAGTGGACCGATGTGGCAGACAGCTTTCTCTCGGGTACAATCACACCAATACAAACTCTACTGGTCTCTGAGGACAGTAGCTCTCTGGCAACTTCAAGTCTCACATGAAATTAATCTAAGTAGTCAACAGCAAAAATAGTGGTTAATGATTAGCTGGTTAATGAGCCCCAGCAGGCAGCAGCCCCCGTCCATGCACTATAGCAGCTAGCTAAAAGAGTGTTTATAGTCTTCATATTGAGATCAATTTCATGGTTTTCTGATCGTTTCTTCTTTCTGACTATTCGACTAATCTTAACCTCAAAATTAGTCGCCAGGAACATCCATACAGGTGATGTTTTCACAGTAAAATATAAATTTTTGTACAAATCTTTAGTCTCTTTTGTTTTTTTTTTTGGTCCCTCTTCATCCAAATGATGAGCTAAACAACAATAACAGACTTGTCCTTTGAGAACTTGGCTTTAAAGGTTTTGTGTTTGGTTTGTGGTGTTCAGGCTCAGAGGACGGCAAGTTCTGTCTGGCAGCTGATGATCCTGCAAAGTGATGGACCAGTTTCCTCCATGTCCATCAGTGAAGCCCAGAGGTGGGGCTACGGGCTGAGCACCAGCGCCCAGAGGGTGGTGCTTCGATCTCAGTACAAACAGCCACATACCGAGCTGACAATGGTGGGTAACCATGTAGGGCTGCAGATTTCATGGCTGCAGTATAAAATAAAATATTTTTTATGAAAGGTTGTCTGTTGCTGAGCAGGAAACATTTTCAGGAATCTCCCTGTTGAGTGTGGTCAATGAAACTCCAACATGTTCAGGAAATGCTGTTTTTACTGCGTTGTCCATATGTCCTTAATTTACTTAACTAATTCTTAATGTTTATCATCAGGTGGACAGTGTTCCTATGGAGGTCGTCCGGGTCTCTTTGTTCTTTAAGCAAAAGCTGACAGTGGTGATGATCGATATGTCCATGGCCTGTACAGTCAGTAAGTTCTCCCAAACAAACACACCTGAACAGAGACCTGGTTTCTGTGTAATGGGTATATGGTGCTGACAGTAATTCTGCTGGTCCTCCCTCAGATTCAGGTTCTTTTGACGGTGCCCGGTTGCTCTGGGATGTCCCCTGGGTTGTGACCCCCTTGGTCAGAGAGGAGGCAGGGTTTGAAAGTCAGAGCCTCAGTCTGGGGGTGGAGGGGGTGATGCTGGACAAACCCACCGCTGCTGCCAGAGGATTCAGTCTGGTCCAACAAGGACATCTGATCCAGATTGGGGTTCCTTTTGGGGCTGAGGGCGGCTACAGGAAGGTAGTCAGTCCAGACCAAACTTCAGACAGGGACAAGGCTTTGAAGAGCGCAAACTGTTTGTCACACTACACAAGCAGATTGTGCGCCTCACTGTCAGTTTCTTTTCTGCAGAGCTTGGTGGTGAACAACGTGTACAAGGAGATGTATGTGATCTTCCTGCTGTATGAACACCTCTTCTCTCTGCTGTATGAGGACGGCAGCAGCATTGGCACGAGACACCGAATGCTTAGAGTGCTTGACACACCGCTGCTCTGCCGTCCACCCTTCAGCCTCGACCGTAAGTCTCCCAGTTTATAGAACAGTAAGTCTGTCTTAGAACAAACAATGTCCTCTGCCTGCATCCCACTGCCTCCCTGATCTCTCTCCAACAGTCTTTGTAGCATTAACACATGACGTTGATCTGACAAGCACTTGGTTTGAAACCGACTGATAGGCCTTTTCCACCAACAGGGAACCGGCACTGTTCCGGTTCAAGCACCTAGTTTAGAACCTGGTGTAAACATGGGCTGGCTTGCTAGATGGCACCAAGGTTCCAAGAATTTTGATGACCTTGTTCAAGAACTAGAACAAAAAGCGGCCAGAGCCCTTCAAGGTTCATGTTAACCTATACATTAATAGTGTGCCAATCACTACATCAAAGGACCGCATCCACAAACTGTTTTTTTTTCCCCTGAATTGCCTCTGATTCTTGAACCGGTTCCGATCACGAAAACCAGCCTGTGTCTCCACCAGTTCAGAGTGAAAGCATCATAATTAAGGATGCTTCATCAACAGAGGGCACTGCACAACAACCTGTAGAATGTCGATGGAAAATCAACTGGGAACAATTTTGATAATCACAATGTTTTAAGCAGAAATGCCCAGTATTCTCTGGTTCCAGTATCTGTAAGTTTTATTTGTTTTTATACTATTGCAAGTTGAATATCTAATCTACTGTCTGGTAACTGCCAAAGGAATCACTTTGGGAACTAAAGATGGACATTTGGTGCTTTTTAGACCACATGCATAACCAGTTTTTCTGTATCAGTCTGGACTCTCTTGATTTTCTTCTTGTAGAGACTATAAGTGATGACCAGGTGTTCAGCGTCTACCTGGGAAACATTCCTGCTGATGTCCTATTAGAGGAAGTCCGGATAAACGGGAAGCAGCTTCTGATGTCAGAGAGTGCTGACCGGGGCTACAGCATCAGTTCTTTTGTTCACATTAACGGGACACCAGCTTACAAGCTCCGGCTGCCCTTTGAGGACGCCATCGTCCACTGGATGGTGAGGGCTTCACACAGAACCTGTATCACCTGTTTGGGCGGTGGTGGTCACTGTTGGGTCTATCGCAGTCATCCTTGGTATGACGTGATGTCACATTTGCTACCACAGTCCGCTAATGTGTTTTCCGAATGTGACATGGCAAACATCCATGTCACAGAAAGTAAAGCTTTAAGATATCATTATTCTGTAACACCCTTTCTGAGGCTGTTCTTTCCAACAGTACCTGGGTCAAGGTATAGTGCAGTATTCCATAGAAATAAACTTCACTTTAACCATCATGCCCCAGAGAGACTCGTATTACCACCAAACATTCATCACAGCACGAGTATTCAATTCATGTAAGTACATTTTCTGACCTCACCGGTCTGCAATACAGTGGTTTCAATTCTTCAGTACGGCCTTGTTTTAAAATCCAGACTTTCTCCTTTAAGTCCCTACAGAGATCACGGCTCAGTGCTCAGACAGAGGAATCACCTTCAGTATGGTCAGACCGACCCAAGCTCAGAGTCTCTGGGAGGTGGGCATCGACCATGAGCCTCTGACATCACAGCTGGCAGCCCAAAGAGGGTACCGCCTCGACAACAACCCCCAAAGAACAATTCTGGAGGTCCCTGTGTTCTCCATTGGATACATTTATGAAGTAAGTACTGAATTTGTACAGAAAACGGTACCTGACTTTGTTACAGTTCTCCCAGTTCACAGCTGAGTTAATGAATCTGTTCAGTCAGCTCAGGGAGACATTAGGGACTATTTGGTGCAACAACAAAACCAGGGAGTCCATATTTGTTATCTGGTTGATTTCATGAATCTGAATCAGAGCATTCCCTTACTGTACGTCAGTTAAACTGAATATAAAGAGAACGCTTGAATAATACTGTCATATGGGGAAAATATTGCCGATGTTTCATTTTTAAAGCCCTTCTCTGGTGATAAAGATGTGCTGATATCATCGTACATCAGCTCCTTTCTCATTTCACTATATTTGACATTTTATAAACTAAACATTAATCAGGATACAAACAAATCAGCCCTACAGTAAATACACCATTCGAGGGGAAAACAATCTAATATAAGTTATCCTTTACTTCCAGGACATCAAGCTGTCAAACTTTTATGGAACATTTAAACTTCTTCTCAGAGACTCCAAAACTCTGGAAGTCCAGACGTCCAC